TGTTCAGACCTGAAAGTAACAACTTCGTCCTCGCTGTGCAGCTGGTACCCAGCGGGGAAAGAAAAAGAAAACTCTTCTTCCATGTTCCGGAAATGTACAAGTTTTATCCATCTTTATCTTTTTTAAGGGAGACTAGTCAGCCGCACAAATGAAGGCTTCTTGCTGATGTAACTATTTGTTTATTTTTCCGACGCGTTTCGTTTCTAGCTGAGACTTCTTTAGGGATGATTACAAATAACACTGAACAGCATATATGGCACATTCGCGTGCCCAAGTTAGACTTCCAGTGGAAGTAAATAATAACAGAAACATGCTGTGAACCGAAGTTACAAGAAACACATTGTTATTAGCCCCACACTCCAGCGTTTTTTCCAATTGCGACCGGAAACATGATGAAATAAATCTTGTCTGCAAGGTTTCAAAGGTTACTCGCAATAAAAATGTACCACTGTCAGTTGAGTGAACAGTAAATTACTCACGCTCGTTTATCGTAAATAAAACAAGCCGGCAACCTGAGGGAGGAAACCATGTACAGTGTCATGAGTCTGCCTAGCACCTACAGTATAAAAGGCAGTATCTTGGTTAAAAAAAAGGAACCGAGTCAGCGACACAATCGTTCGATGGGAATAACAAGCACGTAATGTTTCTCAAATTACGACCTGAACTTTAAAAAATATTTATTAGTTTTCGCGCTAAAGTTTTACAAAACTGAACCACTCTTAGCCACATTGACATTTATAATATGAACAGAAAAACAAAAGGTTTTCAAGGTAAGAAAAAGCGCTGTGTAGTGATGTTTATAACAAAGTAAACGCAGACAGAGTTAGCCCTCACCAATGTAAAAACGTAGAATGATCAGGTCACATGAATCGGAAAATTCGAAGTATTTATGGCGGATGACTCACGCAGCTACATTTAGGACAGTTTTCCGAGCGAAAAGAGGATCAAAGAGGCGTTCGAAGTACCTTGTATTCGTTTCAATGTGTTACCTGAGGCCTTTGGATAGTATTCCGAAAAAGTTACCTTTTATCCATCAGTAACCCTTTAATCTGCTACGCGTCTGGTGCAGTTGGTTCGTTTTTACCTTTGTCTTTTAGTCATAGTTTTCGGGTAGATCACGATTACCTGGTAAACCTGACACGATAATATTAAAACTCTTTTTTCAAGCGCAACTTGTGTGCGCTATGTTATAACAGAATTGGTTCCTGCTTTTAGCAATGCGCATATCGAGTTATCGGGATACAATTTGGAAGTTTGGAGAGCAACCAGAAAGCTAAAGTTGCTCTCGTGCTCTTCAAACTTCCTGCGTGCATCCTCAACTGGATTTACGTACATTAAGCAAGAACAAGAGATTATAAATTCTTGGCAAGAAACAATTCTTTAAGTGATTTCTGAATGTCGCCTAACTTTCGAGATGTCTCAGCAAAAACTAACCCTCGCAAATGCGAACGAGAGAAATCGGAATCTAACATGATCGGTTTTTTAAGCATTATCTAGGTCAGATCCAAATGACACGGGCCCTGCTACAATTCCTTAAATTAGATATCAAGCCAAGAGTTTTCGAATTAGAAATTCGGCTTCGGCCATCACTTTTTCACAGTGAATTAATCCCGAATGAGTTCTAGTCAGGTTCTCTTGGGCACAGATTCGATAGCAACGCGGAAAGGCAAACAAAGAGTTAACGAAGCCCGGCTGTTGCGTATCCATTCGATCGAATAGATACCCAAACGGTTTTGACTAATAATTCAACACTGAAGAGTTATGATTCACAAGTGGTAGAAAATATTATCTACTGAATATTCCCATCTCCATTGTTTGCTCTGCGCCGCTTTCACAATTGCGTCTTCGGTTCAGGCACAGATTCGAAAGCAAAGCGGTAAGGCAAATAAGCAACATTCACTGGTAATTTCTCGATCGAAAGGCTACGCGAATGGTTTTGACTAAGAATTCGACAGCGAAGAGAAATGATTCACAAGTGATAGATATTATTATGTACTGAAACACTCCACCTCCATTGTTTGCTGTGTACTCTTCCGCTTTCACAACTGCGTGTTCGGTTCAGGAACGGATTCGATAGCAACGCGGTAAGGCACACAAATAGTTAACGAAGCCCGGTTGCATATTGTGGTAAAAGCTTCGTTTAGCAATATTCACTGGTAATTTCTCGATCGAATGGATACTCAAACGGTTTTGACTAAGAGTTCGACATTGAAAAGTAATGATTCACAAATGGTAGAAAATATCTTCTACTAACACATCGAATATTCCTACCTCCATTGTTTTCTGTGTACTCTTCCGACTTCGTGATTCCACAAGAATTGAATCACAAACATAAAAAATTTATCCAAGCCATTCCTTCTATCGATTTTCCGCAGAAAATGTTTTCAGTCACTAAACAAGCCTCCTTGATCAGAGATGCTTGTGAATCATTAATAGCCGACTCTATCAAAGTGGGGGACTGGTAACAAATCCACCAAAGTTACACGAAAAGGAGTGGAACCAGATATAAATTTGGGACTTAAGGAAGAGGGGAAGTCAGGGGTTGCTAGTTCAAGTCAAAGGCTTTTCTTTCGCCCTTGTATCAATACGTTTTCTGTGTGACTATTGAAAGTAGCATTGTGTCCACCTCCAGGAGCTGATATCCTAATTCCATTGACGCGTCAGTTGGCGCTTTGATTAGCCCATAGACTGACATAGCAGAACAGTCCGCACCACAACTAATCATGGAAGAGTACATTTCTGTTTTTATGACAAAACGGCAAGGATGGATTTGAAAATAACGATGAGAGAAAAAATTCACATTGAATCTCCGTTAATTATTACTGTACATCGATAATGACGCAAAATCTACGATTTCATTTAAAGAAAATACGTCTCTGAATCAAGGAAACCTCTCTCTACATTTTTAATTCCTCAACATTCTCCAAGGGGATAGCCAGAAGGAAAGCTCAGCATTATACATTATTTGGCAAGGGAACTTTGTAGTTCTTGTCGTCTTTGTTAGCATGGATACGTACTTTTGTACCACCTACATTAATAGATGGAAATGAAGTCATCGTAAATATAATTTTTAAGATTTTATTCTTGAAAAAAAAATAAAGCAGAGCTCACCAAACTAGTTTAGTAGTAACAGGCGCATAAGGGTTTCAGCGAAGGCTTTTCTACGAGACGTAGCAGTTCTAATGACAAATTAAGTGGGAGAAAAAAACTGAATGTTCTAGTCATGAATCGTTTGTTTACTTTTTTGAAAACTGATCGAAATCTTTCCTTTCTTCCGTTAGGAATCTTTGTCGCGATACAGCCTCCCTCGCTCATCTGACGAGTGACTCTGAGGCTCCAGCTCAGTAGCTTTTGATCTTAGCATTATGATTTCATAGAATAATTATTCTTTAGTCATTTGTGTGCCCTTCATTTTGTTTTTCCTCACCGGCTTTTGCCGAGTGTTTAACATTCTTCCTTAACTTCACTTTGATATCACAACAGTCAAAAGTAAAGCTCACGGTCGTATACTCTCCCATTAACCACAGGTCTTTCGAGAAAACTAATCAAAAATAACACCGCATGGTCAGTTTTTTACACTTTTTACTCTTAGTTTTTCCGTCATATCCGAATATGCGATTATGAATGAGAATGCATTCACCAGACATGCATATCAGCCCACAGCACAAGTAACAGAGGGACACGGAGGAGATGTCAAATGGAAAATATAGCTTTATTTCAATGTTTCAAAAAAGATTTAAAGTAGGCTGATTCTCAAAATATACAATAACTTACCACACATTCCTCTGATTACAAAAAGTAATTATATATTAGTTACGAATTCATATTCTGAAAACAGTTTTGGGAGAATGATCATCGAACACGTTATGAAGACAGAAAATAAATGATCAAAAATAGGCGATGTGAGATTTTATTGGCTCCAGTAAATGATCCCAAAAGTTGGCGCAGTTAAACTTTAAGGAAAATTGTTTCATGGTAAATCAACAGTTGGTATCAACCATCCGTATGCATCAATGCAAAATTCATTTAATCGCTATATACTGTACAGTTTTTAGTTTAAAAAGAAATACAATAAAAATTACTTTCATTCTATCCACATAATGAGCAAGATGTTAACGAGAACATGGTAAAATATGGCCATAAAGTCTTATTTCTAACACCATGCACTGCATATTGGTTCCAAATTGCCAATGGCGTTTCCTATGCAGAAAAAGTGGGACCGGCCCACACACTAATATAAAATCTCTCGACATCAAAGTCCCTTGTTTTGCATTTATATAAACTTTTTTCAAAAATTGTCAGCAGATCTTTCTTCCCCTTTCTGAGATTCTATGAACATCATAATCCTTCTTCTACATTTCTCTAACTTCAAAACATAAAGTTAAAATCATACACCTGCGCTGAGTAGCATAAACCGTCCATGCAAAACAACAAACGATCATAAATTGTAAAAATTCTATACGTTCAATACCTCAATAGTAAGAAGATCTGGCATTAAAAAGAAAACTGGGCGTTTTCATTTCGTGAAGACAAAATTTTTCCAAGCATCACCACAGGGAAAATACTTCTCTTCAATCCCTACTCTTCTTTGGGAGTATGAGGCCCTATCTTAATGTAGAGTATGTTGAGGACGTATTCTGCCTCAAAAATCAACAAAATTACAAAAGACGATTCAACAAGTTGCAAATTGCCCAAATATTTCATTTTAAAATGCAATGTAAAGGAATCGACAACATAATAAGGCTTTGAGGAATACATCCCACAGTTCGGGGTTATTGTTCAAAGCCTCGAATCGTTTAATACTGAATTTGCAATAATTTTTGTACAAAATTATAGTCCAACCTAGACAAAATATCACCCGTTTGATAACACCCAACAAGATTCATTAGCAACACCAACAATTATCGTGATGAATTTTACAGATGAAAGATTTGGCTGACTCTGATTAGTTAATTCAAATCTATTTATATGGCGCTGTAAGTTTCACGTCACATCTTGGTAAAGTGAAGTCGTAAAAGTGTTTTATTAGCTTCTCAATTGTTTTGCATCGCACGCCATCAGGATCAAGGGCGTAGCCTTTCTGCAAAATAAATACCACACAAAGAGGTGAGGGGGTCACTGTGAATTGTACATCCAAACTGCCATACGATTAAGAATTTACAAGGAAACAAACTAAATAAAACTTATTAGACGAAGAATGAACCACATACTTCATCCTGAAACACCATGTAATGTCGTACTCGATCTCCAGTCCACACGGACAGAGCCTGCATGAAATTGAAGGAAAAATTAAGAAGTAAATAAAAAAAAGAACAAATTTTCCTCGAACTTGAAAATACTGCTCTGTGAAGTATGAAAAGTAATATGCTGAAAAGGCGATGAAAGATTATATCGTTGAGTTTTTGGTTTGAACAAGATTGGAGAGACTGAACTGTTTTATTGATGTATGGTTTTGCTAGACTGTACTTATATATTTAATTTCCCCATAAACTCAATCTGTAGCACATTCGACTACGCTCCAACTGCCTGCTCGTTTGTAACTGTTACTTATACAGTTGACAGTCACATTACCATATACGAAACATGAAAAGTCGAGGTCAACAATCTACGATTTTCAAACTCTGAAGTACACGAGTTTTGTTACTATGAGTAAAAATCATTCTCTGAAGTTGGGTTTACCCGCTCTGACTGTGCGTTCTGACTTCTACGCAGTATGTAGACTCCGAGTTTATTTTCCAAGAGACTACAAGAAAATAAGTCAGAAATAAATACGTGTTAAAACACAAATACAGTAACACCATATAAAACCTTGAAACCCCTACCCTCCACTCCTGAACAGATACATGAACCTATTGCTTTTAAAATGTACTTCGCGATAAAGGAGTTCGCCTTATCGGGATTCCATGACTGTTTTGTCTGAGGCACATTTCATTACATAACCAATAGAACGAATTCATATTGATCCGTTTTAGAAGAAAACAGACAATACAAGTGGACAGAAAAATAACAAACAGAGTCCAATTTTATTTAGAGACCTAAAAGCTTCTACTCATGGTAGGTAATATCAAAACCCTGCATACGCACGTAAATGTCGATAACATAAACAAAAGATGGGTACTTATTCGTTTTAATTACGAGTGTTTTCTCTAGCTTCCTTGAGACAACCTCGTTATTAAGGCAAAAGTAATATACTTACGCCCCAACTTGCATCTTGTCCACGTCGAGTTTTACAGCCGAGGAAGGAAGAACTATCTGCAACAATAAAATGAAGAGAGTTGCAGAATCCTTTAACTCAGTCCCATTAGTGACCAACACAGAATTTCTCCTTCCAATATCAATGAAATATTAAACAGACGAGTGATGAGAATGAAGAAAAATATCAATCAGGAGATTGCTAGCTGATCCAATACAAAATTCTCCAAACTCAAAAAAGTGAGAACTGTATTGCAGACAGTAAGGAAACTTACTAACGGGATCTTGAAAGTAAAAGAGTTAAGAAAACCATCGTTATTTAAGAATTTGCTCATGCTTTTAGCTGTGCGTATATCGAATTATGGATGCACGCAGGAAGTTTGGAGAGCACGAAAAATGCGTAAGAGTAGCTCTAGGCGCAGCCGAGACCAACTCTAGCTTTTTGAGTGCTCTCCAAACTTCCCAAGTGCATCCATAACTCGATATACGCAGAGCTAAAAAGCATGAGCAAATTCTTTTATAACAGAGCGAAAACAAGGATCTGAGCGAAGAAGCCTTTTATTGTGATAGAGTGCAAAATTCTCACAAAGCATAAAAAAAGTAAACAAACGTCCCTACTGGCTGGTCAAAAACACGCCACATTTTATACTTTGGTTTGAGCGAGAAAATTTGAGCCAGTTAACTGATAACTGTTCGAGAAAAACTCAAAATTTACGGGGAAAATGGAGAAAATCAAAGCCAAATGAACTCACGTGTCCCTAAAAAATGTTTTAAAAGTCAAAGACTCATCTTATGAGTTATCAAGACAAATTTGCGAAACGTGCAACTTGCGAGTTTTTTTCGGCTTTATTTCTGTTGCTTGTTGGATCAGGACCTAAATGGTCGATGCCGATAGAAAAATTGGGCAGATCTTCGCTGGTTTCTTCCATATTTCAAAGAGAAGGAAACCTGCACGGCAGCTTAACAGGAAGGAAACTCTGAAGCCAGGTAAAAAAAAAAATGCTCACGTCATCTTATTTACTCACGGGCGTGCGTAAATAAAGATTTGTTCATAGCAGCTCAATAGGACTTATAAAGGACAAGCACGCGCGCTATGTTATAAGTATTACATAACCTTGTGTACACGTGAAACTATAGTGAATCACAAAATCACATGTCGGTGACTATTCTATCGACATGATACCATGCATCAGAAAGACAACTTCATATTGGGGAGAGGGGTGGGTGGGGTGGCGGTAGTACTTTAAAATATTTCAAAGTTATTTGGATTGAGAGAAGCTAAGCCTGGAGGACTTCAGATAAAAAATAAAGCCCCGAGTTAATTAGCATTAGCCCTGGCCTCGTTAAGCTCTTAGGAAAAAAAAATACTACCTCACAGTACCTCTCCCACCCACAGTCTTGCGCACTGTGCAGAGGAGGGGGGGGGGCTGGGAAAGGCTACTTTAACTATTGGCTCCCGAGTTGATGGATTGTACAGTACTTTCAGCATTTTGAAGACGACAAAGTATTCAATTAAACACTTAAGCTTTGTAATATTACTGACGTTCAACCAGTTTGTACAAGAAAACAAATAAAATCCTGCCGTACGGTCATAACCAAGGTCTAAAAATCATACAAAATAAATGGTTTTATATTCACCTCATTATGATGCCGACGGATGCTTCGTCCATCTGGATATCCCCTAAAGCCAACAGAGTAAACAACGATAAGATTGAAAAGGGGCACAGTTAATGTTACAGGGTAATTTGGTATTATCAACTGGGTTGATACCATAAAGAGCTTTGAAACTCTTTACGGTGGCCAATTTACATTATTAACTCTGTTAATACCAAACTACCTCGATATACTCCCACACCGACGCAGCACCACAGTTTCTTTAGAAACTTACCCCCTTTATTCATAGTTAATGTTATCCTTCAACAACTAGTACCAAATATTAACCAACTGTTCACAAGGTAAGCCCATTTTTTTCTGAATTACAATTGTAATTAACAATTTACGAACAAGAAAGAACCAAAAACTCACTAAATGAAACTGTAAATTGTGTAACTTTACTACAGGTTAAGAAAGGCAAAATTTTTCAAGTTTTTCTGTTGTCAAAAATTGATCTGAAATTGCACTGTAGGAAGCATTTAGGGCCCCGAGTCAAAACTGAATCGTCATACTAGTCCATACAAAAAGAGAAATTTGTTATTCATTAGAACTTCTTGACCAGTGAAAATGGGTACATGTATCTGTTTATCTTGATGAGTTTGTACAAAAAATATTGGACACTCATTCAAAAGAGCTGCCTTATTTTCAAACCAACTGAGCTGGACTGTCAGCTCTGACAAAAGTCATGGTATATATAAAACTTCTCAATTTAACAATCATAATAAGGTGTTGAAATTTTCATACATGTATATGTATCTGGAGGGTTTCTTTCCAGTCAGAGGTGATATTTGCCCCAGAGTGGTATGAGTACAAGTACCCAAACATTTCAGTAAAAAAATTAGAGTGAAATAAAAATAGAGTAATGGGAATCTCTTCCTTCCTTCTCCAAAATTCCTCTCATTTTTGCTTTTTCCTTTTCTATATGCCTGTTAATTGGCTGATGCAAAACCTGGAGCAATAAGGGTACCCCTGTCCCACTGAATATCAAGTTAACACTAAAATAGACTTTTGAGAGGTTCATGTACAAGCAAATGGATGCAAGTGACTGTTACCGTAATTTCCGGTCGATTACCCGCGGGTAATCTGTTGATTTTGCATTAAATCCGCGCCACTGCGGGTAATAGGGAGGTGCGGGTTATGTGACAATTTTAAATTCTTCTGGAAGTTGAATTGAAAAAATTTCTCACCTACCTGCGTTTCCACCTCTCAAATGAATTTTATTGTATCAAAAGTGCCACAAAGCGGCACGAAAACATGATGCCAACTCGAGTTTATTTCACGCATAATTAGTTGCGTGACAAACAAATTTTTATCGGCATGCGTGAAAACAAAACCTTGATGGTGACAAAAATAATCCAAGGATATCCGGCGCATCAGTAACAAATTTCCAGTTTTCACTAGCTTGAGCTAAAGAGAATTTTCCCGTTTTAAGGGACTTGTTAGGCCCAGTAGAACAGGAGATATCGATTTTTTTGAGAAATTGCCGACAGTAATTTTAAATCCCAAATGCATCACCAGAATGTTGAAAATAATAGGTGCGAAACTTAACTAATGTAAAGGCTGTAAAAGTTTCATCCATCAAGAATGGTTTTAGAAAAGCAGGAATTGCAAGTGGCACCGACGATGATGCATCTCAGACATCCGACATCAGTGACGATGAACAAATAACATCTACCGCAATTCTGGATCCTGTACTCGATGCGCAGTTAATGGACTTATTTAATAGTGACACTGAGGATGAAGATTTTAATGGATTTTGAACTGAACTTACTTTATCATTCAAGTTTTTAACACTCGCCCTGTATAATTTTACTGTTCAATTTTCACTGTATAATTTTATCAATAAAGTATAAGCTAATATTGACACAGAATTGTGCACATGTCTGAATCGAAAGACTGAAATGTATCGCCTTAATGTCACGTTTTCGCCACCGAAAAAGTTGAATAACAACGTGCGGGTTATCCACCGGTGCGGGTAATCCGTTGACTTTTTTTTTCGCCGCATGCAATAATCGGCCGGTGCGGGCAATCGGCCGTGCGGGTAATCGACCGGAAATTACGGTACTCAATGATTTAATGTGTCTTCATGGTGAGAGGTCCCAATAATACTAAACATGAGCCTCTTGCTAACAAAAAGAGCTATGTGAAGAAAACTGTGGCTTCTCAGCACAAAAAGCTCCATGATATAGTAAGCCTCTGTTATGATCAAACACACAAATTACACTCCATTGATAGAGAATAATATTAGGTGAAGATTCCTCTTACTGGACAGACCTTGACAGGGCGGGTTGCTTTTCATTGACATCTTCAGGATTTGTGTCTGGAACTATGTCCAAATAACCTTCCCCTTCTTCTTCTTCTTCTTCTTGGTCTAAACAAAATGAAATCATTTACCACAATATTAGTGACAGAGTTATCTAAAAAATTTGATTTTGATAATCTCCTAAAAAATGCAAAATTAATCTTAAGAACCTAACAACATTTTAACCCTTTAACTCCCAACCTCTGATTAGTTTTTCTCCCTACTGTCCTCTTGCAATTCTTATGATGTTAGTTGGGAGAATTTGGTATTGGATCAACTAATAATCCACTAATCAATATTTTTCTTTATTCTTGTTACTTGTCTGCTTGGAATTGTATCATTTGATATTATAAGGAGAAATTCTGTCTTTGTCACTCACTGGAGTTAAAGGTTTAATCAAAAATACCAATGAAATAAGGTTAAAAAGTTCAGGACAGTTCCATTTGGTTGTAGTGACCCTCACCCATGGCATGATAAAAGCTAAGTCAGTAGTCATAACCATTCTAAATGAACAACCACCCTTGCATTGACAGCATGATTCATACCTTCCCTGAGAAAGAAGATGTGGTTAGGGTGGTTGCAACTGACTGAAAAGATTGAATGAATTGAGACAATAAAAGACACATAATGCATTACTATGCATAAGTTCAGACAGTGTACAGTACCTCTACAGGGCAACGATGGGTACCTCATGATAGGTTCAGTGGTGTGCCGCGTCAGAGGAGGTGGCCGAGGAAGTGGTTTGGGCGGTGCTAATGGTTTTCCCTTTCTTGCCGGTAGAGCAGGAGGATCACTTAACTTGCGGGGAAAATCAGGACTTGTCCTTCCAGGAGATTGTCTGACTACCCCTAATGAAGCACCTCCTTGGCCTGGCACAGGAGTTGGGATGCCAGTGTAGCTGAACCCTCCTCGAAGTGGCTTAGGTGAAGGAAATGCAGGTCTCTGAGGAGGCAGGGGTTTTCTTTGCACTTGTGGAGAACCCATTTCAGGGGGTGGACAGTACATTGGTTCTAATGCTGGTTGTGGTTGAGGTTTTCCAAACATAGTTGCTAATTGTTCCAGGTCAAATTTAGGTTCTACTTCAGGGTAGCAGTACTCCAGCTCTGCATTATCATTTGGCTCTATGCTACAAGAACAAAATAAAAAGAAATACACTATAAGAGCTTCATTTGAACCCACTTATTAAAAGAACCATGTCTTAATTTGACAAAATCTATTCAGAAAATAATTTCTAATAGCATTTTAACAAAATAATACTGGACATCATTATCACTTGTGAACAATAAACCTGCACAATAAGTTTAAAATATTTTTATACTTTGGCTGTCTTTTTTTAATAAAACTGTTTATAAATAAATACCAACAACAAACTACATTTATCAAATCAATTAAATTCAAGACACTCACATGCTTTGTCTTCCTGTCCCACAGTATTCTCTCATATCACTTACTATACTGTTCATCCATTCCTACCAAAAAGAATTGAACAGCTATAAAAACTTTTTCTACCTGTTATAAGAAACTGTTGTAAAGGTGGCAGACACCAGCTTTTGGTGAATGCATACAACGTACTTTAAGGATTATGGCTAATGGGAGGAGAACTTTCAGAATCAAATGTAAATTTTTTTTTATTTTTAAAACTTCATTTCTTGGCTAGGGACTCTAAGGTTTGGGGTGCAATTACCAAAATATGGGGGAGGACTAGCAGCCACTCCCTAGACTTTCCACTGCTCCAACTCTTGAACTCATTTTCCAAATTAAAACACAATTTATTTATTTATGGGCATGGCAAAGACAGGATTCACCGCTAACAAAGTCTCCTTGGGTACATGTAGTTTGCATTACAAGTGTCTTGCTTTATTTTCTGATTAATTTTTAGGGAGAGTGCTTTTCAAATTCAGTTGAATATCTGGATACACAAACATTAACATGGCACCAACCAAAAGTAACAGGTTTTAACCCTTACACTCCATCAGTATGCATATTCTCCATACTGTTCTCTATACATTTCCTAAGGGGCTGACGAGGAGAATTTGTAGATCAGATGAAACCAAAGGATAAAAGACTCTCCACGCAACACTAGCAAGGTGTGGTCTAAGTAGAAAAAGGTGAGGATGTTTAACTGAATTGCTTGTTAACCCATTAATCCACTGGCTTGACTGACTTATAAATTCTCCTGACAGTATCACCCTTGAATAAGAAGTTAAGGTAATGAGAATAAAGGAAATGATCACCAACTAAACAAGTTCTTGATACTTACTTTTACTTTGTACTTACATTCATTTCTTGTTCAGAATATGCAGCAAAGTAGTAAGTCCTTTTTTCTGGTTGTAAATGAACTAGTTTAAAAGTCCATTGAAATTTGGAAGTTTTCTCTGGTGCTGGGGACAATCTAAAATGAAATGTGGATAAAAATTTCAAACTAAAGCCACCACATTTATGAATAAACAAAATTGATTTTTGGAAATCCAAAATTATTCTGGAGCTTGACTTATTTTCTTACAGTAGGTAAGAAACATATACTTCCAAGACTTTCTGTGCATGAGGTTGTCAAAGTCACAGGGTGTTTCAAAAGTTTACACCACTATTGCAAAATTTCCTGCTCGCATTCTATTACCTTAGTGGGAAGTGCACATTAATATTGAGCTCCTGACTGAAAAGTTTGTTTTTCATTAAAACATACCTGTATCCACTGAGAGAAAATTTGCCAGCTGTAGTTTTAGCATCTGGAGTATTGTAATAATACATGCAGCCTTTGTGCAAGATGATATATCTGTCACGCCCTATTAAAAAACACAAAAACAACAAATTACTTTCAAGCTACAAGTGGGCTAGCTGCCTTTCAAACTGTACATGGGATGCAATATAGAACTTAACCTCCACTTCATGATCCTTGTATACATTACCTGATCCAACAACAAAGGGACTGCAATACTTTACATTATGTGCAGTGGCAAAGAGAAGCACACCAATAAGTGTGATAGTATCCAATAGAAAGGTAGAATTGTGTGAGAGAACAAACAATACACAATGATACAATGCTATAACCATAGGTAAAAATTACCATTGTTTTACTGTGCACTTTAATTTTGGCAATTTTGTTCAAGGAAAAAAGAGAGGGAGGGTTACTCATTAGGAACCGTAGCTTTCAAGAAACCTGAAGCTCTAGACAACACACCATATAGAGAGAAGGGCTTCATACAGACAGATGCACAGTAAGAAGTCACCAAAATTAATTCTGTACAAATTACGCATGGCACAAGATGATAAGACTCACAGGATTTTACACTTCCTCCCTCTTTTCTTATCCACCCACATTTGCTACAGCTGTCTTTGAGTAGTTCTTGAGCAGGTATGGATTGGAAAGGTTCAGGTCCTTGTTGATGTGCGTCTAAAGACGACCATTTCCTTCCATCTTCAGCAAGGGATGTACTGGTGTTAGCAGGAAGTGTTGTACTCATGCGGCTTGGAGAAGTGGCCATTACTCTATTTCAATATTATACTCTCATCTTGTATGAGTATCTATGGAAAAAAAGTTAATAAAGATTGATCTAAACTGGAAATTGAACAAGAAAAAAAATATCTGCACCCTTGACCCATTAAAAAATTCCCAAGAATAGTTAAGGTCCACAATTCACCTGGCCACCCTGTTCAATTGATAACACAGGCTGTGATTCTCCTCCCTGCAACTTAGAAACTTCTTTGCAAATGGAATAATTTTCAACTGAGCGTTAAAATCAAGCCACCCTGTTTTTCATAACTTTATTTTCTAATTTGCTCAGAACACTTGCACTACTCTCTGAACTTAAACCCAATTCAAAAGTTAAACTATTATGATCTGTTGATTCATGTTTTCCAGCACTTCAGAGAGTTTACCTCTTTTAACTTGAAGTTCTGATTTGCTTATCATGAATTTTTTCTTCTCTCACACATGCAATTTTGATTACTTTCAACTGGTTTTAGTGTTATTTAAACACTCTATTGAAAAGTACTCTAAAGAGATAATCTAGAATTATTTCAAGATAACATTTTTTAAGTCAAGAGTTCATCATCTGATTCATCACCTATTAAACAATGATCTGTTTATCTCCGACAAAAATTGTGATTACACACTTTCAGCATCATCAATTAACTTTGTTTGGATTATAATTAATACATCTCTGTAGTGATTTGTGCAGCTTATGTTTTTGTTCATTCACTTGATCAACTGGCCTGGACCTGCCTTTCCATCCACCCAAGAAACCCTTTCTAATGTCCTGACCCAGTTCCTCTGCGGGTCATTACATCGTCCTATTCAGTGAGCACGATGAGAACAGCTGAAATTTTACTTATAGTCGTCAATCTTCCAAGCTTTGTTGCTGCCAAAGCCTACGGCTGGGAATACAGTATAATTCATCCTTCCCGCAATCATGCATGAGCACTCTGTGTACGTCAACCGCAAAACCCCGGCTCAAGTTGACAGTTACACATGAAGGCTTGATACATACATTTGATATGAACTCAGTTTAAATTGTTACTGTTTGGTTTGGATATGGACAGACATTTACAATAAAATACATCGATTGCGATAAAAGCTGGAGTTTTCTTTGTCGATACAACAAATTTTGAAGTTACAATAAACACAGCACCATTCATTGGGCGTCAAAGACGCGTTTTAGCATTAACCTTACATGATGTCACAAGTGTAAATAGAGAAGCCTGTAAATTCTTGCGTAAGATGGTTACAATCGGTGCTTTCCCATATACAAGCTGTGGTACAAAACCGACGAATGCTGCTCGAATGTTCAAAAGAATGACAAACAATATCACTCAAACGGGCCATTTCCCTCACATGACATCACAACAAAACCGATTTCGTGTGCAAAAATCGCCAGCAAATTAAGATTGAAAAGTCACGCACCTAGCGAGAGGTTATATGCATCAATTTGATTTTACTGAGCCTCTGATTGTGTACCTGTAAATAAAGAAACGCCTAAAACAATATAGAATCAAAGTATTGCGCTTTCTAATTCAGATATTATTCCGGAAAGAAACCAAAGTGAGGTCTCACCTACCGAAAAGAAAAGCTTGGTTACCTTTCGGAATCCTTCGGTGTAACGCCTCTAATCGGACAATAGAGTTTTTTTAACGGCTACAAAGTTCACAAAAGGCTTCCTCTGTGCATCTTTAAACTCTCTTAATGATTTTCGTGATAACAAACTATCCCTAGATTGTGTATTTCCGCATTCAATGTCAGGGCGCGAGCTCTTCGTTGTATCTTGATCGGACTTAAGTCATTTCCTCTAGTTCCAGGAAAGACGAGTGACCTACATTACAAACAGATGAAGAAGGGAGGGGATGGACAGAAGTGTTTTTAATATAAGGAGGACTGCCGTTATATACAAGTCTTGATATTCTCACACTCCCAAAGTTCAGTCCAGATATACTGATCTATTGGGAAGATAATGATATTTAGATCCTTTTTCTTTTCGTTAAAATCAGTAGGTGCAAGCGTGCATTCATTTATTAGGAAACTGTTACGTAAGATGGCTGCAATCGGTGCTTTCCCATATACAAGCTGCGGTACAAAACCGACGAATGCTGCTCGAGTATTCAAAAGAATGACAAACAATATCACTCATCCGGGCCATTTTTCTCACATGACATTACAACAAGCCGATTCCATGTTCAAAAATAGACACATTTCCATTCGTTCTTTCTTATGATCCAATGGAGGCCACACACAAAGAAGATGACACCTTTGACAATTTTTGTTCTTACCATATTTGACGTCATCTGTGATCTCTTACCGAACAGAAGCATGGCAACATGGAAATTATATGTCCAATATTGTGGTCTGATTGGCTTCGCTAGCTACTCGCAATCAATTTACAGTCGATAGACAGAAGAGCAATTGGCCTCAGCCTGCGGTATAATGAAGTAAACGAAGACAAACATGCACTTGACTTGTTGTTAAGTAGATATAAACTAAAAAATGAAATTACATGTATTTCCTCTCGATTTCAATCGCGTGATAATTGTCGAGGGCTTTGTCCTAATTGAACTGTTACGCGATTCACGCGATAGAAATCTTGGGCTCATAATCTAGATCTAATCGGTGAATAGTACCCAGGCCCTTCCAGACGTACGTGGCTCGGAGATTATTTTCTGAACGTAACTCTATTTATAATGAAAGTTATAATATCTTAAACAGCGGAAAAATAGACTTGAAAGAATATCAGAGGTGAACATCGTATCTAGTTATCGCTTTATTTGCATGTAGCTATAGATGCTTATTTTGTCATCGTCCCACGCTCACGAAAATAGCCTTTTATCCATTGCAAAGCCCACATCTTCTCACTTACCCCAATTAGCTCATATAGTTTAAGTGTATGGACACTTGAATAAAGTTTATTATGACTTCAAAAAGGCTCAATCTCCAACTAAATTAAAAATATACCAAAAAAAATAGAGTACGATATTTTTCGTCTCGTCACAGGCGTGGGACAAAGAAAAAATTCTGAGTCCCCACGAGGCATCAAACCTCAGACCTTCGGATGCCTCTTGAGGACTAAAAATATTTTCTCTGTCCCACGCTCGTGACGAGACGAAAAACACCTTTTTTTCTTTACCGAGCTCAAAACTCACCATTTCTCTTATTCTTTTAACAAAAAACAATCATTACTAATATAAACAGAAGATAACTTTATCATCTCTTTTATCAAATTCCCAGTTTCATTAGTGCGAGTTATGAAGTTAAAGTCATATAGATTTAATATTAAGCCATGCGATGTGTTGCCGTGCATCTATTCAGAGAAGACGTCAAAGGGTAGTAAGACTATTGACCAGTACCACACTCAATCGCGCCTCGATCAAGTCACTTCTTTGCTCTTACCAATATATTTGACATCACCTATGATCTATTACTGAACAGACGCATTTTTACAGTGAATTCTATGTGATGGTCTAGTGAGCGCACAGGCAATATTAACCCATATGACCTATTCTGCCTTGTTCCCGTATATATAAGGATATTAGCGTAATTTTTAAGGTTGCATATGTTGTCCCCTATTCAGTGAACTTCTGATTTGGAAGAAGTTAGATAATGGCCTCGTTGTACTCTCATTTTCGTTTTAAAAGGACTTCATTGGACGTTGATTTCGTCTCGTTACGGCATGTTAAAAGCAAAAAAACAACAATATAATAACCAATAACAATATCCAACCGCATTTACCTCAAGTGTAGCCAAAAAAAACGCGTACCATGAGGGATTCTACTTCAGTACTGACGTCACTGAGTGACGTTACTAGCATGCCGCTTCGCCTTGGGAACTAGTCCAGCCTGGAACTAGTCATTATATGTTTATCGAGGCGGAATGAATGAGTGGCCAGTAATCGGATCCTTGCGCAAAGATTTCTGAGATCGCAGCATTGCAAACATTGCAAACAAAATACATAGCGAAAGGTTATTTCGACGTCCAAAAAATAAATTTTGGAGAGAGATCAACGCTTTTTCGCCGAGGTTTTATCATAAATGGCTAAAGATAATGTTGATTCGAGAGAAGTGTAAGTTTTTGCTTGTATTTCCACGAAATCTGTTACAAAATACACCGATGAACGTCTCTCCCTGCGTAAGGTTTAATGTTAAATCGTCATCGCGTAATGGTCTCGACATTTACAAAATTAGCCATAAATCGCTAGGAAATAACTCATTTAAGTCTTTTCAGTTGTATTTATGTAGATACAGATTATTTTTATTCTTGTTAACGAATTAAATAAACAAATTACGACGTCTGAAATTATACCTACTCTAAGGAGAGAAGTCGTTGTCAGCGGAGATGGAAATTGTTTGTATCGAACTGTTGCTCTTTGGAAAGATGAAATAAGCGAGGGAAAACACGAGGAAATCCCTAGGTCAAGTGATAGTTTGTTTGAAAATGATCCAAAGGTTTTTGAGCGGCCACTTTTCTCCTTGAACTCCTTGGAGGATCTGGTCAGTAAAATCAAGATCAGGAGAACCCCGGCTGAAACTGTGGATCTATATTCAGTTGTGCATTGCTCCTTGAGCAACCCATTTTTTCCTTATCATCGCAGAAGGATGGGCTCAGTTTTGAGTAGAATATCAACGCTGGTTCGTTCTCAGCGATCACAACAGAGAGGCAATGTAGGTGTTTAATCACTTAAATGTATCTGACGGTAATATTAATACTCAAGCTCACCATTTCTCGTCATTTCAATCTCCTAGTACCTCGAGGTAGCTGTTATAGCTCTTTAGTATTACCAAGCCAAGAAAAAAGCTAGGGGTGGACTTAACACACGTCAAAAAAGCTGAAAAGGCTTTATTGATTTATTTCTTGGCGTTTCATAGCTAATATCTCAGAATTTCGAGACTATCAAGCGATGTCAGTTTCACAATACACCTCGCGCGTGGAGAAATGTTTTCAATTTCTGTAGATTTTACAACATATTTCGAGGTTCTTCGAACAAAAACTTACGCTTTCCTTATATCAACATTACCTAAATCCATTAATCAACATTACCTAAATCCATTTCTGATAAAACAGCGGCGAAAGAACGATTATCTCTCTGTAAATCGTTTTTGTGGACGTCGAAACAACCTTTCGCAATACATTTCTTTCTACTGAGTCGCAAGGTTTTCCCCGTGGCGATCCCACATTTCTTTGCGCAAACACAGGGATTCGATTACTGGCAACTCATTCAAAGCTAATTTGCCCGCTGAGATTAATATCAAATAAAATGGGCCAGTTGGGGCTCCCATTGCAGCCAGTTGTCAACTGATTGAAATTCAAAACCTGTCTGCACACTTTTCTTTAGCACTGAATGTCGAGTAGTATAGGTGACATGAGGTCCTCGATAACCTGCGTTTATTGGCCAATGGGATTTAATACGGTATTTAATTTCCTCCGCCGAAGCAAAGATCACATATAATCCCGCTGATCCTAGTGTCACCATTCACTCTTCCTCGGGATTTTTTTGTATCCCTCTTATGTTTCTGAGTTCACATGACTGTCGTACAGTAGGAACATCTTCAAGAAGCTGGAAGGGAATTTACTGCAGACTGTTGTGTTCGTGGCAGAAATAGATAATGATACGTAACGAGAGAATAGGTGGAATTAACTGAAAGCCCTTTAAGATGAGACGGCAGTATTCTCAAGGTGGGTTGGCTTATTTAAAAGCTTCAACGTTTTTTTTGGGACCTTTTCGGTAAAACGATTGTTTCTTTATTTGGGATAATTACTGTTTGTAAGCCGTATTATATATAATATTACTGATTAAGCGACAAAAGTCAGAGTAAACAACAACGATCTACAGGAGGCTGGAAATTGTTTGTTTAGGTTTAAACCCTTTTAAAATACAAAAATTTTATAGCATATTAAGTTTAACATCACCAAGTCTAGCATTCCTCTCCCAGTTTGAAATCTGGTATTCAATTATAATGGAGATGGCACTTTCGTGAGTCCTTGACACATTGTATAAAGCAATTGTAGGCAATCTTTTCTTGAATTCTTTTCATTTTCTGTAACGGAAGCCCAACATTTGAAGTGAATAGGAACAATTTTAAAATACTTTGAAAATTTATCCTGACAAGAGGATTGCCTTTAGTACTAATAAAAAACATATTGGCGCTTCGGACATGCAAGAAGTTCTGTTAATAAGAATTTTCCCAAAAATGCCTCAAAACATGAAATATTGTTTTTCATGTTGAAGGCATCATTGTATTACGAACATACATCACCATTGGAGACGGTTAAGGAATAATGGCGGCTTTTTTATAACGACAGAGGCCAGTTTTAGTAGCCGTGATAAGCAGATGTAAGATTTCAGGCGATTTTTGTTTATACAGTGAGTGATAAAGAGGTTTATCAGATAGACATTGTCTTCCTATCTGTTATCTAATCCTTATAAATACCAAAAATTCACTGAAATGAGTTTTATGCTGCTGTAAAAGATACAAGTCCCTTAGTCATTTCCTTCCTTTCAGCCGGACTTCCTTATAAGGTCAAGTTTACTGCTCCTAAAAAATCAATCTTGAATTTGTAATGATCAGGTTTAAAATCCCTCTATATAATTTCCTTTCTTTTGGAAGATTTAGTATCAGGTGGAAGCTTCATGCAAGAAATGAAATGAATAAACAAACAAACACCAAACGAACAGATAATCAAGCAAAACAGAAAATGAAGTTTTTTCGACATATCCCCATATTACCTTCTTGACAGCGGACAGCGTTGATCAAAAACAATTTATATAAGAGTTAATGAGATAATTAGTTTGAAATTCTCGAAGTTTCCATCTTTCGTCTCCTAAACTGTACCTGTCAGCGTGCGAGACATTCCTATCATTTTCATGTCCTTGGCCTTAGTCATGTTCGATGAATGTGTTACGTAATCGGAGATTTCTTGATGAGTTAAGAGGCGACTGAGAAATGATAGCTGCAAAAAGGAAAAAAATTAAAGGCAAAAAAGGTGAATGCAGGAGGGCTCAAAGAAACCAAACCTTAAATATCGAAATTATGTCTGAACGGCTCAAATATGATTAGTATGTAATTTACCATCAAGAGTTCCGAGCAAAGTTATTAACTTTCCAAACTTAGCAAACGGTTTTTTTTTCTCACCATGAATTTCCTGCTTAAGAGATCTTAAGTTACCGTTTTTAGTGATGAATGAGTTATATAATTCTTGTAAACATGTCTTATGCTTAAAAGGCTAGACAGCAAAGGTCATTTAAGATGCGGGTAGCCTTGTTTTCAAAAGAATTTTACCTCTCTGCAAGGTGAAATGATTATTCAACCCGATAGCAAAGATAACGGCCAGTTTTAAGCCTCAGCTTATCTTTTGAATTACAATTCCCCTTTGAGTACCCTATTTTTATGCTCAACCTAAACGGAAACCATCACGCAGAGCAACTTAACCTTAGTAACAATGACTTCATCAATCCTTTACACCTTAACATCAGTATGTATATTCTCCACACTGTTCTCTTTACATTTTCCTACGTTACTGACAAAGATAATTTGCTTATCAATCAAGAGCTTTTTAATCCGCGATCATTTCCTTGATTCTCGTGATCTCGGTGTATGATTCAGTGATAAGGAGAAATTGCATACCTGTCACTCTTAGGCTCTCATTGGCAGTAGTGTTTAAAGAATATGCGTGAACAATGAGTAGAAGGTATGTCATAGCAATGAATGGTTAAATTTTTGATGAAGGTTCAGACGTATCTGAAGAAGAAACAACAGGCAGGGTTCAAGTTTATGTCAGGATTCGTCCTTTGGTTGAAAGTGACGTCAGAAGCTTAGATGGAAAGGGAGCAGTTACCGCGGAGTATGAGGACCTGACTCAGGTGTCAATTTAAACGATACCTAATGTATGAAACTAATCAAGTGAAACTGTGAATATGATAGAAGGCTACTGGCGAGTACTGAATGGCACTCAGTGCTTGGCTGTTGTGATATATACTGTCCTTCATTTCTCACCCAGTTAAGATTAAAAAATATATATATATTTTTAATAAATGCTTCCGATTCGCTCTAAACGTTCTCTAACCCAAATAAGAAAAAGAGTTGCGAATGATTAAGTGGTAGCTTGTTACATAGAATATTGACTTAGAGCCACCGAATTCACAACAGTACCCGATTAATCCAGAAGAAAAAGAGTATCTATGAAAGACTTCAAATTTGTGTCCTCGTTTTTTTTCTGTATCGATGCGATTTTTGTTAAATCTAGTTTCTTTTATCAAAAAGATTCATGTGGTGGATGGTAAGAGAGAGAGAATTTTTCAATTTGACCAAGTATTGCCACCAGATGCTGGAAATGATGAGGTATGTTTAAAATGGATTAATTCCATATTTTAGACAAAATCTATTTAAGCCTGGCCTGAAATAACATATTTCATTCACAAAATCACGCCCTTTACTGTTTTCAAACAACTATTGGAATCTTGAAAAACTGTTTATTTGTTCTTTGATGCACAACACACCATCACGCATGAATAATTGACAACTACAAGTTTAGGTTATATATATGTGTCTAAATACTTGCTCTGTTGTTCTCTTAGGTGTACCAGGTTGTCGGTAAGCCTCTGGTGGAAGCCTCCATGACCGGCCTAAATGGAATTTTGATGGCGTACGGACAAACTGGAGCAGGTATTTACGGAAAATTATTCCATCCCAGAGCTTTCAATTCCCAAGGGTCTTAAATCTTCTAGTTACAAGGAGACGGAAGCGTGACTGTACAAACGAAGCCCATTGTCTGAGCTGCAGTTTTAGAAAATTGTGAACATTGCAATAAAATACTCGGTTTGAGAACTAATGGACTTTAATCCTTCATGAAAATTGGAGAGACGATGAGCCAATAATGGGCCAATCCTCTGGTTTCGCCGTTTCTGTGTGACCACCAATAAGAAAGTTTTTAGGAGCTTCCATAAAGCACAGCGTGAAATCGCGATGAAGCAGTGTATACGATTGATTCGTTTTTCATCAAGAAAGATTGATGGCCTTTTGCAATGTAAAATTTCACACTTACAGGTAAAACTCACACTCTGATGGCTTCAGACGGATTAACTACCAATGTTGTATCTCATATGTTCGCTCTGATTGGTAAAGACGTTGCACATTCCTACGCGGTAAGCCTAAAACGTCACAAAACAGAATGATTTTGTGGTTGTTGTTTTCTATGAAAATTTGTTAACATTCCTGTAAGAAAACGTTTACATGAACCGCTTTCCAAGATCCATCTTCTTCAATAAAACTGAGGAGATGAACAGTCCGTCATGCAATTGTTAACTAATTTGACTAATCGATCGATCGATCGATCGATCGATTGATTGATTGATTGATTCAATGGATTACTGGTTCATTGATTGATTAATCTATTGATTCATTCAATCATCAATATAAGTGTCTAATCATTACAAAAGCTGTAATCCAATTTAATACATTACAATAGAGGATGCGTTCTTCTGTAAAGACCTATGAACAGCAATATTCAAAATGCCCTCCTAGTCTTTGCAAAACATTCAGAGTTTTAACACTTGACCCCGCATGACTGAAGTGCGGCTTTCCATGAAAAAAATACTCTGCAAATGGGGGGAACTTTGTCAAATTTCAACATCATGCCTCTTTGAAAACCTGCAAACTGATCAATAAAAATAACAAGAGCGTAGCACAAAACCAAATAATATGCTACGTCAAACAGCAACACTCCTACCATTTCCCAGGGCTGCAGTCACTGGTTTCTTCAATTATTTTTCTTGTTTTTGTTTTGTAGGTGACATGTTCCTATTTGCAAATATATCAAGAACGAATTTATGATTTGCTAGGCTCCGAAAAATCTGGAACTGAAGTTTACTTGAGAGAACATCCCAAAAAAGGTGTAGAGAGCATCATTAAGTATAAGCTATAAGTATTTCACACAATCAAGTCTACTATGAGAGGGTAGGGGGAGATGTGCGATACTTATCATCTAAGATGCCAAGAAAAACGAAATCGAGGGAACACGAGAGAGCTTGCTAAACTAGACTTGATGTTACGAGACTCTCATCCACTGGGGTACAAAGCTGAGTCCGTCATACTCTGCGCATAATAGGCTCCAGCCTTAGACTGGATATCTAATCATTCCGATTCTTCTGTCTGTCGTAGGAGTTTACGTAGATAACTTATCTGAATACTTTGTCAAAAGTCCAGAGGAGATTTGTAAACTGTTGAAATCTGGCAAAAAGAAACTGGCCATTGCCGAGACCAAAATGAACAGACAGTCCAGCAGGTTGGTTTAAAGCTTAAATATTTTTGTTACATTTTATGATAGACTCAGTGACTGATTGACCGACCCACGGATCGAGGTACTGACCGGCTGACTAATAAAAAGAAAGATTAAGTGTCCGTCAAGTGCATCCGTTTGTCATCACAGCGCATGATAGGCGTGGTGAGTTTTCTTGCTAATTTGTTCACAGCCACTTTTTCTTTTTATTGCAGATCTCATGCAGTTTGTCTACTCAAAATTGAGAGGCTCAGTGTTCCACGTCGTTATGGAGGTGATAATCGTTTGGGAATTAACGTAATGCATGACCTTAATTCCTCTCTTATTCGTTCAATCGTCGGTTTAATTTTCCATTTTTCGTTCCTTCCCTTTTTGGTTCAATTGATTCTGTCATCATTGCTTCGGAACTCTGACAGTGTCTGATAAAAAAAATATGTATTTCCTTTAGAAGTTTTTCCAATTATTAACTCGCAAGCTTGCAGCGTGAACATCACTCTTGTCTACTCTTTATTGCAGGGATAACAGACTCCTTCAGCAGTTATGAGTCGTATTACATATCGGGAACTTCAGACACTGAGTATTCAAGTGAAGGCGGCTCAGTTGAGGGCTTTGGGTCTTCTGATCACTTCGATGTGAGCGAATTTTCCTTTTTTTTTTTTTTTTGTTCTGCTCTGAAACGGTTTTTCATGGCAACTGTTTCAGTTGTTTTATCTTTTGTAAAAAAAAAAAAAAAAAGTATACGTTCCTTTACATCTCAGAGAATTTCAGACTTACGTAAATAGCTCAACATGAACGTGCCATAATGATTCACTCTGATGCAGGTTTGGTTTTTTCCTTTTACATAGGAGGACGAAGAAATGCTGTCCAGAATTTCATCTCAAACGAATGGTTTGGCCGCCGTCAGAGGAAAACTTTACGTGTAGGTATTCCACTGGTGTTCGTCAAGTTCTTCTCGCTCTTTCTTACTCTTTTTCACCCACATCTGCTTCGATTTTATATTCTTCCTGTTCCCTTGACTTTGGCTATTTGGTTTGCTTTAATTAATCGAGGTGAGTACTGTTGGCACCGAGTTTTTCCGGCGTCTAAGTTTTTGTGCCTACCTTACGTTACGCCTAAATCGTATTGCAGCAATTTCATGGACGAGTGCAAAGCAGAGATCACGCTTTACGGAAATGTTTTAATCTTTATGGCGCATTATCGCAATATTTCAGAGTGAGCTGTCGCCATGTTAACGACCGATTTCAGTTTTGGTCGGCGTCTTAGGAAGCCACATATAGGGCAATATATAGGCATCACGCGCGGCCGCATAAAGTCGCTTGCGGAGTTTTTTTTTTAACATTATTGCTGACACAGAATTGAAAAGTGTACGTTTCCGAGCAAAAAGTTTTTTTATCTCCGATGATGCATAGAACCTGCAGGAGAATATGGTATAAAGCAACCATCGAAAAATTTATCTCCTTTTTACAAGAAGGAAAAATTCTATTTTTTGTTTAAGAAAACATATGCTTGATATTGAGGAATGAGGCAAAAGCGGGGTAAAAGGCTTGCCCTATATCCCGTTTGGTGGAAAAACGGCGTTCGTTGGCCACAAAACTATTTTTTTCTCAGCGTGGAATTCAAATGGAGTCTAATTCATAAATTATCTTGAAAAAAAAAAGTCGTTATGAGCTCCTTTAAATCAGATTTGAGATGCTCTGAAAAAAATGAAAAAAAATGTCAGATGAAATGAAAAAGTTTCACAGGCAACCTGCGCTTTACGGTCAGCTAGTTGAGTCAAATTTCCTTAATTTTCTTTGGGCTGCTAACTTTCCGTTTCAAGTACTATCCCCTGAAAGATGAGATTTAGGTAAACAATGGCAGACAAGGACACGAGAGGTCAGTAAATATGACCGGTTTATATGGCTTTCAACTTTATCCTTTTATCTTCTTTCCATTTGGCGCCAATTCTTTTTATCTCTGACGTATGGAAGCTTGAGCTATAGATAAAGCATCTGATATTTTTTCAACTGTTTTAATTATTCTAGGCCCACCCAGATCTTGTTGAGCCAGTATCCTTGCTTTGATATTTAGCTTTGACGCTGCAATTCCGGTTCAATAAAAATCCCGGTAATGTGAAAGCGTAGAAGCGTATAAAGAGCGTGTAAAGACCGTGCAAGTGTTTAAACTCAAGTAGATAATATAATGATTAGGCTCGCCACCGTTTCACAAACAAAAATCTTCGTGCGAAAAAAGGTTACAAGAGCTTGAAAAGACAGAGGATATGTTGAAAGGAGTTACGGTTTGTACATCCTGAAAACTTAAGTCCAAGGTTTTTTAAGTTTCACGCCGGCCACAATCCGAGTCAATCTACTCCATCCTCAACAATCCTCCGCTATTTCAGGTATACTCCTACCTATGTGATGTTTATCTTTCACAGTAAACTATTCTTTCAAGTCTTTATGCAGTATTGAAACATTTCTTGCTTTCTGAAATTGCCTAAGATATCGTGGCGGAGCCCTTTTTACTGTAAGCACCATGTGGGGTTATCTTCGTTTCGTTCTGTTCGACCGGAGATTTTATTTCACAATATTTCCAATCGCAGCTGTGATCTAGCAGGCAGTGAGAGGGTGAAGAAGACTAAGGCTGAAGGTGAACGACTCCAAGAAGCACAGAGTATCAATTCCTCTCTGCTGGAGCTGGGGTAAGTTACTAAGACGCTGATACGCGGCATTAATAATTCGCCAATTTTTAAGCCAATATGATGTGTTTGTGATTTGTTTGGTTAACTTAAAAAAAAGAAAAAACTCTTGCTTGCTAAATTTAAACCTGCACTAAACTTGATTTATTCTTCTATCAGGAATCTACGTAAAAAACAAAGGGTAAAATTATGGTAGATATTTAAGTACACAGTTGCTATACTGTATCTTCTCATGCCCAATATTTCTAAACTCACGTCAGTGATCACTTCTCGTATTTCTCTGAACATTAACTTAGAGGTTGTGACGAGGACGAAATAATCATTTAAGTCCTTATTTCAGTTATACTTTACACTGGCAAAGTGTCACTTTTCTATCATGTAATCTTATTTTGATATTTCTCACTGATCGCGTTGGTAAATTGTCCTATGGTGTGTGGTGTGGGTCCCGAAAGAAAAATTAAAATTATTCAATGATGCAAAGTGGAACATCCGCTAGAAGTTCTTGTATTGAATGAATCGGATCCCACTAAGGGTTCTCCCGGGAGCTTTGTCTCTTCACTTTAAACCCAAACAGTCCTTATCTAATTCTCACACGTAATAACAAACACGATTGAATATTTTGTTTCTAGGCTATGGGAGGAGCACTTCCAGTGTTCACCTGAAAGCATGGACGAAATGAGTGACTGATTCTAGTGATAATGTTAAGCCTAGAGAAAATTTGAGCCTTTGACTGAAATAGCGAATTTGATCTTATCCTACACATCGCAAGATATTGCTTTCATTCTCGACCAACTCAAGTGATCTAGAATAATTAATGACAGGATGTGAAGTCCAGAATTACAATATAATGTTTTTTCAAGGTGAAGTATCAATCGTTTCAGGAATGTGATTCAAGCATTAGCTGAAGGTACCAAGCGTCATATTCCATACAGGAACTCAACACTGACAAGGCTGCTTCAGGATGGCTTAGATGGAAACTCCAAAACCAGTTTAATTGTAAGTACATCCTTCCCAGGCTCACCAGACTGGTTTGCTCAGTTTTTAACCAGCTATAGCAGACATAAGTCCATATATCGTCGCGTTTGTTACACATTTCATCACAAGCTGACAACAAAATTTTGTTTTTCTGATTGAATATGCCAAGTGAGAGCACCGTTAATGTTTCCATTTCTTGTCTTCCTTCTGAAATGACAGCATTATATCAAAAGCCTAAATCCGTTCCTTTTTTACTTCATAGGTGTGTGTTTCACCTTCCTTTCGTGATGTCAACGAGACACTGTGTAGTCTAAAGTTTGGCCTTCGAGCAATGAAAGTTCAAAACGTTGCGCAAGTCAATGTCGAGGTGAGTTGTATGTACAGTCTGAAATTTTGTATAAACAATCAAAATACAGATGAGAGTTCTCTTAAAATGTTTTATCCTCTCCTCATTCCTCGAATTCTATGGAGTGGCGACTTAAGACTTACAGGCTACCTCTACGAATCGGTATCCCGAAGAATGAAACAAAAAAAAAGGAAAAGCCACTCGGAGAAGGGGAAATCCTTTCAAAAAATCCTCCAAAAATAATCCGAACTGGTATTAGTTGGAATACCTGATTACCCGGATATTGTTGTTCAAGTGTCGTTGGACACATCACTGGCGTATCCCAGACCCAAGCACGCTGTGAAAGTTGGCCAATGCCAAAACAAAGTGGATTTTTCATTATTTATTCTGAAAGAAGCAAATATATATAGACGGTTAATTCTTGGTGGCCTATAAATTGAAGTCCTCAATTGAGAAATGGAACCAATACGCTATGGGGAAACGCCCAAAACGATTGAAGCTTAGGAAAGATGAAGGATTGAAATGGGCAAGGGTACTGCATAGAAAACGTGTTGAATGTGAAAGAGTTTCCAACGCAAGTAGAGGTCTAGGTTTTTAGTTATGAATTATACTTTTCTGCAAAGGAGCCAAGAAAAAAGGAGGAGAAACTAAATTAGCGAAACGAAAGAATTATTGAGAAAACTTCAGGAACAGTAAAGAATCCATTACGCTTATGACGCTAAACTTTGCTCTTAGCCGAGAACAATATTCAATGTTTATTCAGAAAACAAAGTTGGCTATGATCATTAGCGTTCAGTTATGCTCTCACTTAAGACCAGTTTGCGTTAGTCCCACAAATACTTTTCTCCGTACTTTTTATAGATCTATCAGCACAGCTTTCACATATTATACAAGTATTTGATAATTTTTCACCACTAAGAGAAGTTTGTTTGTCATAAAAATCCGACAAATTAATCGCTTATCATTTTAGTTTATCTTTTATGTCAAATTTGAAAGTGTCGTCAAACCATCCGACTATCATATAATCATGACATTGACGTTTCTTACAAATATTTGAACGAGAAAAGGTTTGATCGTACGCTAAGTCGCCATACAGATAGAGAAGTAGCCTTTTTTCCGCCATAATCTGTATAAGCACTTGTACTTGGATTTCCATGATCTAGATCGCAGACTCGCTAAGATGATTCAAGAAAATAGTATAGTAATATCAACAGCTCTGACCGCAGTCAGGAGCCGGGCTCCTGTCGCACCCACATACAACATAAGCTACTCTATGGCACCCAAAAAATCCGGTACTTTATTCTTTTTTCTTCCATTCTTGTGGTGGCTTAAAGCCTCATGCTTAAGCAGATTTTAAAAACGGCGATGAGAAGTGTGGTGTGGATTGTAATTTTTGACTGCAAGGAAGGCAGTTGATAAACAGTTATGTAAAATACACGGTTTTGGTCGATTGATTTTTATCCGTAGGAAATCGTTTTGCTAACTTAGTAAACTTAAGAACTTCGCTATGATTCAAAAGATCGAAATCGCATAAAGTTAAGCTTCAGTCGATACGTTGTGCGACAGAAACCCCACACGTATTGATCAATGATGGGCAAAGCTAGTACAATCCTTTCCAATTTTGTTTTCAGAGATTTAACCTTTGATTGCAAAGGAATGCCAGAGGCTATCTATGTGGTTTTCTATGTCGATAATTATTTTTATCATTCGAAACACATGTCTCCTTACTTGTTTTGTTTTGGTTTTTTATTTTCTATTTCAGTGGTTTTTTTTTCAAATCTTTGTAATAACTTAATGAAAATCAATATTTATCAATGAGTTTAGTATTTTCCATATTCGCATGTTACATAGGAACGTCCAAATGTTTGGAATAACGACCCTGGCTAGCCTACAACTCCTAGTTGTCTACACTGAGCGTGGGAAACTAAATAATCATATTTAGGCTTTACGTTATGCAATCATCTCCATTAATTTTAGAGGTCTCAACCAACACCGAAAATTTTCCGCTTTCTAACTCAACTTTGAATTTGAATTGACTCAAGACGAACATAGACCATAGACTAATATAATGAAGTTTTATTACTCTTCTGCTTAACTTCTATTTTCTCGTCTTCAAGCATCTGCAACCTCAAACATGATGCAACGTCACCTCATTTCATTTCGTTTCACCGATTTTATTTTTTCTTTTCTTCGTGTATTTATCGTTTTATTTCATTCTTACTAAATTCATTTTTTATTTATTTCATCTTATTTACTTTCTTCTTTCTTAAATTCATACCATAATCACTATAGAAATCAATAATGACACTGATAATAATCATGATATCAATAATAATAATAATAATAATAATAATAGTAATAGTAATAATAATAATAACAATTGATTTTACATAGATCGGAAAATTGCACCTCAGCAGACCTACTCTTTAAAAATAATGAACCACCACTATTTTCTCTTGGAGCCACTAGATAAAGTCTAAGTATGAAATGTGCCAAAACCTTTCCAAACTTATCATCATTCAGATTACATTTCATTTAAAATCAGACGATTTATTCAAGAATCCATACAATGGTCTGTGACAGTGGATACTTCACGATTTTCAGTTGCGTATTAATTCTATTGATACCTATCATGCGTGTCTCTTCTTTTGTCATTTTTCGTTCTTAGTCTGCTGTATTAAACTCTAATTTACCAAATTAACATTTTAAATTTGAGCCTCTTTGGTACAATTCGAAGTTGACTAAGCACTACATCAAATATATTTTCGAGTAGAAATTCTAACATCATCATATCAGGATTCTTCACGTTGAAAAGATTTTAGAAATTAAATTGCAGTTAATCAAGTCCAAGAATTGAGTGAGGAGTTTAGTGTAAAATATTTTTGCCCATCACTAACAGGTTAGTCTGATTGACTTCCACTCTGTCGCATGTAACTCTGCCATCTGATTGATATCCGTCAATGTCACGACCTTAAATTGACTTAATTAGGGTATTTCGGTGTGAATCGTGAGTCGGCTATATCAAAGCTATTAATAAAAACACTTGACAATGTATTGTTTATGAAATTAAAAGTTAACCAGGAGTGGAAAGAGAAGAGACTTGAAAATGTAATAACAAAACTCAGCTCACTTCGAAGGGGCACAAGCTGTTGTTTAAGTAACAGACATCTTGGTTTGCAAGACAAGAGAAAATATGTTTGACATTTACCAAATTATGCGATCTCTCCCGTTGTTAGCAGCTATATTGTTTGATCGTCACCTGGAAAAAATTTATTCATTTGCTGATTGAGCGCGCGTTGCCCGTCTTTCAGCCGGTGTGTTTTGGAATTCTCGCGCTTTCAGCACGATTGAAAGTCAGCTGGAATGTGTTTTCATCAACTCAAATCGCTCATTCTATGACCCTAAGCGGAAGGAGGAAAAATGACGGAGATTTTGCCCAGGCTAGAAAGATCCTTACCAGGTTCTTGCTGAGATCTGCGTTGAGTAAGATATTCTTCTGTATATTTTAGCCATACCCCTGAGCTATTTCGTCTGTAGTCATTAGTCAACATTCTCTGTTTATCAAACAAGGCAAATGAAGAGTCGAATTGCAAATATTCTTGACAGCTAGACATGTAAAACAAGTGGCTTGTATTATTCGTAAGAACATATGGTATTGTTTTGTGGCCTCACTTCAAGCTCTCACTCCCTACCACAAAACCCTATTCACAGTCGCTTTATATTATATTGTGTAACTGATGCAAAAATGATTTTGGTTGCCGTTACAGATTGATTACGAAAAAATGGCCAAGCAACTCAGCGAGACATTAGAAAGCAGAGGTGAGTGAAATACCCGCAATGACACTAGACTCGGTCGCTCTGATTGCCGAGTTTGAGATTCTAAAATCCTAAATCCAACGCTCAAGGTATTTGAACGATTGAATACTTCGAGAATTCTTTCCTTTTGCCGTGAAAACACGACTGAAAAAAGCTACAAGAGCTTTTACTGTGCTTCATGTGCTACTCAAGTTGAAGTTTAATGCGGTTTTGGCGCGAGTTAGCGGCAAAGAAGGGAGGTGAGCTCAGGTCGCTCGCTGGCTCTCGTGCCATTTAAATCACAGACATCTCCTATTACAACACACTGAGCAGCAAGACAGAAACAAAACAGAAAGAAGAACATAATGAAAATGGATCTCATTGTTGTTTTATGCAAACAACTATTTATAAGCCACACCGTGGGCTTTTGTGTACGATGCTGTTTAGAACAAACACAATAGTTTGCCGAATGCGCTCAACTTACGCCGATTTGATTTTAGTAATTGCGTGATTTTATGGCGAACAGCATGCAAGTTCTTTCAAAATGAGGGCCGCGATACTTCACTCTTCATCCACGTTTCTAGTCATCCCAATTTCATAAAAGGTATAATTTAACAACCCAGTTTATCAAGTGTAAAAATAGCATTCTTTTGTGGTTGTCCGGGGCAAACAATGTTCGGTACAAATTTAAATACTGTTTTTGAACGCTCTATTGCCTTTGAAACATTGGAAGTCTGTTTTGTTCCCTTTCATTGTTGCCAATTAAGGCCTTGCTTTGTTATGCAAAGCGATATGCTCTAGAAAGTGTTTTCCAATATCATATGGACTGATTTTGACTATAATTAGCAGCGCACCATTTCTTGGTTAATTAATGTTCAATTCTTGGTTCCTTTTTACGTAATACCTAATTAAAGAGCGGTCCCTGTCAGGGCTTAAGCTACGGACAAGTATAACGTTTTTCAACGACAATTTGTTTCAAATTTATCATTTGTCTTACTCACTGACATCTTGTTTATCGTTGTTAGTTTTTTAAAACTTTTATATGATGGAAAGTGAACATGTTCTGAGTACCGAAGATCAATGTTATGACCGGCGCCGATAACTTTCCGAAGTATGTGTCGCGTTAATTGCAACGGAGAGAACTCACTCAAATTTCATTTGATTAATTATTTTTTTATCATTATAATTGTTCCTCAAAAGATGGAAACAGCTATTTGGTAAATGAAGCGTAGATAGTGGAGATTAAAACGGCTGGCGAATGATAACGAACCTGAACTGAAATGTGAGCTCAAATTTTTTAAGACGCTGGTGTCGTTCATTTACCGATCAGTTTACAAACATCCAGCTAGTATTAAGGTTTGAAGCAAGTACGATGTAATATATATTTTTCCTTTTTTGCCAGCCCTCTCGCAAACTGGAAATTTAATTTTGTTAACGTAAATTGGTAGAAATTTTACCGGCCGTAGAATAAAAAGTCTCGGCTACTTTATATTTTTTTGCTTGGCTATTTTGAATTATAAAATTATTTTTTCAACTTTTCATTTTGTCCAAAGTCAAATGTCAAATCAATCAAATGTCCGAGACGAAAATTTTCAGTTAAGGATGGGGAACTGGATAATAAAATCGGTTTTGCTGTTATTATGAGTACAGTAGTGTACGAGAAAATTGATCAACAAACGACTTTCACTTTGATTGCTATTGACATATTGAGTGCAGTTATTTTCGTCGCTTGACAATGACCTGAGGTCAACCTGTGATGCAAAAAAGGTTCGTTTGTTATAGCGTGACAAGGAAGTAGTACATGACAGTGAAGATAATTCGTGACTTGTTTCGAATGCTCATCGACTCAATCGCGTTTTACGCAATAAGTGGCAAAATATGAGGGATTAACGCTGCCAATTGGGTGCTTTTGATCATCCAGTTTCATACTCTACTCGCCTGTATTGTAAAATCATATGAAAGAGACATATTTAATCTCAGCACCACATTACATCTGTGCACAGAAACTTGCACTGTCTCTTAATTCAACTTAAAACCACTTTCATCCTCAATGCATTTTGTTTTTTTCAAGTGATCTATGTTACTAGAAACATATAAAACAGTATTGCTCATTCTCACATGATAGGTGGCTTGAAAGTTTCCAGACCAAATGTCAGGAGCTTTTCATAATGGGCTTCTGCAAATGTTCTGCATGCCTCGATTTAACTAGATTTTATCTATTGTTAATGTCATGTACAATAACGGATATCTTAAATTCTTTTTGTGATGTTGGGTCGAACATTATTGGCCACTGACTTGCATTTATCTCTAGAAAGTTCAGCATTCTCAAAAGTCACCATTCACAGATCTTACTCGAAATGCTTCGAGATTCATAGACGAATTTTATAAATCAGAGTGTAACAAATGCTGCACGCCTTTATGGAAATGTCTGAAATTCTTAGTCGGCTTAGGGTGCAGGCGTAGATTAAAGGATCATAACACAAAAGCATTCATTCCACGAGGAGAGTTATTCAGTGACATGACGACTGATGTACTGACGTTAAAACTCCCTAATTTATCTTGTTTTTTTGGGGGTCGGATAAGACGAGTTGGTAGTCCTTCCCAATTCTCTACAATAGTCCTTGTTCATTTCATACAGAAAGCATTGATTGGCTAAGTTTTTACCCTATGATATTCATACCCTTCTGATAGAGGAAATTGTCAGAATGGTAAAAGGATAGAAGAAATAAAGAAGAAATATGTATCAATTAAATTAACTCTTTTCATTCATGTCCTGTCTAAGCCAGTGTAATCAATTACATGTATTAGACGTCTAGTTAAATATCAGAAAAACTTATACGGACTACAAGTTCCCCAGAACTAGCTATGGATACACGAAATGAACGAAAATCTCCTCCTATGAAATATTATTACTACCTTTATCCATGGTTCTGCAATTTTTTTTCCAATTTCTGTTCCCGAAAGGAACACTTTTTTCAAGGAGCCGAATAAAACAAAAATCTAAATATAGGACCAAGCTCTCGTTCCCCAAATTTCTCACATTGAAAAATCCCTTCGACGCACTTTGAAGTTTTTAATTCCTTCTTAAGTTTATCCGGAAACGATTCTGCTTTGTTTTAGTGTTACAAGACAATGTAAGGTACAGATAACGATTAAATAAGAGCGGATGGGCGTTGAAAATTTGATGAAAAGGGTTGCCTCCTTCGGTTGAGAGATACATTCCTCTCTGCCACGACTTAATCACACCACAAAGGATAATAGCAAGGATTTCTTTAATAAAGAGGAAATGCTTGTTTGATGGTAGTGAAGATGTTAAATTATTTTCTGAAATCTAAATCGTAAAAGAGTAGAGATGTATAGAATGCGCTTTGTGGAGGAATTCCGTAACTGATTTTTGTGATAACTCTCTAAGGAACTTCAATGAAAACTTTTGTCTGTTTGTCACCTTAAAAGAAATAACTATGTGGTGGTCGACAATAAAGCCTAACTTTCTCTAGCCCGTCACCACAAGAGTTGGCGAGTCAGTTGTGGGAAAGAAAGTCTTGAGCGTTAAGCATAACATTGCGTGCTGTGTTTTGAATGAACAAGCAGTTGTCATGATGGCGTGGCTGCTTGCAAATCACAGCTTCCTAAATCCACTTGAAATTCATGACAACAAAGGAAACAAAAAACACTCGCCATTACTGAACTCAAACAGACCTCACCTCGTGCTGTGTTTTACGTGCGAAGCTCGCTCGCGAAGTTTCATGTCCGAAAGCTGCAGTGGTGCATAGAGGACACAATTTGGAAATGTGGTGCCTTTGAACGTGCTCGGTAAGCTAGTAAATCCACTTATCCCTTTATAATCTTATGACTCACCAAAACGCTGATCCAATTGGGAAATGCTGTCCTAGGCCGTCTGGCTTAATTCTTTATTGGAATTAAGATTCTTGGCCATTTGGGTTCGTGATTTAACAATTACATCCCATGCTTATTTGTTCGCTTCGAGGACAAGTTAATACTGGATCAGATCAAAGCAGGAATTCCTGCTTGGATTTCTTGATCTTTTGTTAATAAGCTCGAGTCGGATTTATTAACCTGCGAATTGCTCGACAGCAGACTATTACCGGCTTCTGATAAGCCCAGGTGATGTGCGCGTCGTCTCGAGTTTAAGTGATTTATTTGCATTTGCAAAGGATAGTACTACTCCTGCTTTATAGTATTGGAACTCAGAGAGAAGCACTGGCATGGATCTTTCCCCTCGTAAAACGTTTCTTTCCGCACCGTTTCGCCTGCTAAGATCCGAAAATGTTGGTAGGAAAAGCTCTAAAGCGAGTATGAGCGAGGCCTTGAAGAGGGCGACGCTTACGCACGCGGCAAAAGGTATGACATGCTACAAATTAATGACCTGTAACTTAAAAAGCGTCTAAGTGAATATTCTCCTCTCTTCTCTGCAAATCGATGGTAGCATTCTGTAATGTATGGCCTACAAAGCCGCCATGAGTCGCCCAAAGCTAAATACCTAGTAGATTTTTGCTTTTGAATAAGAGAGGGTCACGTTCATGATGTGTAAATCACTAATGAACGCGTTACACCCTATATGTTTTTGAAATGTGCTACAGTGTTAGAAAAAAAAAGTTGTACTTTTTGCCTTTTTAGATCGTGTGCTCCACGATTTCATCCAACACGGCCACTATACTTCTTGTAGTAAAATCCTTTCACAACACTAATTGTGTTATTTGACCCCGAGTACTTAGCGGTTTATTCGTAAATTGAAACAGCACGGAGCCAATTGTTGACAAATCACGCTATAATTATAAGATCACGCTGCGACTGAAGAATACCAGTAGCGGGCTTAAAAAAGAGTCGGTGGTTACGGATATGACATGTATTGACCAAAACATACCGAACAGCGGTTCATATCCGAATGCCAGAGCAAATTAAAATCATAAGCTTTAAGACCGAAAGTTTCACATGGAGAAAGGAAGGAGAACTGTTTTCGTTCGACATACTATAAATTATTGTAACAAGCTGAGTTCTACACGCATTTTCATGGGTTAGCTCTTATGATCTACTGGAGGACAGACGCATGGACGGCATCAGCATCTTACACCAAATTTTGCTTCTTTATTCAAGAAAATAAATAGACTGCACTAAATCAAACAGGTTCACTATGGGCGTTCTCTAAAGAAATTGCAAATACTTGCGAGATTTGTTTGTCGTATACTCAGACATTAGTCTTGGTTACTCATTATTCACGGTCCGTGTTTCTAAGGGTGTCTCTCCAGCTGGTTATGCATCTTTACCTTTTGTTAAGCTTACCTGTTTTAAAGAAGGCCTATAACATTCTCAAATCAAGGGCCTCCTTTTTCAGCGATAAACTCATTTGCCAGTTTGTTTGGTTTGTTAAAATTTTTTCATTTATATTGTTATCATAACCACCAAGTTGAGGGTGGAAAATAGGAAAGTGTAGTAACCACGGAAACGGTATGATTTATTGATGCCATTCAAAGAAGCATTACCGAGCATTCCCGTCTCAGCAAGTAGTACGTAGACGCGTGGGTGGAAAGAAGAATGGATTTTTCCCTATCTACCTTAATCTAATAAAGTTAACTTTATCATTTTGATCTGAGGGTCGTGTTAACTCGCAAATACTTTACGCCTCATTAGAACCTAAACCGGAGCATGTATTAGTCTGCTGTGGTACTGAGAACTTTTTCATTCGTTCATTCATCCTCTTTCGCCTCCATAAGTCGAACTCGTCGTCTATTCCTTTATTTAGTTATTTATCAAGGTAGAGGCAGATGCGCTGCAGAGTTCGGTTCTCGACGAAAACTGTCACAAGGACCTGTATTTCTTTTCCCTGTTTAGGCCACTAAGCCACCCTTTCCGCCACAAATGAATTAAACTTTAATTTCAAGTTTCAAGAGTTCTTAGAAGGCTTGTGTTGGCGATTAATGCTTAAGAAACTTTGCTGTCATTAGGAATTGTCTGGATCAGAAACACATTACAAACTAACGGCCCAGAATGGATTTTATTTCCTTTTTCACTTGTTTGTTTGTTTAAATTGGCACGTGCAAAATTTACCTATTACTGTGCAAGTGTGTTTTTCACGGTATTGATATTTTTGGCTGATGCTTTCCTTTTCGATCAATCCGTGCACATAAAAAAGAACCACTTTATATAAAATACGTAAAACACCAAATAATATTTTTGCAGAGCGGGAGTGGCGACACCTGAAGGCCGAATATGAAAGTTACATCATGGCGCTAGAGGCCGAGAGGGATACGCGACAAAGACGAGGCTCTAAGCAACAGGTAAACAAATTGTCTTTATATTTATTGAAAAGCAAGGGTCTCTGACGTGATTTGGAATAAAAAAGATACTGAGGTGCAGGTAATGCAAGATAAACATAGCAGTAGAGAGAAAGTAATCACAATAGAGTTCTAATTGATTTATCCGAGATGAGACCGCAATTTTAAAATTTTCCTCGCTCCCAAAATGTGGATTCGAAGCTCAGTTAATAGCATATAGCGACCAAACCAGCTGAGGGGCCTGGGTTCCAAAACCGTCGAGGCCTGATTATGTTTCAGGCTTCTTTTCTGCGTTGCATAAATTGCACCTCATCTGCGAGTATATTTCCCTGTTCGATCCAAGATGGGATGTCGAAGTGAACCAGGACCAGGAATCCAAGGTTTAGCGATATTGGTTTGAAGGCTGCGGTTATCAAAGTTTGTTAACTATAGTCTTTAATTCTTTTGGATCTCTCTGGACTGATTTCAGTTGACCTCGGAATGCCATGATCTTACCGAGAAGGCTCTTTTGCCAACAATCGTGGAGGAGGAAGCTCTAAAAAACCAGACGAAAGCAGTATTGCTTGCAGAATTGGTTTCTCTGGAGTTATTCTATGGTTTGGAAGATTTGGTTCGAGATGGTTCAACAGGGAAGGCTCAGGGCGTCGCAAGCAGCAAACTGCACAGTCTTACAGACAAAGATTTACTGCTACACAGTGCTGAAACACTATTAGAGGTATAGTCTAACTACGTTGTTGTAAGTAGCATGCAATCCTGTCGTACAAACCAGCTTAAAGTTATAAGTATGATATTTGTTGCTGAGACGATCATAGGGTCAACTCTAAAAGTCACCTGTTTCCAGTAGTCACGTATCTTTAAAGCGTCCGCTGACCTGATAAGTATTCATTCATAGGAGACTGAGCCGTTCTACATTCACAATGTGCAGTGAAGAGGCAAGCTAAAAGCATTTTCCAAAATTTGAAGCTTAAGTAAGGTTCCACAGTTGTTTTCTCTATCTGAGAAAGTTTCTGGTGTGAGTGAAATATCCCGTGCCCATGAGGTGAAATCTGAAGAAACTGTCTTGTCTAGTCACAACAACAGCTTACGTTGCTGATTCCTGATATTTTTTACCAGCTTACCGAATACTTCTTCTCAAAGAGCGCCCTTGCTATCGACGAAAATGGCAAGAACTCAAAAGGTGCTACATCTGAAACTGAGAAAACGGTTTTGCCAAGCTTATCTTTGGAGTTAGGTAGGTCACTCTACGCTGTTTGACAAATACCCTTGTATCAGGTGAACATAAACTGCTCGTGGTCTTCTGCCTTGTTTATGTTATGTATTACATAATATACTGGTATTCCATAATGCCTTCAAAAGTGGCACCAACGGACCACGTTATTATGTTTATGAAACAAACGTAACTTGTTTTACTGAAACAATTCTCTGACTCTTAGAATCTTCAAAGAAGATTTTTTTTATACTCTATGTCTGCGTTGTCGATGACATCATCGGTGGGAGATTTGTTTACTTAACCAGGCATTCAGAATACATTACTAAGCTAGGCTATCACAAAAACTTCTGTGAATTATGGTTGGCGCAGGAAAAGGAGATCAGAGAAGCTTAAATTACTTCGCGAAAACAACACCAGAGGGCGATAAAATGTATGTATGCGTAAATCAATAATTAAGGGTATCCGGCTTGGGCAGAAGTGCTATTTACATTTCAGCTTAGCGCTGTTGAGTTTGATCTCATGTTAGCAGAGGCTTTGACGTTCATAGAACAAATTAAGTGTAAAGCTAACAAGCTTAATCTGTATGTTATTGCATGAACAAGAGTTTCTGATTAATCTTGCCAAAAGCAATTTAAAATCCATTTAAGATCGTGATACATTATTGGAGGATTTCAATGCTCAGATTAGATGAGCAAGACCAAATTAAAACTGTTACCGCCCTTTGTAGATTCTCTGGAATATTCCCTCGGTTTCCTGTAAGCAAACTGAACTGCCGCTATTCCTTATTTGGAAATAAATGTTTTGGCGGCAACTGACCTCAAAGTAATATCCACATGATTTCGTCATCGGTTCAGTAAATCGCTAAGAGCAGTTTAGGGTCAAAAGGCGAAGTTTTGTTTTGTTTGTAAGCGTTTGACTTAAACTTGTACCGGCGACTTAGAGCCGATGCCCCTAAAGCAGAATTAGATATTTGAAGTATACTTATACTCTAAGTATGCTTCTATAGAAAAACAATAGCATTTTGACTCTTAACGAGAGTTTTATCAATAGCATTTCTCTGAACTAACATCAATCCATTTTCATATGCTGTATGTCTGCAGAGCAAGGTTTTTGCTATCGGGTCTAAATGACGATTGTCGGCATACACGTCAACCCTTTGTGTAAGCCTCACAAAATGTTTAGAAAATTGGGCGACAGATATCGGCCACGAACACGGACCCCTGGCGTGAAAGCAAATAAACTCTTCAACCACTAAGGACTTTATTTCGTATTTTTCTTTGTATAAGTTTCATGCACGAACGATAACTGAAATGCGTGGGGCGAACAAAGCAAGCCGCAACAAGAAGAATTTGTAAACTACCCTCATCTTGTTCAAACAAAGATGAGTGATTTATTCTGCCTTGCGTTTATAAATTTTGCGGTCGTCTTTCGTGACTTATTTGCACAGCTAATCTCGAATACAAAAGCTTTAACCCCGAGGATAAAGTGAAATAGGCGTCGCAATAGTCGAACCAGTATATTTACTGTGAAGTCTTCTACCAACAGTTCAACATTCAACATTCCTTCTAAGCTGTGTAAGCTAAGCAGTGCTTGGTATAAAGTAAAAATACTTCGCGAAGGTAAAGGATATATCATTAAATTATGTAACATCTGGTAGATGATGCAGGAATAATTGTCTCATCACATGTTCTTGTTTCAGACTACGGATCGCGACACAGCACACCGAACGGCGATTCCTCGTATGAGCGAAAATTGTTTCGTGTTAGAGAGTCGCTGAGTAAGTTGAAACGGAAAACTGACTCTGCTGCCCTAGGATTCCTTTCGCATCTATTGGATACCAAACTGGACGAAAAAGAGAAAGGTAAGCCAAGTAGTTTGCCTCATTGCGATCTCCTGCTATTGTGTAGAGTTTTTTTCTGTGCTCTTGTGCTTGACATTCGATGAAAAGGTTGAGTTCTTGCCCCAGAAAACGCTGTGCGGTATTTTTTGTGTAACAAAACGATGAAATACACCTTCCCGGGTACAGCTGAGGCATGCAACGCGCTATAAGGTTCTATCTGGTATAGCTCAAGAAAGATTAATCGCTGCACGCGTGGTCTCAATTAACACAATTTTGAACTCATAAACAGGTTTATTTGCATTTATCTTGTAACTCGGAAATACAACTGGGCTTTGAAACATTTAGAAAAATACATGGCATATGTATCCAACTTTTACTTTTAACATCTTTATCAAAAGTTCTGGAAAAAAAATTACTCAAAAATCAAACCACAAAAAACAAATGGTAAAGTTTCTACGTTTCCGTTCAGAGTTTAATGTTAAAATAATCTGAAACAGCTTACTGATTAAAGCCACAATTCAGATTTCATCTGGGGTTAGTTAGTGCCGCGACAACTGTAAAGTATTGTCCAAAGGTTTAGCTCTTCGTGAGTCTATGCAAATAATGCCTCGGTCAGAGAAAACCATTGACTTTCGTCCGTTGCCAGTTCAGCAAGCTATGTCCAGCCTCTGTCCCTAATTTCTCACTATACGCTCTCCTCCAAATTTTCTTGGGGACGGCCCTTCTTTCGTCGGCCGTTGGGAGTCCATCAGAGGGAGACTCTGTGCAGGGCTAATCGGGCATTCGGATCACATGACCGATCCAAGGATTTAGCGTGGTTAAATTGGATAAGAAATTTGAACAGCGCTCTAACGTCTACAAATCTTCATTAACTCATCTATTCGTTCATTTATTTATTTTTTTTCGTTTTTGACTTGTGAATTTTTGTTTTTTATTGATTAATTTTATTGATGTTTACATTTTCTTCCATTTTACCTATAATGTACTTATCACCTATGATTTTTCTCTTGTTAAAAAACTAGTCTGCGTTTTCAAGTGTTTCTTCGGTACCTACTTCTACTTTATTTTCTCACGTTTTTATTTACTTCTCCTTATTTCCTTAGAATTCTAAGTTCAAAATGCAGTTTTCCAAAGTTTAGATATGAACGGATCATAACCATTACTCCAAAATTAAAATTCAATTTTTTTATTATTATTTTTTGGCTTTGGGATCGAAGCAAGGTATTTCATGATCCAAAGTGATACGAAAATATTTTCCGCGACTGATTTGAATGACCGGAAATGCCTTGTATAACATTGAAAATACATTTTATTGTTTGATGACTCGAATTTGCTTTAAAATTTTTTTTCTTTAATTGGGTCTTTCATTAAGTCATAAGATAACCGCATTCTTAGTTTCTCATAAAGATAACCCCATGTGAAAAACTCTTTGTTCCCTTTCAATCCTGAGAGCATTAGAGAAGGGCATCCTCACTTTCAAAAAATTTCTATCTATATATATTATTATATTGGTATAGAGCAGTTTGAGAACGATACGTTTTCACATTTAATTAAGCTCTAAAACTTTTTTTGGGACCCAACACAGGACAAGGTTTTGTTATTTTTCAAATTACAGTACACTGTGCGTATCAACTGAACCTTATCGTGTTGCATTATTTTCATCACAGACGTTTAATTAGCCAGCATGTAGACAACCTTGATGAATACTATCAACCAATTTCAAATCTTAATGAGTGAATGGAAAAAACTGATAACATTTTTATTATGTTTTTTGACAAATAAACTGCGCATTTTTGTACATGAGTAGAGTACAATTATACCAAGTCGGCAAATACAATTCTAGAGAGTATAGATTTTATGTCATCATGTGCGGTCGTTTCTAATTCTTTTAGTTGAGAACCCAAAACCCTCAACGAAAAGGTGGAATGATGTTACTTAAGAATTTTAATATCGGTTAAAAGGTTAAATTTTGAACGTGAGTTATTTCTTGTTATCTCTTCATGTACATATCATTTCAACTTACTCTTAGACTTATCATTCAAGTCGCTGACAGACTTGTTTTTGTGAATTTGTTGCCTCAAAGCTACTTCTAGACTAGAAGAACACCTCATAAATTGTTGTGAACTTTGAAAGTCAGTAAGTGACTTAGGGACATTTTTCTTTACTTTTTTTCTCAGGTTTACAGGAATACAAAAGGCGACTGTTTGAACTTCTGAAACACCTTCTAAAATCTCAAGATTCTGCCACAGGTATGATTTGAGTACTCTCTATAAATATATAAACATTTGTATAAGTGTACGCACTTACATCTTGCAATTTGGCGTCAACGAAAGTCTACGAAGATTTTCGTTTTAGATTAGGTTATACTATTTAACTGGTGTACCTTGAGATTTTAAGCAACATGTAATCACTGAAGAAATTGGGCGACAAAAGGAACGAGACATTGTTTTATTTCTCGGAACATCGCCTATATGACTCAGAAAGAGGATAATTTAGTCGTCGGTCTATCAAAAATAACCGCTATTTTCTGGATTCTAATTTCTTAAATGTGTTCATTGAGATGAGCTTAGTTGCGTGAAAATCACGTATTTCCAAGAGAGAAGGTTGCACTGGGATCATACTCTTTTTGGAATGGCATTCGGCTATCTTTATACATATGAATAAGTTTCTAAAGAAACTGTGGTGCTGCGTCGGTGGGAGAGTATAGCAGGTAATTTAGTGTTAACAACTGGGTTGAAAACGTAAATGAGCCACCGTAAAGGGTAAAAAAGCTGACGTTTCGAGCGTTAGCCCTTCGTCAGGGCGATGGATCGCTCGAAACGTCAGCTTTTTAACCCTTTACGGTGGCTAATTTACGTTTTCAACCCAGTTGTTAACACTAAATTACCTACTATCTTTATACATACCTCTGCACGAGTCCTTCCACTCTCCCCCCATTCCCTCTCGAATTCAGTGTTGGCTGTTACTAAAAGAACTGGGGCGAGTGCCAATATTTCCGCTTTGAGAGTATGGCGGGGCATTTCAAGGAAATTTTATGAGGGTTGTCAGATTTGCCTATTAAAGTCAGTATGGAAAAGAGTGCCTAAATTAAAAATTCTGGGCATGGACTCGGGTTTTAAAATTTACTTCATCACATTTTCATTTTTACATATTTTTTTTTCTTCTGAAGACGGCGATGGAACTCCCGTCGATCCATTGAAGCTCGAACAATCCTTGTGTCATGTGCTTATGGACAAAGCCATTCTGAACTGTCTCTTGCTGTTGGACAAAGCTGATATGGAGTCCCGCATTAGAATTTTATCACAGCAACAAACGCAGTTTGATTTTTCAGGTATTGCCATGTCTAAGAAAAATATCACCCTTTTCATTAGCTGGAGCTTGAGATAGGTTCGTTTAGAGAAGTATGATCCGAAAACCATATGATTTTTGTCTCTGCCTTTAAAAAGGATATTTGAATTTCTAAAACTGACCAGGTTTTATACAAAGCGCTGAAAGGTCGACCATGGAAGTTGCTATTTTGAGCCTCGTTTGGGAGCCTAGCCACTCCCCATCGACGTGACAGTTTTACTATTTCCCTTCTTTTTCGATCGCTTGGTGAACTATTTCTAAAAATATGAGCTAAAAGAAGAAATTTTTTCAGTCAAACAAGGATTTTTTTATCATTGGTGACAATCAGAGCTGAATCTGCGCGTAAATCGCGCTTTGTGATACGCGACATTCGGTGAGAGCAGAGCCAGCATGGAGGCATCCATGACAATATTTTTGGCACAATTGAGGAAAATTTTCATTTATAAAGTTGCCTCTTTGGATCTAAAAACACGACAAATAGAAAAGTTTAAAATGTATAGTTTAAGGGCAGAGACAAAATCAATGATTTCTTAGGCACACTTCTCCTTTGACGTAGCTGTATTTCATCCTTAAGGAATCAGCGGTATGACAGCCGAATGTTCAAGTCAGTCTAGCGATGACTTTGTTCCCTCTCCACCCCTGTCAGGAACACAACGCGGAGAAGGACGACTGACATCTGTCGACGAAGGAGTGGTACTTGAAAGTTTGAGTGACAGCGCTAACAGCCGCGAGAAATTATCGGTGCATTTGGAAAACACAATGGAGGAACTCGAAGCCGAAAATGGGCGTTTGTACGAAAAAAACGAAGAACTACGAAAAAGGTATGAACAGGCTGAAGGCGAAAAGAGTAAATTGACTTTGAAGATTTTGGAATACGAGGAAAAGCTTCAAAGAAGTGAAAAGAAACTAAAACATTTGACGCCATCGGAAGCCAATGCTGAAAAGGACTTAAGGAATAAGATTGAAGAGAAAGATTTTGAAACAAACGAATTATTGATTCGCGTTGATGAGCTAGAGGATCAACTTCAGTTTAGAGAACAAAGGATAGAATTTCTACGAGGGAAAGAGTCGAAGCTTCGGGGACAGCTTTCTGAGGAGAGAAAACGCTCTGACAATGCAGAGGAACGAAGTGCAAAACTGCAACTCAAAATACGACAACTTGAGGATAAATGTGAACAGTGCGAGCTCAAACTAGCTTCGTTCACGGGATCAGATCTACTTGAGATTAACAGAATAACAAAGCAATTAGAAAACTCGATTGCAGAGAACAAAACGCTCAGTCTGAGAGTTTTCCAACTGGAAGACAGATTAAATGAATCCGGTGGCGTCTTAAGTCCACGAAGTAGTGACGAGAATGAGAATGACGATGATCAGAGGAAAATCCTTGAGAAGAAAATAATTGAATTGGAGGTTAAAGTGAAAGAACAGCAGGTTAAAATTCTGAGTGTGAAGGAATATGAGCGAAGGCTTCGTGCTGAACTATGTAAGGAAATGACGAAGAAGCTTACAAAGGCTCAAACGCGTAGTCGTGAACTTGGCGAAAAAATCTTTGAACTAGAGACAAAGCTTAGACAAGCAGAACAGCAGTACTCGACTGTTAAAGACATGGATATGAATGTTCGAAGTGCCATGCGCGGTGACATTAAAATTTTAACGGAAAAGTTGGTAGATGCTGAAGCTCGCAATAAGGACGCGGAGGAACGCCTCCGCCTCTCACAGCGTGAAGTGCTTATAACGAAGCAAAGCGAGCTGGATTTGCGTGAAAAAACTCAAATGTTGGAAGTAGAAAACAGCAAATTTCAAGAAAAATTTCTTTCTCGGAAAGACGAAAAAACGGCTCGGAGTTCAACCGGAAGAACTGCAGACAGACTAGAAAAGTTACGAAAAGAGAATTCAAATCTTTCATTAGAACTAAAATCTTTCAGAGAAAACACATTAAAATTGGAAAGGGACCTACTTGAAAGGGACCAGGAAATTTTGAATTTGCGAAATGAATCTGTGGATCTTTCAAGCGAGGTATGCAAGTTAAGAACTGAACTTGACGACAGTGAGAGAGATAAAGCTCAACAGGAAAGAAGTCTCTGCAGATACGCGGAATCAGTGGAAAAGTTACTTACAAAAGTGTCTGTACTTCAACAGGAAGTGGAGAGACTTCGGGCCAGCGAAACGGCATCAACAAACGAAAACGAGCACCCTGCGGAAGTAGACTCTAAAAGCGATACCACAGCGTCAACCCTAGTAATTGGTGAAGAGCAACCCGAGACTTTTTTCCAACCCCTAAAAGCTAAAGTAGAACGCAATGAGATTTCTGAAACAACACAGGTGGGCGTAGAAAATCTTCAAAGAGAGAAAACCGAGCGGCAAACCATAATCGATGACCTTCAACATGAAAACTCGAAGATGGCCAAAGAGAATGAAAGGCTCATCCAAGAAATAAAAACTCTTGAGGCCAACTTGTCAATTGTCGAGAAAACGTTTCGAATTTGTCGTTCAGATAACGAATGCCTGCTGCATGAAATGAATCTGAAATCAGCTGAAGCGACTACCTTAAGGACTTACGCCGCATTTTGCAGCGAAAAAGCCAAGGAAATGCGATCGGAGATAGCCACTCATAAACAAAACGAAACCGCCTTAGAGAAGAGATTAACAGACTTGGAGAGAGAATCAGCTTTCATGCGCGATGAGGTAGGCCATGGAATATTAGATTTTACAGAGCTCAAGGAAAAGAAAGATTCCCTGGAGAAAAGGATCCTCGAGGCAAGTCGCACAGTGGAACACCTTAAACAGGAAGTTGTTGGCCTCATAAATGGTATGTTGACCTTGCAGAGAGATTTAAACATTCCTATTGATAAGATTATCGGTTACCTTGGATTGGATGAGGAAACTGTTCAGCGCTATAGACTGAGGCCAACATCTTCTGATTCGAATGACACTCAAACGGAAGAATCGAGTAGCGAAATTGGAAGTGATGTCAGCGAACAATTTACATTGAAGTCTCTTTTTACTTTTCGCCTTCTTCCGGATAAGGAGGGCTTTCTAAATCCCTCGGATGTAAGCATAATGAGGGAGAACAAGACTGAAATCTTACGCGTACACGAGGATTTGAAAGCCAAAGTTCACGCGGTAAGGGACTCGCTAGGCAGAAAGTACGAGGGAACGAACTCTACCACTGATGGAAAACTTGATATCGAGCGCAGTAATGAAGTAAAAAGTCGACTACTTAGTGATCCTATATCAGAAAATCCCAACAATAATACTACGCTTCCGCGACTTAGCCGGGCAGAACGTGTTAAGTTGTCCAGTTTACTCTCTCGATTGAAGGAGGAACTAGTGCGCGAAAGAAATTCAAATAATGAAGGTCGAGTTGGTGCTGATGATGACGACATTTGTCTTCTGTATGACAATTTGGAGAGCAAGCTCTCTCGGCTATCATGTGAGCTTGCTTCAAGGGAAGATGAGATAACTCAACTTTTGACTGAAAAGTCAGACCTTCAAAATGAGCTGGAAGATTGCGAAAAGGGCCTCTCTGTCTGTCACCATTGTGCTTTGAAAGTGCCAACTGAACTAGACGACAAAAGAAAGCAGCTGAAAGGCAAACTCCTATCCCAGATGCAGGATACTTCTCGCCTAGAGGGAGAGATATTCGAGTTCATAGAATACAGACAGAAACTAGAAAAAGAACTGGACAACATCAAAGGGAAGATAACTGATGTGGAAGACGAGCTAGACATAAGAAAGATATTAATTGAGAGATGTATCAGCTTCAGACCATCAGTGGACGAAATGTAAGTATTTTCGATATTTCTGTGTCTTCCCTCCATACTTGAGAAGCGCGCGATGCAGCAGCTTTTCTCTGATACAGAAAAAACTGAGTTTGTGTCTTGCGATTGAACGTCCGTAACTGTTACCGAACGGCACAATATCCTTGAATATTCTGAGTTTTCCTTTGCAATTATAAATTTCGTAAGCTTCCGAGATACATGGACTCACAGTTGCTACGCGGTACTGTTATAAAATACATCATTATTATTTTCATTAGGTATACTTTGGAGTTCACTTCCTCAACTTATTTGCTATCTATAGGTGGAGTTTTGTCTTTTGTCTTCATTCGAGTCTAAGTGTGCTTAATAGAACCCTGCCTCTGGAGCTCTGGGCGGCAGAGCAGTCCACTCTCTATAACTCGAATCCTCAATATTTCTAACAGCGCACTATCGCAAACCAAAATCCATTTGCGTCTTAGATTTACCAGTCGTTTCCTCGCACCTCCTATAACTCGAACCCTCTCCAATTGCCCTTGAAGTTTTCATTTTTGGAAGTCGACTGGTTGGTGTTGCAAAGTTTTTCTTTTATATTTAGGGACGTTACAAACAGCGACTCGTCCAAGGAAGAAATAGAAGATCTTACACTAAGTCCATCTGGAAAGAAGAGAAAGTCCCAAAAACACGTGACTTTTGAAAACGTAGACGGTGAATCAGAAGAAAATTCTTGCGGTAAAAGAAGGCGAGAGAAGCCTCATTTGTTGTTCGATCAGGATAACGAAGAGTCAAATGACAGAAATGCAGAATGGCGGACAGCTGACTTGGATTCCAACGACTTGGACCTTTGTGAATTATTAGCCTCCATCCCGAGGGACATCCCGAAGAAACAACCCACTGAGGAGGAACTGGAGATCACTGAAATCGCAAATAGGCTTTCAGGCTATGATAACATGTCGTTCGACGAGAAATTCCAGTTCGTTTCATCTCAAAGAAAGAAGAGTGATGCAGACTCTACTGTTTCTACTAATGCCGACGATTCTTCCTTCAACAAAGTTGGTTCTGTCGGCACAGATACCGTCGATAAGGTGGGTGTTGACTATAGTGATGATGAACACGTCACCTGTCAAGTGTGTGGACTGTTTAAGAAACGCAGCTAAACGAAAACAGTCAACAAATTGCTTCACATACAAAGAGCTGCATCATACTTTCTAGGCGTATGTACTGTTTGCGCATGGACCAGTTTAGAACATGGTGAACGTTACTGCTGAAAAAAGAGCGCTATTTAATGAAACAAAAGTATTACTATAATAATTATCTTTCATTTAAACGGACTCTATTCCTATTATTATGCAATAGCAACCATGTTGTTTTTTTTTGGCGGGAAATGGGCGAAGTCCCCAAGTACACCGAGATTCAAATCAAGTTCTGGAGGTAACCCCTAGAAAACTGTTGATATGAACATTAACGTTAAATAGGCCATTTCCGAATTACCTCTGGCATCTTCTACAAAGCGAGTCCTGCTGCCCATTCCTAAATATGATTAAAAGCTTTCATTTACATGCAAGTTAAATTCATTTTCAAAGGAATGGGTGAGCACCAGGCCTCGTTTTGAAAAGGAGGCCAAAGTTAATTCGGAAAAGGCCTAGTAATGAGTGGTCTTTAAAACTTGTCCTTCAATAATATGCGAACTGTGTCGGAGACTCAAAATCAAACTCGAGCGCGGATTTTGTTCATGTTAACTTCAGTCTCTATCCTAACAGACCTCATGTTCAGAAACAAACTAAATGCATCAAAATCTTCCAATCACAATACAGCCCTTTTTCACACATGTTAGACAATGTGCTGGTCTCTCAGGAGGTTTGGCAATTTATTAACGGCAGAGGCAACTAAATGTTCTTTTTTCATAGTTCGCATGTTATTTAAGAGTGCTGTAAATTTCCCAGTGTCTTGGCCTTTTTTTGGCGCACGTCCCGATAACAACCTCCTCCTGCCTTCTTTCAGAGGTCAGTATCAAAATTAGCGGCCAAGGCTTACAGAAGTTTATTTGAAACGTGCGTTATAATACAACGAAGTATGTTACTCATAGCCATGTGCGTTCTTATTATTAAGGACGATTATCACCGATATAAAATTCCCAACAAATAAATGTAATTTTTTCATAATTTATCAAACAAACATATTTAAAGAAAAGAAATATTTTAATATTAGGCCAGCATATGATACAATGTTAGGTTGTAAATTTACTGAAGAAGACTTTTGCAGTTTTTATTCTAACCAAACATTTTAAGTTTGAATAGTTAAAGAAAGAAGATTATATATCATTGCGAATTATAAGTTATATAAGTTGAGAAAGTGCTGACTTGGTGAAGCAGCTTATCCCAGACAACTCAATATAAGCAACCCGAAATACAATTTAACGTGGAGTTTCCTAAATCGTTTCATTGGTTTCTTAACTCTAAAAGTAAGGTAACACAAACCTTGTCCAAGGAGACGCGATGGCCCAGTGGTAGCCCCGCGGAAGTCCGCATCGAAATGTCCTAGTAGGCCATTTCCGAATTACTTTTTTCCTCTTTTTCAAAATAGGCCTGGTGCTCAACCATTCGTATGAAAATGAGTTTAATTTGTAAATGAATGAAAACTTAAAATCATATGAAAGGATGAGCACCAGGACTCGCTTTGAAAATGAGGTCAATGGTAATTCGGAAATGGCTTATTAGGGTCACGCATTTTGTTGCTGAGAAAATTAACGTCGTATCCAGGAGGATTAACAGCCTCCAGAAAAAACTATGGGGGAAGGGGAGAGGTTTAGGTGAAAGATTGCTTTGGAATAGAATCCCATCCAATGGGTGAGGGTACTACTTCTTATCGTTTGCTGCTATATACCCTGGAATACTCTGGCAGCCTGAGCCACTCAGCCTATTTGAAAGACAAGTATATCGTAGCCGGCCGTGGATTATTTCTAGGATACAATTGTGAAAGAAAAAGACTTCTTCGGTTAATGGTGGAGCTCTCGTATAATTCTGATTTCTCATTGCTGCAGATCATCCTGAACGTAAAGGAATTGAACAAACGATAAAAACACGAGTCAAAATACATAAGCCTACAACTGGTAAACTGCAATGAGCAGTTCATCAGCCAGGAAGCAGCGACAGTTTATTTGTGATAACTGTATCTAGAACAGAAAACGTCTGTCGAAACAACACGATATGAAGAGATCTTACGACACTCTTTCGCAGTACTGAAAGCCTCTACTGTAGATCAGACTCGCGGGATTTTTGTGCTGATTTGCGTCGTTAAGCTCGCAGATATTTTGCTTACTTGATGACGAGTCGTTTTGTTTATAGTTGTATGATGCACATGTTGAGCCATAAATCAAGCAGTCCATTGCACAATCCAGCTCACTCAGCACCCATCGTATGGACAAGCGGTGTCCTACGAGCTGGCGGTTGTATCTTCTCTCTCGACAACGAAATTCGGCGTTTTTGAATAAGCCACCTAAGGAAATAAAATAAAATTAGGGGATGAAAAGTTTGGTCCATAAAGAGAAATTAACACCCTTAACACCCTAACATCAGTATGCATATTCTCTATACTGTTCTCTACACAAATCGTAAGGTGCTGACAAGGAGAATTTGTTTAACAATTAAGAACTTTTTGATAGTTGATGATCATTTCCTTTATTCTTGTGACCTCAATGTTTGATTTAGGGGTGATCTTGTAAGGAGAATTTAAATGCTTGTCACTTGTAGGGGTAAAAGGGTTAAGGGCAAAAGTTACCCACGACTGGATTTGGTTTCCTTTCTTCCGCTCTGGAATACATCCAAAGCCGATAATAATCTTCATCGGTTTACTTCTGATACAACAGCAACAGCAACAGCACATTCGTGTGGCTAATATCCGCAAAGCTGATTTTTCAATATAGGAACTTAGATGCCATGGAGCCGCGAAAATCAGGAAGCAAGTTACTATTACCTCCTTTTCAGAGCTTTTGCGCCTTATTTGCGGACAACTCCTATGAAGTCAATCACGCAGGTTGTGAATCTGAAGACATAACTCGCCCAAAAAATAAAACACATCCAACAAGATGCAAGGTAACCACAGCCAACCATTGATTGGTAACAAAAGAAGGCAAGAAAATTAATGATATTAGGGCAGTTTTTTTGTAGTTTTGTTTCATAGGACCCACCTCTATATCTCTTACAGATAAAGCGACATTTCTTGCTGCAGTTGGATAGATGCCACAAACCATCCGAGCCTCGGTATGCGCACAAATCAGTGCCATTTTCCAGGTCGTAGCTGAGTTTTGAGAAGTTCCAAAAGTTGCCATCTACCCAAGACGGTGTTAAGCCTACACGACCAGTCTGCAGTCCAATGTACATACAACTTGATACATTTCCAGTCTGCAGCAGCACATCCTCCAAGAAATTGTCTTCCTCTAAGCTCCCAATGCTGACTAGATTTCCTCGAAATTTTTTAACACAACTTTCCCTCGCCTCGTACCACGTCTTTTCAGAGTTAGGTGGGATGAAGTAGCAAAATTGTAAGTTAGCAATCCAACGGCTGTAGCACCCTCTGTTCGAGAGAAATAATCCTAAAAGAAAATTTCAAGACCTCTCTCAAGTATCCGTGACACATCAAATTTTCAACAGAATTTGCAACGTAGGTTTTCATTTATTTCAAGACAATCTTTGATTTAATAAAAATAATCAACAACAATACCAAAATATCATCACATTGATAAGTTACATATTTATTGGACTCGGTTGTGATTCGTTTCTACACTCATGTGGCATAAATTCTTATTTATTAAAAAAGCTTTGACCCAACTTAGCACTGATCTGTTGTATCTTGCAATAAAGTTTCGGAGTTAAATACCAGTTATTTTAAAGAACCAAACTTTGAAACATTTTGCTTGACTCAAGTAAAAGTCTCTTACCTTGTACACCTCGCGATGAATTGAGAACTGTTTCATTATTAACAGCATAATGCCATAAAACCAACCTGGCGAGCAACAAGGACGGATATGATTGGGTACTTGAGTTGCGGAAAGTTGGCACGTTACCGGCTTTCATTGACCAATCACACGTGCAATTTGAGTGAGAACAGGAGACATGAGAAATTGTGAGCTTGGTTACATTGTTCAATCTATTAAAAAGAGACAGATAACCAGTTTAAGCTTTTTTTTTCCCAGTCATTGAAAAAGATAAACCATTTCCTGCCCAGCAATCCAGTTGACAGTCGTCTATTGCGGCAGCATAGCACTCTTTGCCTAATAAGATTGCGCGATCGACCTTAATCCGTGTGCTCACGTTTCTCCGGAGTTAGAATACCGACTTCTATGCCCTTAAATCAATATACCCCTTCCTCAGGGAAACGTTTCAAAATTTTGCACTCGCATTCGAGAGGGTTTTGATCGAATGGGGCATATTTTCCGTCAAGATCAGAGGAGGAAACCCTTAATGGTGTTTGTAATTTGATACTCCCCGATTAATATTAAACCAAACGAAAATTTGCATCTCCCTCTTTTTATCTGGTCAAACAAATCACCCAGGTTTGCAAATGCTCAGCCACAAAAATAATTTTCCTAGTAATGATCATTATCGCCTTTTAAGCGAAATGTTATGTGCATGAAATAGTATGCAAAAGTTTTAGACTCCAGTAGCGACCACCTTATGTCAAGCCCCGAGGCCTAATACCCTCCTGGTTAATGCTTGACAGACGAAAAATTTCAAGCCAAAAGCAATGAGACTCGCGTACCTTGTGCCATTGATAAAAAGATGTGCTTCACCAGAAGCGTTCCAGGTCAGTGCCAGATGGTGCCACATTCCGTGACGAACACTTGCATTTACGCTTTGCAAACTCCAAGTGATGTTTAATTCCATGCTTTTAATTGTTGCATTTATCTCATTTTCAGGTGTTCGGGCGAGGCTGAGCCCGCAATCACCACTTCCAAATTCGATTAAACCGTGCGAAGTCGAAGACTCTTGGAAAGCTACCCAAAATGCAACGCTAAAACCAGTTTGGTTGCAATATTTCACGTCCACATAACAGGAGTTGTATCTAGCACCAAAGTCAATCCATGTATCTGGACCATATAGATCTAGGCCGATTTGAGGTGAAGACCATGTGATCTCGGCATTACCTGTATTAATCAGAAAACAATGAAGCGATCAGAACTTAACTGACTTCGTGAAGAGAATTTTCATACTAATCATTACTGTCGTATCAGAACAATATTTTTGAAATTGAATCGACTCTTCTGACATTTGTTGGCAAATCTCAAGACTAGCTCATTTTCGCTTCGATTGAAAGAAGTATCAAAGATTCAGTGAGGCAGTAATAAGTTGTTCGTTACCTCTGATATACCCATTCCACCATCCGTTAAAGTACCTGTGATCATACACTTGGTTGTATTTTATTTCGTTTAGTGGCCAGTAGTGATCAGATCCCGAGTACCATACCTGTGTGGCTGTAAACAAACCTACCACCTTTCAAAAAATAAGAAAAATACAAAAATTCTAAATAGGTCGAAATAGAAGCAGATTAAAACCAATATTCGAAAACAAAATACTAATGAGTGAATCTTTGGTTAAACACAATTTTTATCAGATTCCCATGATGTGTTTGCTTCCAAATGAACTGTAAAATCATGATCGATTGATGCGGAGAGAAACTGACATTAATGAATATCCCCTTTTTTATTTGCTTTGTTTAACAGAGACGGCACTGCACAAATCCTATTCGTAGGAATACTTTGCATACAAAGATTCAACGAAGCTACAGATTAATGATGATCTGTGTGGTTAAGTAAAAAGGATGAAAAATATAATCTCTTACACGAAATGATTAAATTTTTATCGAGTTTCTACAGATTATCTACTATAGTTAAAAATAAAATTGATATACTTCGTTTTGCGTTAAGGAAAGGGTAACTCCCCTTTTTAAAAATAATTCGCAAAAGGAACCCTCTAAAACGAAAAAAGTAATAAATATAAAACTTAAGAAAAAGAACTGGAAGTAAATCATTAATTTTTTAGCATACGATATTCAGATAAAGGTTCACAGTTCACCTGTTTTTTGGTAATTACATTTTAATCATTGTTGTGTTTAGAGATATGCAAAAACAAGTGATGTTTGGATGAGACGGAACTTTGTAGAAGAGAAGAAATCAAAATAACTTAAGGGATTTACATTTTTTCACGCTGTTTACTGACCTGTATAATTATAATTTTCCATAATAACAAAACCGTCATTTTGTTCATTCACATGCGCTGTAGTTATTTCCTCAAAAGTTCCTTTGGATTCTGAACGAAAATTGAAAACGTTTAGTCGCATCTTCGTTCCTATTTAATTAATTTATGAAAAACCTGGAGAGCTGAAAGAAAAAGCAATCAAGTGTGTTTTCGGTTAAAGCGCACAATCCTCTTATCGTTTTACGTTCATTAACTTCAACTATGTTTTCTCTTGTGGTCAAAGGCCAAACCTGTGGTAATTTTTCACAGAATGCCATAAATAGCCAGAAGCAAATGCCAAAACAGAAATTAGTATGTGCCACTAGGTGAAATGAGTTTGATTCAGTATTTTGAATCCTTGATGAAACAAATTGAGATACTGTTTCTTAGAAAATATTAGAAAATAATCGTTAAAGACATATCAAAAATGATTTTCTCAACCAATTTTTTTTTTCATTTCACCTGAAAAAAAAACCACAGGTTAGATTTTGAATTAAGTTGATCTCTTTTCTTCCTTAAGATAGGAAGCTGTTTGTAATTTTTTGATTTATCTTCACTAATAAGGTTGATATTCTAAGTCATACAATTTCCAAGAAGTTGCACAGTATGTTTTTAAGTCTGTAACTTCCATGCGCTATTTTCATATTTCCCAAAATATAAACTGTTCATATTTTCTTGCGCTTTCCGAAATCGAAATCTCCCTTTAAAATAATAGAAAGCACACAAAACACTTATCACGCCTTATAAAATTTACCTTATGCAGTTTAACAAAGTAATCAGCTATTCATCAACGACTGACATTACATTTCACGATAAAGTTACATTGATGGCAAATATTGAAAGCTAGACGTACCTTCCGATTTAGCCTGTCACTTTTACAGTTCGTCAAATAAAACATACACCGGTGTGAAACATTTTCGATGTTCTTTTACAGCTCTAGATCTGCATCATTATAGAAATTTTCTGGTTTGGAGTTCAGGAAAAGCCAAACATAAGTAAAACAGCCGACGTTACACAACTGTGATTAATTTTACGGGGCCTTCGAATGGAAATTTGGAGGAAAAGCAAACAAAAACAATCATAGTAGGGACGGCCGAGCAATGACATTTCAAAGGATGTACAATTTTGGATTCCCTGCAGGATATACCTTTCTTTTTTAATTGTTTGTGGGTTAATTGACGACTGAGGGCCTCCCAAACAGGAAACATCATATCATAGCCAATCAACTGAAAGAAAAGTTTTGACTTAAAACGTTTTTTTTTAATGGAGCAAACTGGATAGAACTACAATTTTTTGTCTTCTGAATATTTTTCACTAAGCCTTTTTTTTTTAATATTCATTTCAAGGTAAATGATCTTCTCCGTGTAGCTGGGATCATTTTAACAGATGTTCGAAACGGGCGGAACGATACACGTTAATTCCTCGCTGCGTCATGCATCATTGGATGAAGAGCAGAACGAAAACGTTAAATTTTACAATTAGAGTTATAATGCAGTTAGATTTAACTCCTGAAAATCTGAGTTTACTATTAAAAAAATCCGTCCAAGTACCATTTATACTTTTCAAAGGTACAACTCTCTACCAAAGCGGTTGAGCTAAATACCAAAAAATAACAGATGAAAATCGAGACCACTTACATTGAGCCAACAAGAAGTTCATACAATATACACTTGTACCTTTTAATTCAAAATTTTCAAATTTCCTATTTAGTCAGCTATTACTACAGCCAAGAAAATGCAAATTAAAATTCGAAAAAAATTGGATTTATTTTTTCATGGCTGGGGGTGTAATATCATGCATGTTACGGCTAAGTGATACGCACAAACATCTGTCAATATGAAAAATTTCACACCATCATTCCTCCGATTACATGAATAGCATCGAGGATAAATTTTGCCAAGGCATTATTTTAGATCACGTACTTTTTTGGTTGTAAAGTTACATTCCTTCTGACGAATTTTATCCTCGGTCGCCATTTTAGAGAGCATGTTTTATCCCTTGGCACAAACATTTCATGCCTTGTTAAAATTTGCATCTTCATTTATATTATAGGTATTCAGAATACTATCTATAAAGTTTTTCAAACTTTGAGATTCAGAAAATATTAATAGAGTGTCCATAAGAAAATGGCCCACCGTTTTGGCTTAAACTTTGTACAAAGGCAAGGTACCATGAGTTACGAGTGAAAATTGGAGCATGCTGAGGATAAAGAAACCGCTGAACAACTTGATGCTCAAAATGGCAATTGAGCCAAACGTCGGTCTTACTTTTTTCTCAAAGTTCATTACTCGTGACATTCTGTAAAAATACAGTCGGGAAGAAGTATTACAGTATGGAGGAACCAGTGATACTTAAACAGTTCATCTCTGAGATGATTTTTTTCAATTCGCTTTGTACTAACCAACGAAAGAAACATCACACATTTACTAAATAAATATCTTTTATTGAATTGCACGAAAGTTCTCTGTATTTCACTGTTTGACCACATTATTTCTTGTTTCCGGTCGCCCCAGCTCCCACGCACATATAAACTTTCAAAATGGCCGTCGGTCAATTAAAATTCAAAACTTGTCTTGGTTCTAACCTGTTTGCAACGTTCGATAGTAACTAATTTAGACATGACTCAATCCGGGGGCGAACTCGACTGGAAAAATTTCCGCACAGCCCCATACTTAATTATGCATGTACATCTTACTGGTGATACACTGAATAATAAAGCCCCATATATGGATGTATAATGATGTATGGGGCTGTGCGGAAATTTTGCCACTCGACTTGGTGGGGTCGAACTCGATAAGTGTGGGGGCGAACACGGTATAAGGTAGGGGCGAACTCGATAGGGGGCGAAAGCGGCGGATACCCTTTTATTTACATGTTCCACACAGGCCCAGACAAAGAAGCCGAGGAAGAAACTGAAAAAGAGCGAGAGAATGTCCACAAACATGAGCACCCACGGGCAGAACATACTAAACCCCAAGATGAAGGACAGCTGAAGACAAAACAAAAAAGGTCTGCCAAGCCAGGACAGCCTGAAAATGAGCCTACTGGAAATGAGCCAAAGACTGAAATCATAAAGTCACAAGATGTTACAGGAAATTACGAATTCGAGCAGCCACAGAGAGATTCTGCAGGGGACGAGGACAATTCTACTGTTGAAGTTAAGGCGTAGGTTACTGAAATCAATCATCAGTCTTTTAACTTTTAAGTAGCTCTAGGTGACCACGTTGGGTAATATTTTAACTTCCTATACGGGCGCAAACTTACTTGTGCCCTCATTTCATCCACATTCCCTTCCTTTATATGCTTCCGTCTACCAGAATTGGAATGCAACATCTCGTCGAATCAAAATATTCAAGGAAAACTGAAGAACCCCTTGATCAACCCTGACTCTTGAAAATACAATACATTCAACCACCACAGCTTTTGTGAAAGAGTTATCGGCAAATTCTGTTGAAGAACGTTATTTTTTAAACCGTTGTTAGATCAAGTTCAATGTTGTTGTTGTTGTTTTTTTTTATCTTGAGTAAAGTGGATTAAAAGTCCTGTTTCAACTATCCCTCCTAACTTCTTTGGGACAAATAAGAAACAAAACACAATAGACATGGATGTAGAGGTCAAACACGCAAATATAAAATATGCAACGCCTATTGTGATTTTCATTTTCTTTCAATCTTTTCAAAAAGGTAGTTAACAGTTTGGCTTATTATTTGTAACGTCTCTTCAGTAATTGTTGCAAGGAACAAAATAAACTGTGGACTAAGAGTTTGAATGGTACAACCCTTTTTTTCCTCATATGGGGATCAAACCCCTTGATATATATGAAAATTAAAATAAAAATGTACAGGCTTCCACAGCAGCTTGCAGTTACAGCTGTGGCCTTAGTTCATCAGATGGGTAGACCTATCAGATGGGACAAGGGACTCTGTCAATTCAGTCTCGGAAATTTTGGCTGCAACAGACTACACAGGTGGCCGACTTGGTTTACTCGAGTCAACAGTGAATCTTTTCAAACTACGTAAGTTCTCCAGCAATAATAAGCAAACCCCCAAAGAGGAATGGCCCATGTGTAAGTTATTCATTGGGTTGTACATTTCCAAATGTTGTTTCATAAGAAATAATAAGGATTACTGATAGCGCCCAAGCTGTTTCAAAAGGGACGGATGCTGCGTTGGAAAGAGAAACAATTTTCTACCAAAATAATTGCAGAAAATACAGTATAATTGTGTCCAAACACTTATTTAGATTTAGGCAGCGTAAGATCACCTATTTGTCACTTATCCAGTTGCATGTAAGAGTGGTGTTTAATTATGTTTGTTCTCTTGAGACAATGGCTTGTTTGATGATTTCTGTTTTAAACTTAGTTTGCCCGTTTTCTTATTTGTTTCCATCACTTTCTTCTTTTTCGCTTGAGGTTCTTTATTTTCTTCTTCAGATTTATCCTGTAGTAAAGACGAATAGTGACAAGCTATAACTTAACGATCAGGTAACACCACCAAAAGTGAAACTATTATAAAATTGTTGGATAAAATACGCCCATATCTTAAGGCATTTTAAAAGTTTTTAAAGTATTAAATAAAAGCTGATAGACATGCGGCAATATTTTTGTAGGAACTTCAGTAATTTTCGATTTTTATACCTACATGTATTTAGTAGAGTTCACTAAATGCTTCCAGTAGATGAAGCCACCAAAGAAATATACACTAAACGCATGGCGAAAAATACAATTTATAATTTACAATGACATGACAAAGTGCACTTAAACCATTAACCTCTTCTTGATCCTCTTCCTCGCCCTCGTCATCTTCACCTTCACTGCTTGAATCTTCTTTCAGAGCAGCTTCTAATGTTGCACCATTTATTCTAAAGTCTCGTGCCAAACTGCGTTTAAAGTGTTCCATCAGATTGATCTACGAGAGTTTAAAAACAAGGTTAAGAAACCTAATAACTCATTCATGACGATTTAACAACGGAATTTTCCAATGACAAAGCTCGTTTGCACCATTTACTACTTGGAATCATGGACGAAAGTGCAGAAAAGGGCCACATCTTTGTAACATCTTAAAGAATTTAATCCTATGCAGGAATTCGTTTAGGTTATAAGAACAAGACATCCAAAGTTTTGACTACAGGTCTGAAAATTGTAAAGAGACACCACCCTTGAGCTCACAGATGGAGATCCTGATTGAGAAACCAGTAATTGAACCCTTAACCCCTAAGAGTGATTAGCATCTAATTTCTCCTTACAATATCAACATCACATCATGCAGTAAGGTCATGAGAATAAAGAAAATTATCAGCAGCTAAAGCTGTTGATTGTTACACAAATTCTCCTTGTCAGCACCTTGGGGAATGTCTGGGGAACAGTATGGAGAATATCTTCACTGATGTTAGGGTGTAAAGGGCTAATCCTCTCTCACCTTAGACTTTTTTGAGAGCTGTATTAGGTAACGCTCATACTGTTCCATTGCATATATTAAGTTCGGCACAGACTTCATCTCTTTCATAACTTTTGCCTAAAAATGTATTTTGGGAAATAAGTTATAAGTAGTGTAGTCTCAAAATACAAAATAAGTTTTAAGGGAATATCAGGGAGATCCAGTTGTGTCTACCCCAAGGCCGATGTGCGCCTACCTAAGTCTTTAACACTAGTTCCGAGAACTTTATAAAGCAAATTTAATGGAAGATTTACACTTCAAGAGAGCATTTCGTAGTTGTCGTTCAGTTGGTAGAAGAAACTTTTAAGCTCTCCATTTTGCCTGTTAAAATCTAGCGTGCTTCATTCCGGAAATTTACTGTGAGGACATGGTTGAAACTAGCAACCTGTACAATGGGTACTGGACAAAACATTACCAGGGGTATGATATAACGGATTAAAGTTTATCTGTTTAAGCTTATTCGACTGAAACAAACCCAAAGCCCGGTGCTAAAAATGTTTTTACTCACCTTCCCTGGCATATTCAGTCCTTTGGGTGCCTTTTTCTTCTCTTTGCTTTTACTTTTTGTAATGGTGCTCTTCTCCAAAAGAGTTTGACTTTGTGTGGCTTGGATATACGTCAGAAGAGCATACACCTGCTGCGACAAGTGGGTGCCCGTCATTTTAACCTGTGGACAGATATCACTTTATCTCACCGAACGTTCGAATGTAACACCTTTTCTTTAAGAAATTGAGGCCTTTTAAAAGAATGTTTATGAATTTTAGCATGGTTGTAGCAGTAATACGGAAAACCTGTTAGGGATTACTGAGAACTAGAGAAAAAAATTATTAAGGTTAATGGAAACTCCTTTTTTAGAGAAATATACCTTGGAAGATGTAATTTTCATCACATAAAAATAAACTTCAAGATGAACTCACAAGAGTAACCTACCGTATAGAAAAATTGTCATAAAGTATACACAGTTCACCCGAGGACTCCATTATTTCGAAAAGAAGTCAGTAACCCGGCCGCGTATGCAAAAACACAAAGCGCAATTTCGAACAACTGCTGCTTTGGTTCTTTTCCGAAAAAATGATGACCTAACTCAAGAGTGGTTTCTTGTGAAACACCTTATTTTGCAAAAAGATCGCGACGCGATGAAATGAAAGAAGAATAAGACACAAGTAAGCAGCTAAGTTGCTGAGCAGTTTGAAAGGGCGGCGTCTTCGGTCGAATTTTACCTACATACGAAGACAATTTTCGATGGGTAAGGTTACTCTTGAGAATCACAGAAGGCGACCAATACCATAATTTTATTTATTCTTTGTTATGCCTGGAATAAATAATTATTTGCTTCTGAAACATAGTTCTTCTTTAAGTGAGATCACTTTAGCCTTTCAATACAGGTATTCCATATCTTAAATATACTCTCCGTCATCTTGACCAAAACAACTTTTCATACTGGTACGTTTCAAACGACGCAATACACAAAATGAATTTTTATTGCCAGTAAGTGAAAAAAAAAACACTTCTGTTGCCACATAATAAAGATTGAACGTTGGTAAGAGAACATTAATGTAACAGAGAGGCAGCTCAATTTATGGACACTTTGTCTTCCCGCTTCATTCTCTTATGATGATCACATGGACAAATATTCATTAACGTAAACCAACAACAATCTTCTTACTCACCAACTTTTCAAACTTTGCAGGCAAGTAACCGAGTCTTTGATTATAAAGCGACAAATACTATTTCATGGGAAAAGCAAAAATGATAAAAGTGAGAAAAGACAGTGCGTTCATGTACATTGTGGACTATAAAAAGACTAACAAATTATGGTGTGGCAACCCTGGGCCTCCTGAGCTTAGCAAACTGGATTCCAGGTAGAGAAATTTGTGCTCCAGGCTTAGCCAAATTCTTTTGTTTGATACTTACTAAAGCTAAATTATGTTTCATTTGACTTAATGTACGAAAGATATTGATAAGTTTCAGACTTACATGTTTCGTAAGAGAACCAAGAGTGACATACATTTTGGTCAGCACCTATGATAACGGATATAAAGTAACACCGAGTATTAAAGCTTCCATCCTCAAGTTATAAAAAGTACATGTAGCCAACAGACATTTTGTGGTATATTCTTTATACTAATTGCATTCTTATCAGCCCTTACAATACTGTCTTAGATCACAAAGTTATTCAGTTAAATTACATATATCAATAACAGACTTTACAACCAAATAATGTCTTTTAAACAGCGAGCAAGCTTCTGTCAAGTACATAGGACAAGGGGCATGTAACATAGGACATAGTTCGTCGGACAAAACAAATGGTAGATGCAAGTAGCTACTAAAAAAAAACTGAGGCTTTACTGTATGCCATAAATAACCTTCAGTGTTGCTTCAGTACATGGACCTTCTGGAAGAGCAGACTGTGACAGTTCGTGGAGAGCAGACACAACAGTACAAAGACGTTGGCACAATGCTTGCTCCAACATACCACGAGGGCAACTGTCGGGAGAATCTGGCACCTTTTCTTCTGCAAAATAGGGTTTAAATGAAAAACTTTATTAACCTTAACTATCTCAAACCCATTTCCATATATAAAAGAGAGAATTTGAAAAACACGTGAGGTGTAATTTTCCCAGTGGTGCACAAACCACCGAGAGCGAGAATTTAAAAGTAAACATAGCACCATACCAGACTTAAATGTCACTGTAACGTGTACCACTGTATACAGCTCACCGAATATAGTTCTAAAGATTTCGATAAACTAGTTCAGGTCAAGCCAGTCATCATCTTTTCATTCCGTACACACTACGTAACAACTGGCACAAAGCAGGTGAAACCACCTCTGTTAGCCAAACACTTCCTTACTTCCTTCCAACTTAAAGTAACATTCAGGTAATTGTCTGCAAGGAAATCCCAATAGGATTGTTCTAAAATCTACATTAGGTTTACATGGTGCACCCTGAGCTACAAGACATCAGAAGCACCACTTATACACATTTTTTTTCCAGTCGAAATGCTCAGTTTCAGCGTAATGCTCACCCGTCAGTCCTGCTGCTGATGCTGTCATGTCACCTTTGACCTTTACAAGTGCCCAGTCCATTTCGTCTACAATTTTTTCTATTTGATTTACCAAAAGGAGCTGTAATAGATAAAGTATGTGTTGTAAAGAAACATGTACCGAGTGTTCAAATAGTTAGTTTTCTAACATTTCTGAAAACTTATTGCATGCTTTATTTTCTTTGCATATTTCTTTATTGTATGCTTGAATCAGAATGATCGCCCTCATTAGGCCATCTCCTCTCTTACTTTCTTTAACTCGTGTTTGGATCAGTGGTTACAAGATTATGAAGAAACTACGAAATTGAATTGAAAGCTTGAGAAAAGGGTGGGAAAAGCATCAATCAACTGGAAAAAAAAACTAACATCTATATATTTATACATTTACAATGATAACTGACTTACAGCAACGGTAGGTGCAGCAGTTCTTGGGTTAATAATCGCATAGTGAGTTCTGTTTTCAACTTCAATTTCCTAACAAAAAAAGGAGCGATAAAACAACTTACGAACAATTCGAAGTTCCAACACCACATAAACGTCCAAAGATATAATCTATCTTAGCGGCACGACTGGACAAAATATATATAAGAGGAAGGCCCCTAATTAAGAGGATAGGTACCTGTATTAATATTCTTACATGTTTTAGTTTCTTCTTCTTCTTTACTCGCAATATTTATCAACAATTAATTGAAAAACACTTCAAGACTACTGAAAGCTGTTCGTTCACAAACCAAAATAATGCGAACAAGATTAGCAAAACGTTTTGATTTATCAGTACTACTTTCGCAATGTAACGAGTACAAACGTCGTACTTCATCTACATCTCCAAGCTGGCTATGGACATCTTGGGCAACATCACGCACCTAGAGCAATCAAGAAGCAATTATCTCATGTGTGGAGAAACTAAATTCTGCCCACGAGCAGTGTTCTCCTAAATCTAAAAACTGACATGATCTACGCTAATACGCTTTGCCCTTAACAGAGGAAGGTTGTTACCTGTTTCCACAATGACTTAGAGCATCAATACATAGATTTGTAGTACTCTATTCGAAGATCCAGAATGCATGGAACAGTGCCATTTAACTTGGGGTGGCATGAAATTAATATATGAATTATTTCATTGGTCTGGGGAGGGGTGGGGGGTGGGGATTGTAAACTTGTGATTACTGTGGTGGTCTCTGGGTTGAAAGGCTCTGGTTAAACCCTGGCCAGGTCATTGTGTTGCGTTCTTTTGTAAGACTCTCAACTCTTACTTAGCCTCTCGTCGTCCAGGAGCATATGGCTGACTTCCCATAACTCAAAATTTCAAGTAAAAATATAGAAAGAAAAGAGATATAGCGAGTCTAAGGAGTTTGGAACAAATAACTGTTTTAGAAAATTTGTTAATATAGAAGCTCCGAGAGGCAATGAATATAAAACTTCACCCTATCAACAGGGTCGGTATGGAAATGAATGGGTTGAATACGCTTACAAAGTTGATCATAAATCTGGCTGATGCCCTTACCAGTCCTGCACTTGCTTTCGATTGGAATGTTATGGAGTGTAACAGGGACACCAAAGACTTAGTGAGAGAGGGATCATCTGGAAGGAGAAAAAATAAGAGCAGAATTAGAAACTTCCCGAATGCCCATAATATATAGACATATGAGGTGCAAATGACTTCTCAATTAAGACACACTTTTACTTTCTTGTAAATGATAAATTTGAAATGTTCTTCAATTCTCTTACCAACATTATTATCCGCACAAATCATTTGAACCCAGGCATGCAACTGATGAAACTGTATCAAGGAAAAAAATTCAGTTCATTGACAAATTTCAGGGGAAATTATTATAAAGGTACTCTACTCTTGTGACAAAATCAATGAATTGGTAATAATAATGAAAAGGTCTGTAACTAATTTCCCTATAACATTTAATGGGTGGCACAAGGGTAAAGTTTAAACCCACAAACATGGCAACAGAGTACTCCCAGCCCGACGGCTTATCTGTGGAAAGCTGCAATGGGAGACATACAACTGATCTGCCATAAAAGTGATGACCTTTCTGGCGACTACCGAAGTAGTCGAAGCCCACCGTGGGAATAAATGCAATTATGCCACCAACAATCCAGATAAGGAAGCACAAAAGGTGCGTAACCTTAAGTGTAAGGGACTTTCCACGATAGGGGAACAGAACATTCTTCATCCGGTCGGCGGAGAGCAAACAAATCGTCATTACAGACACCTCACTTGACAACACGGCAATGGCACCTTGTTGTGCCAATGAATTTACAGTCCCTCCAAAGTTACGAGCCTCTACAGGTTCGTAAGGTGCCCCCTTAGAGTAAAGTTATCACTTTTATTACTTAACTACAGAGCGGCAAAATGACACAAGACATATAACTATTGTCTGTAAAGCTATACTCACAACTACAAAGTGGAGCCCAAAGATGCAAAAAGAAAGCATGAACTCAGGATGTATTCTTAATAAAATTGAATGGCTCATGAAAGTAGCAGAATACAGAAAAGAGATTTGGTATTTGGTAAATAATTGTCAACAGGGTTGGGTTGTTCAAAACACAGTTAACCTGACCCAGAGTTAGTGTAGATTTTTAATTTAGTTTTACAGCTCTGAAATGGGATTTTTCTTGGTTTTTTTTTTTGTTGTTGTTGTTTCCATTAGTTTTGAGTTGTATTGAAATAAAACCCCAAAAATCCCTTGGCTTTTATACACCCTCCTCAAATTAAGCCAAGGTTAACTTTTAGTAATACATGTAGATTAACATTAACCCCTTTTGAACAACCCTTTAACTCCCAAGATCTGATTGTTAATTCTCCCCTCTAGCTGCTACACATTTCCTTGTAAATAAGTCACGAGAATTTGGTGTTAGATCAAGACTACTAACTTTTACCTGATAAGTTTGAGTATTCTCATTAGACGTTGGGTGGATGTGTGGATGTGAGGATGTGATAGGGAGAAGTTACATGTTAATCACTTATGAGGATTAAAGGGTTAACTGAACATAATAGACACAGGTGCATATCTAAAAGAAAAAAAAGTACCTGTGGTCCATCTGGCTCCAAATGATGTGCTAACATTGCAATCACATTCACTAGTGACTGACTATCCTTAAGACTGATTTCTTTGTCCTCATCAGGAGAGGAAATGATGCTGACAATCAAACGCTAGAAAAACAAGACTTGAAAATCTTACACTATTGTACTCCAAATATACCTTTCAGCAAATTTGCTCAAAAGGAGTAGAGTTTAGTTTACAGAAAAAATTACTTTGTAATTGATTTTATGAAACCAATGGAGTTAAATTTCTCAAATATTTATTCACAAGACAGCAACAATTTGAGTATGATAAATACAACATTCAATATTGCAAATGCACACAACTACATGTACATCATGCATACAGCATGAAAATCTATGCAAAAATTAACCTTCATCTGTATCACACAATATGGTTGCTTACGGGTATTTTGACACAGTCTGTAATAATTCACCATCAGTCACTGGAAGGATGGTAAACATTGATGAAATATACAAATTCAAAAGACAGGGCAAAAATGGTGCACTGGGAAGACAAAATACTGACAAATATTTGACTCTCCCATGTCACAGACAAAAAAACATTAAAATAAGATGATACAAACCTGAAATTTCTTTATCTGTACATAAATTGCTTCTTGATCTGTTGTATCATCTAATGCACCACCACTGCCATCCTGAGTTGAATCTAAGCAGAAAAAAAGATACATGTAACAGAAAAATTTGTCTGAAGTATGAATAAAGCACTAACCATATGGAACCATACTATCTCTGTTTTTATCCATTGATCTGGCACAAGGTAGAACATTTATTGATTGGAATCACATTAAACAAAGAAAGTGCTCTGATCATGAAAGATCAGAATAACAATGAGTGGAAAGTCAACTAAGCACAAAGGAAAAGATTTTAACCTTTTTCAAGTGGCATATTCGCACACAATTATTTTCTTGAATCAATTGATGTGAATTCACCTACAACCATGTAATACAGGTGCACTTTGAGGAACAATAGTATCTATAGCTTACAGGCTCACCTATTGCATTCATGAAGTGAGGCAACTTTTGGGAAAACCTGCAGCACATGATATTAACCACTGAGCAGAAGCCCTCTATACACAAACTATTGATTTTTTTACCCTGTTTAAGAAGGTGAAAGAAGTTAGTTTGTACAATGTCATAAAAAATTTACTAAGTAGTTCATGTTTTGAAACCATTTAATGACTACAGTGAGGAGGGTCCTAATGAGGAGAGAGAAGCACAAATCCCATTTGTCAGCCTAAATGTTGTCCAACTCCAATTTCTCGGCCAATTTTTCCAAGACTTCAGGACCCAACTCCATTGTTGTTTTTGGTAATTCCCAGTTCAAGTGACCAAATGGAAAAAAAATGGAAATTCAACTCATTGAGGCCCCTCTAAGAAGAATGAAAAACAAAAACAGAAGCTGATACAGGGCTTGTTCATTAATTCACTAAACAGTTGAAAATCTAAAACAATTCAGCCAAGAATATAGTGAGATAAAGTAGTCAGCTATGCATATCACACTTACAGTACTCATGTAAAACATAGCAAAGTCTCTCTCTCAGACAATTATTATTTGACATTTGTTGTGCAGCTACCAGATTTACATTATTTACTTGCATTGTGTTACATGGCTTGTTGTCTACTTGCTCCAAAGGCCTTTGTCTTATCACCAATGAAATTAAAATTGCCATCTTATTCATTCACAAGGGACAACACTAAGCATACCAGCAACTTTAAAATTTAAAGTCTCCTTTCTTTTGTATGTAACCACAAACTCTACTATTCATGATATAGTACCTTCTCCTTCTTATCTGGCTCTTCCTGTAAGCAGCTGTCCCCATTAAGGTGCTTCCAGAAAACTCTAGAAAACAATACATAATCAACTACTTCATTCTACTTTTACACATAAATTACACATAATTCCTGCATTTGTGCCAGATGTTTTCCCTCCTCCCATCTTATGACTGATGTTTGTGACTACCTTAGTAAATTGTATGATAACAAAGAGTAAAATATGTCCTAATCAGAACTGTTTGTGTATGAAAGTGCTTTTAAATATAGGAACTTTGATCAGCTTTGCAAGTGTTGCAGGAGAAAATGCATTGTGAGATAACATAACTTTCTGTTGACTGGCTTTTCCTTTCCAGGCCTACTAAGAGTTCTCACTAAACTAAAATACCACCACTTGAGTACTACTATAAACTGGTGTGATTTATTAATTCCAGCATTTTTTTGAATGATAAATCTCTTCATTAAGGTTTTCATATTGTTACTCTGAAGTATTTTAAATAGAATTCATTATTGAAAAAGTTAATCATTTGTGCAAAAAGAAAAAAAAAGCTGAGAACTAATCAAAATTCTTTTTCTGTACTTTTTCTAAGGAACAGGGTGATAATGTCAATCTGTCAAGAATTATAGTGTTTAAAAATACCAAATCCATTTTTACCCAACTCAATTTTATTGGTGCTACAATATTTTTAACTTGTTTATGCATGAACAAAAGCATTAAACACCTTCCAATGGTACAGCAGTGTTTGTAAATGGTGTCCTTGTTAGAGCCACCAGGTCCTGAGCAAAATCCACCATCACTGATCTGAGAAAGCATTAAGCCAAAGAAGAATATAATTTTCATAGGAGAAATAACACATTTTACTTTCCAACTGCCAAAGTAGAGTACAAATAATAAGCAAATAGAGTACAAATAACCTGCAATATTGTACAGTTGGTTTTTTTGTATTGTAAATAAACCTGTTTAACTAGTCACCCGTACATGCTATGCTTCTGTCTGGTTTGCTTTTCCCATGCACCTTATAAGAAATGCATGTAAAATAAAGCAATTTGATAATAAGTAACTTATCAGATGTTGAAGAGTGTAGTACCTTTGAGTATTTTATTTCTGTCTGTATTTTGAATTGCCCAACAGGCTTGTCAAAATACCCCAGTACAACTCTTAAAAATACCTTGCAATACTACACACCAAAATGTCCAATAAGATATAAAATGGCCTCTCTGGTTGCAAATCATGCTTGCAACCTACTACTCTGAGGAGTTCTAGTCTATATTTAAAGCAGATTAGTCCATTTCAAAGGTGGTAGTCATGAGATATACATCTTGACACCACACTGAGAATCTTCCTTACAATGTAATATGTTAATTATTGCATTTTTAAAACTCAAGGTTAACCACACAGCTCAACACCACTGCACAAGATACACTTGGTTTAGGATATCATTCTTTCCTTTATCTGTAAGTATAAACTTGAAGCAATTCCCTTAAGGTATGCAATGATACTGACTGGTGTTACATGGTATCAAATAATTAAGTATTTATCCATTTACCTCTTGTACAAACAAATTATTTTGAAAGGAGAATAAGAATTTGCCTCTCCAATCAGGTACACTGCCAATTCATATATACAACATGGATACATTCTAGCCATTCAGTTAGTTTATTTAATACCTCTTTGAGTTTTTGAATAGCTGTATTAACAGCATACTTCACCAGTTCTTTCAAGCCTCTTAGCGTAGCTAGACTTTGTTGATGACTTGGAGCTCTGTCACTGAAATATTACAAATATTATATTAGCAGACACCTCTACAATTAAGACAAGTATGACTAATACAGGTAGTGATAAATTTAAACAAACCACAAAGAAAAACAAATGATTAGCTTTAGAAGTAATCATTTCCTTTCATACTCTTTCAATATGAACTTCCATACATTTAGCAACCATGACCAAACTAATTTAACTTGCTGCATTTTGATAATGATTTCTCTAAATGAGTAATAATTGTGTGTGCAACTATGCCACTATGTGCATGACTACAATGCAGCTTATCACTTCACTACAAAGACACTGTTTGAAAACAAGATGTGAAAAATGCATTACCTGAAAAATGCTCTCAACAAAGATGCAGAACATTCCAGTGAAAGCATACTTTTAACTCCCTGTTTAACAGCTGCAGAGCGGCCTTTCTTTCCTTGAATTCACACCAGAACACAGATTATCTCAAAACACAAGTTAGGTGAAATGTTTGGGGCAGGGGAAAGGGCTCAAGAAACAAAAAACTGGCAGATGGCGGTTTGTTTCCTGATGCCTATTTACACCTCGTCAGAAAAAAGGCCACTAATTAGTGATCATATAAAAGGACCTCTTGTTGCAGCATTTAGCTCACCCCTGATGAATGCACTAGACAGGAGTGTCAAAACATTGGGTCTAAGAATTGTAACTTCTTCGGTTACATTCATTAAATCTGTAAACCAGAGTAGCATCAAACCATATCAAACTGGCAGACATTTAGTGTGACAAAACACAAACAATATCATTAGTTGAGATAAACAAACAAATTGTTTGAAATCTTACTCTCCTATTTTTCTATTATTTTTTGTTACAATACTTTTTACCCATGTCAAAAATATTGTAACACAAATCATGAACTAAGCAAGTGGGTAACTCTAGATGACAGTGCCTTGCATCAGTGGTTTCCATCAAGAATCATAAAATGCTATTCATTAATTTATTGATTCACACTCATTTAATTTCATTTCCACATGCACATATATATATATATATATATATCCCATACATGTGAGCACAAAAAAGGAGAAAATAAACTTTTTCTTGGTTCTGGTGTAAAAAAAAACTTACCAGCAGAGTTTGATTTTTCCTTTAGTATCTCTGAAAGCTGGTGGTAATTTCCAAATAATTGTAGAATCTCATCCACTGATTCCCCACTAGATAAGATAAACAAAAGGAACTTTTAAGCTGATCTGTAGGTAACTGAGCATGTTTGAGACAGAGCAGCAAGGGAAACAGAAATTGAGACCTTCGGGCAAAAAAAAAAAACATTATCAGAGTCTTCATACCATGTCACAGAATTCTCACAAGTATATATCATTGGAACATTTATCTGCTTCTTTTCTTAATATGCCAAGAGCTATGTGAAATTCAAAATTTACTTAATGAACTTACCTTAGCTCTCCTTCTGAGAAACTGTACTCTAGCAAAATCTAGACAAAAAAAAATCTAAAGTATTATAAAAAGATATAATTCCATACTTTTATACATTCCTAATAGGGGAAGGAGACAGATATTTTTGGGTTTAACACAATTATAATATTAAACATGTACAGTACCATTGTTTTGATACACTTGTAATAATTTTGCTTTCTTTCAACCCACATTATTCCAACTTTTAATAAAAGGTATATCAATTTTGCAACCTTGGTATACATAACATTTCTCTGTTTGTTTGCTTGTTGGTTGGTTGTTTCCCATGTTCAGTAATTTGTTCTGTAAGTGACCAACTCATATGACCGCACTATTTCTGTCAATGAGCACATTTTGATTTGATTTGGAAGAATTTGTGTAAATCTTCCAGTCAACATATAAGTAAATCACTTGTTTTTTTTCTCGATTTGTTCATCATATAGGATGAATTACACTAGATTCCAAGCCAAGAACCATCACTTTACTTATTTACTAAAGAAAGATCATTTGGATGTGAAGAATCAGCCCTTTAAACATCAAACCCCTTTCTTCCCATGACTGACTCCCACAAAAAATCCCACAAACAAAGAAAATAGAAAGTTAATTAAATGACAATAGTGATCGTATTTAACACAACAAAACTACACTTATTCACAAGGATAAAATCTCACCTAACTGGGAAAATTCAACTATCACCAGACAGTGTTGACATGATACTAAGAATGCAATACACATACCTCATAAACTCCAAGAACTAGAAGAGCGAGAATGTTATTCTTGATACCAACACTTGAGACAAGAGAAAAGTCTGCAGACTTATCCTGTAAAAGGTACAAGAAATACCAGTCAATGAAATAAAATTTAGAATTTTAATAAATATGTATATATATATTTTTTTCATCACATTTCATGTTTTAATTCTTGTATTCTTTTCTCGGCATGTAGATAGCATAGAAAGATTATTAAAACAAAATGTAGGGACTTCAGATAACAGAAATATCCTATTTCTAATAATCATTACTTTACCAGTTCAAAGTCTTCCATCTCTGATTTGTTCATCCTGCGAACAAGAGATTGGAATAAATCCTCTAGTTCATTTAGGATGTGTTCCATTGATTCTGAAATACCAAACAAAGCTTCTTTAAATCTCATTTGCAAGTGCAACAGGCAGCTTTATTCATTTAGAAACCTCTAAGATCTGCAAGAGTAATTTGAATATTACTGTTTTGCAAACAAATTTCAGGAAACGTGATCTTTTGACAAAAAATGTTCTAGTTCACTGGCAGCTAAGAGAAAAGTAAACATGCAGAAATTGCCCTTGCAATTCTAGTTAAAGTAACCAATCACAACACATTCATGCACCTTCAACCACATGTAACTCCTTTCTAGTTTTAGAGAAACATCTTTATTAGTAACACTTACATACCCTTCTCATCATTTTCATCCTCATTGTGACTTTCAATACATTTTCCCATTGAGTGCAGTAAGTAACACAGTAGGTGAGCCTAAAATTTAGCAACAGATCTTTTTACATAACTTAGACAAAAATTCGGAACCAAACAAGTCAGAGAGAGGAATAGGAAACAATTAAAAATGACAGAAATATTAGGAGTTACCAACCAGTGGCTCTGTAAGGTAAATCTGATCCCCTGCAGCAGATAAACAAGGCTCTAATTTGACTGGAGGATTAACTGTTTCATCGGACTCCAAATATTTTTGGAACTGCGACAATGAGCAAATAATATTTGGGTTAACTACATGGGAGTGCAAACATTTCACTCCAATTCTGCCCACTATAATCTTTACTGAATAGGAATAGTATCATGAAACAACTTGCACGTTACCTGGTTGCTTAACATATCTAGAATTGGTTGTTGTAACTGAGGGTTCCTACATAATACATGGAAGAGCCCCTAAAACAGCAAGAGAATGAATGAACAAATAAAGTATAATTATAAAAGTTTTAAGATAGTATGCACACTCTCCTTGGTAGGTAGGTGTTTAGATGAGAGCATTTTGAGAAATAGTTACAAAAGCAATACAACACATTTTTCTGTGTTTACATAGCCTCATCTAAGCACTTGCAGCTTGAAAGGATTCTTGAAAAATGTGCAAACCCATGCCTGCACTTTCTCAGGTTTACATAACTTTCTCAAATTCTCCCAACCCCTCACTTATTTATGTGCAGCTACATATAAACACCAAAAAAGTCTTCTAATGCTTAAGTGGACCTGGTGGCTGCAGGCAATGGCTTAATAGTAAACAACCTGAATTTCCTGCAACTTTTATTTAAGCTGCAATTCTCTAAGTGCTAGTATGTGGTATCTACGGAGTCATTGTAATGAGACAGCCTCCAAGTAAATGAAATTTACATACTACATGTAAGTATTTCAACATCTGGTTGACAATTACATTTATGACTTGAAACTCCACAAGCATGCAAGACTGTCTTACATGTAATAACATCAAAATCAATTCATTTATAGCAATTGAAAATATGTGCAAATATTGAATTTTTAACATTTTTATTTCAAAATTTCAAGTCTTTTTGGCTGTCTGTACTACTTTTTCTTGAGACATTTCATTTTTTACAGGAACTCACAGAATCTTTAATTTTTGAACTGTGAGTAAAAACAATTCTCCATCACATGATTTTAAAATATGGCATTTGGTTATGATTGACAAACAAATTAAGAATGACTGAGTAATAAATACGATCTCCAAATTGTTACAGTCTGCTATGAAGCACTGGTTATCCACACCTCATAAAGCTGCACTCTTACATCAGCTTGCTGAGTGAGACATCTTCGTAGGTTCCCTACATACAAAACACATGCACATGCATAGCTTTCAGCAGATGCAAAGGTTATCTATAATTCCAACCTCATCTACAAGGAAGACTCTACATGACACAGCCGCTAGGTAATTGCCCAATTGGAGACATGCATTTGGTGGTCATTTAGGAAGCTGTAACATAGTTAACACTTAGTATTGATCGGCAATTATTAATTAAAAACATGGAAAAACATCTGCATAAATGTTATGACATCTTTTTCACTGAAACTGCTTTTTTTTCCCTAGCAACCAAAATTTTATTTTGGGCAACCATTTGATCATTTTAGGTTGTCAAATAGTGACATGGAAAAGTTTAGCTTGCAGCCCCATCACCATATAAGTATATCATTTAAAGGGCCATAAAGCAGAAAGAGGGAAGTTTGAGATTCATCCATACTACCATACATAGACAACATGGAATCTTAAGTTGCTGTTCATTTAGGGAAAAAACTAAAGGATTGTTCTTTTCTGAAATTTACCTAATATCTCCAAACAAAGTGCTTCATTTCCCATGTTACCACCCCGAACATGAACATCTACTTGAATTTGACTGGAATGTGATGGCTGACTTGGCTGACTTGCAGGCTGACTTGATGTGATACCTCCCCCTAAAATCTGAAATAAAGTGCAAACAAACCAAAAGATTGAAAAAAAAAACTTTTAAAACAAGTCCACAATATCTCATGAAAGATGGAGAAAGACCTTGGAGCAAAACCATTCAAGGAGGTGAATTTTCTACCAGTTTCCTTCTTTGAATTACTCAGTCAATTTTCCTTAAATATACCCTCATATGTACCCTTATATGAGATTTACAACCATTACAGTATTAATTGCTTTGCTTCACTTTCAGAGGAAAATTGTGCAAAAATTATTACACCTGATGAATGTAGTGGAACAAAAGGATCAGAAAAAATTGCTGGGCATTTCTTTTTTCATGACACTGAATTTCAGATGCCAAAATTGAACACTGGAATTATTAAGGCCTTCCTTACATACCTCCCTTTTACAGAAAGAACATATTACATGTAAGGCCTACAATATAAACTGTACCTTAAAATTTTTAAGGATCAAGAGAAATCCTGCTACAGCAATCTTACGTGCATCCACCTGTCTTCAGAAAAAATAAACAATACTGTTACTGGCAGAGTCAACTTGCAACTGAATGGTTGTACATGGTTAGAGCAGCATTTTTCCATGCAAAGGAAAAAAAAACTTTGGTTAAATACAATATTGAAATACAAGCTGTGAATATTAAATATATTACTCTACATCAATCAACAAAGCAATATGCAGGGTGTCCATGTAGAAGCCATTATCAGTTACTGAGGTTCCTAGTATTTACAGTAGAGTTCTTCATTACCTACATGCATCATTTGCATTGCAAATACATTTCTAGAGAGAACTTTATAAATCTGAAAACATAATCATTTCCACAACATTCATGATTACCTTGAGAACATTGCTTTTCGTAGCACAACCATGAGAGAGTCCCTCAAAGTCAAACTGATCTTCAAAAGGGGCTGTTCAAAATAGAAAAAAAACAATTTATGATTAATTGTCCAAAAACTATAAACAATAAATATAATTTAAGCCACAAAATAGCAAAAAAGAAACAATAAAACACAACCTAACAGCACCTGGATAGCTTTCAAAAAACCCTCTGCTGACTTTGGAGGTAAGAATGACAAATAGTCTAAAGCCTCCTTGACCTGCCCAAGGAAGAAATGAACATTTAATGGTTGTTATAGAGCTGTTGTGGTTTTATTTCACTTTTAGTTCAAAGTTAAGTTTTACAAGACAGGGTATCATAATGAATGACAAAAAGTTTGACACACATGAAAAAAAATCTGAACCAAAAATTAGACTGATGAGCTATAACAATACACAGCCTGTATATTTCCTTTAATCTTACTACAATGATTTTACTTTTTCTTTGCAATCAACTCTTCCTTCATGTAAGCTAGAAAAAAAATGTTTAATAAAACTATGCCAAAACTGAAAAGTGCCCTGTAAAAACTTGACAGATGGTTTAGACATGCTTTAGTACATTTTTCTTTCAGCCCTCTCAAGAAAAATTTATGACTTACCCTTGGTAATAATTCTAGTAGCACATGTGGTGCTGAAGACACTGTGCTGGCCAACAGTTCTACAAAATAAGCATAGATTGAAATCAAATCAAATTTGAGGGTAACATCACCAATATTTTAGAACTTCAAAGTTCCAAAATTATAACTTGATTTAACAAGGTATGCAGGGGAAATAATTCATTTTCTACCCAAAGGAATATTTTTAATTCATTTATTTTCCAAAGCAAATCATACATTATGCAATTTACAAAGCTGACAATACAGTAGTTATGCTTTCTGTTGTTGATTGTTAAACAGAGTTGACTTTTCTACAACAAATGTTCATCTAATCTCACTGAACTTGAGCTTAAGTTGTATCCATACCATGTTTGTTTAGTTCTAACATACCAATGTAATGATGAACAGGTGTTGTTGCCCTGGTAATCACTCTGTTAAGGATTTGCTGAAGTATTTCAGAACGAACCATCTCATGGGCCTGAAAAAAGAAAATCCACATGCTATAAGATGTAATTCCTCAAAACTCTTTAATTCCATTTCTCTCTGTACTGCTATACTTTTAATGTTAATTATCAATAAGTAAAAATAATTTATATGTTACAGTAAGATAAGATATTTTTTCTAGTCCTAAATTAGAAAGCTGATTTAAATACTTAAATGTTGATTTGTTAAAACATATTAAAAATTTTCTCAATACTGTCCACAGTAAAGCTTTAAAAGTATCATGTATATCTGGTTTGCTTCTGGCCTGTTAAGATTTTTCAACACTGAATGCTCCACAGATCATTTCAATGTTTAGTCTGGCTCTTTAAGAGCTCCTTAGCAAGTGATCAATTGAGATATTGTTAAGGAATCACTGTAAGTTCCCAAACCACATTTGATATTAACCCTAGCTGACAAAAAGTCCTTACTACTACCTTAAAAGTATCAAGCAGAACTGAAGATCCAAGCTTGCAGGAGTGTTGGGTTGGAGAGAGGATTGGTGATGATGTCGAGTCTGAAAGAGAGAGAAGGTCTTTACTCAAGTACAACCATTATCTTAGCAGCCAGATAAATACACCAATGTGTGTCAATGTAATGACCACAAAAATGGAAATCTCATGCAATTGGATATCTTGAATTTACATTGTTAGTCAATCTGCAACATTTTTTGGACACTTTGCATTTACAGTAAATATGCGAATACCTTGGATACAGACAACACCCATACATCTACATCTACATCTACATCTACCAAAATCCTCTTATTTCAAAAAGGGTCAGTGTCAGAGACATTAAAATCATTATGTGAGTTCTTAGTGGCTAAGACAACAGCTGCTTAGGAGAGGTGTCCATCAGAAAGAGGCATCAGCAAAGATTCTCCAGTAAAAAGTGACAAAATTTCCCCACTGATTTCTTTACAGGTGGGAATAAAGGATCTGTTGAAATGTGTCCTGCTCTCATGAGTCACAAAGGTCCCAGCCAATAATAAACTCTCTTTCACTGCACAAATTTTAAAACAAAATATAAAAACCATACCGAATGTCTTAGGACCAAATGCATCCATTAGCATAAATCCCAGCTGCACCAATCCCTGAGTGACATGATCCCATCCAAACAAACTGTAGCACATAAAATTTATATATAGAGAGATCTAAGCAATTGCATTATAGGCAAGATGACTGGATTGCCAAAAAGTTATTTATTGTAAGGCAATACAGGTTACATACCACAAAATGCAAAACAAATTCTCAAAACCAGTCAAAGATTCATTTTCTTGTTCTAATTGTCTGACTTGGATTTATTTTGTTACTCTGAAGTTCTCAAATGAATACAGTTGCAAAAGTGTCGTGTTTTCTTGTCTAAAATTTATAGAAGTATGTAAACCTGCTAAAAGCACTTTATCTTTTTGTTGGTTTGCAGTGGTCAATCCCAAGTAGGCAGCATTGGCCCATCTTACCCACACTGGTAGCCAAACAGAGTACAGGATTTGTTTCATATTGGTGATCTCAGAACTAGCCATTTAACATTTAATTTTATGACATTTTAAGTCATAATTAATTTTGTACCTGTTCTGAACTGTTTCTAGTATTTGATCCTGAACTGAAGAGCATGCTGGGATATTTTCTTGGAAGAAGAAAAAAATCACATATTAAAAAGAATTGCATTAACTTATTTGATAGGCTGAGATGAGACTAATATGTAACGAAAAATGAACGTTTTCAGCAAACCAATAAAAGTCTTGTTTTGTCTGAGGCAAAAAAGTAGAGCTAAAAATTAATTCTCATATTTGGAATGCTTAGACTGCTAATTTGGTACTGAATCCAGCCAGATAAAAATTTTACTTGGCTGGTGAGAACTCAGCAAAATGTTGATAAAACTGATTGAAAAGTTGTAATGAACAGAGACGACAAGCTGCTGCAGTTCAGTGAACAAGTTTTACAAGATGTTAAACCTCAAAAAAGTGTTATCTTGTGTGCTATTACAGGCATCTACAGGGAAACAGTTAATAACAAGATAAAATTCATTCAAAAATTTAGTTCTGTAAGTTTGTTTAAGTTAAAAACAAATTTACCACAATTTTTCTGTCTCTTACCACAGCTAAATCAGATTACCTCTAGCCCATTTGGATTGCTTTCTTCTGTCTTCATCTTTGAAACTTCTAAGCACTGCAGCCTTCAGGAAGTCAAAAATCTGACAGATGGATTAAAAAGTGGTTTGTCAAGTTATAACTGCTTCAACTACCAAAGTAAATTCTGCAGTGAATCCCTTTAGAGGATTTGGACCCCAGCCAAAGTTGAATTCACAGCAACATTTCCTTCAAAATTAGACTTAGAGAAATCACCACAGTGCTATGCCATGCCATATACAAAGCCAAGTGGGTAATTTCCAAAAGAAAGTGTGCTACTGCATCAGTTAGGGAATATAAAAAGATGATTTGATTTTATCAACTTAAAATTTCAGCTTTTAAACCCTCTGTGGTAGCCAATTTACATTCCGCAAACAAGACTTACCGTTTCTTCAAATCTATGGATCTGTGCAATGGAAAGAGCTAATGCAACATTAAAAGGTGTCAAAATCATCCCTGAAGAGCTTTGATGAACCTGCAGAATAGATCATGTCATGAGCACTTCAGTATATATTTTTCATGTATTAGTTTACTCTAAAATTACATGTAAGATTTTATAAGAAATGTTCATTGTCACTTAATCAATGATCGTGTGTAAAATTGTTTGGGATTAAATTGTAGATATCATCTGGTTAATTTCTTGACAATTAGGTCTAATTTCCATCAAAAGTTAGAAATCATTGTCCACAGGAATGTTCCAAATGCAAAGTTTAATGACAACTCTTTGGTATCTGTAAGTTAATAACCAATGGATGGTTCTGTGAAGGTGAACACATACTAAAGATTCTTCATGACAGCAAGGACAGAAAAAGAGATAAACAAAAAATTTGAGTCTGATCTGAGTCCATTAAAATCATAATGACAACTAGCACTATTTAAAATATCTCAGAAAAAAAGGAAAACAAAAACATTAAAGAAGAATAGAGGTAAACCTTTATGGAACCCATTTGCTCAAGAAGAACTGCTGAATACCTTTAAATATTTGATAAACTCCTTTCCCAAGTCTTGATCCTGTTTCACAGCAAATGTAATATGAAGGATCACAGTTCCTTCCATATGCCTCAGCTGATCCTTAGACAATGTCTGAACCTCTGAGCTATAAGTCCAAACACAGAGCATATTAAGCTTTCGACACCTAAGAGAGACTAGCATAATCTTTCTCCTTTCAGTCACACTCCTGAATCAAACATGGAGGTTACCAGAATAAAGGAGGTGATCACTAACCTAAGAAGCTTTGATTGTTAAACAAATGCTCCTGGTGAGTGCTTTTAGATCTTCCAGTTTGGGTTTTCTTATACCCAATATCATATGACCAGTTTTCCATATTTGGATTACACACCAAGTTGAAGTTTGCAGATTATAAAATGGCCAGAGAAGAGTATGGAGAATATGCATATCGATGTTAGGGTGTAAAGGGTTAATGGAGATCAAGGAAAATACAGCCCATTAGTTAAGAATTGGTGATTGTTTTAAGTGTAAAAGGTGAAGGTTAGGATTAGCCTTAGACTTCTGCCAAGGTTGGTTTTAGACACCCACGCAGAGAGAGGGGAGCTTCATTCAACCTACAGTTTGGAGATAGCATCCCCATGAGGTTGATTATATCTTCTATTTCATAAAACATATGGTTGAAAAGCTGCATCTTTACACCAAAAATCTCCTCAATTGTACCAAAAAAAGACAAAAAAAACAGCATACCTATCCTCTTTGTCCTCCTTGCGACATGTTTCATCTAAGTTGTTAAAAAATGATGTTACTCCTTCCAAAAGAAGTTTTTTGTGACCCTACAAAATACACATGAAATTGTATCAATAACTAGACCTTTTAACAGAAAAATGTTTTGATGTAAACAAGACTGAAATACCTTTGTAGAAAGTAGCAGTAACTGATACACCAATGGAGGTAATTCTTGAAGGTCAAGGTCTTTCATGGCTCTAGAAATTAAAGAATAAAAATAGTATTGATCATACAATGTAACAAGTCAAAGATGTTTGCAATGTGGCAATAGTGCTGAGAGGTTACATGTTTTTTCAAATTTTTTTTCAAAAACTTTCATAAAACAGAAATTATAATAAATCAGCAAATAATCCCCCTCCTTTCAAGTCTTATTGTGCCCTTACTACAAAACCCAATATTTTTAGAATACATTTGAAGAGCTCATGTTTATATTCACTATTAAATAAATTTCCTTAGTGTTCATCTTTATTAGTTTTATAAAAAAAAGGACGATAACAGCAACATGGCTGTACTGCGCTAAGAAAATGAGCATGAACAGGCTTTAGTTCTCACCTCACTATCTTCTCCATTACAAAATGTAGTTCATCTGATGTCATTGGCACATCCCTGTAAACACATGAACTCTTTATCTAACGTTTGATGTCTAATAATTATGTTAAATGAATTATTGCCTTTTTTCTATTTAAACGGTGATGACACCCTCATCTACAGTTTTCTAAATTTATCACATTTGGAGTATCAATCACTGTGTATTAGGTATATAAATTACTGAGAGCTAACCAATTTTAACATTAATAGATGAACTTAATTTAAATGCAAAAACAAAATATTGAAGTTTGGTATAGAAATAGCCACAAGAAAGTAAAAAATCTCAATTAACCTGAAAACAGCAGCCAGATGAATAGCACATTGTGGGTCCCATCTGAAACAAGAGACCAAAAAACATGAAAATTAAGAAAAAAGCCAATCATTCAAGTGAATGGATGTGATTGTAGTCAAAGGGTATATTTTGGATCCAGTCATTACTCTGACTTCCTATGGAAAAGCCCAAGTTTAAATTACCTTGTGGTCATTGTCTATCTTTCTAACAGGCATTTTATGCTATTTCTGCACTGCAAAGGCCAGTGGGTTGTATTTTGACTTGGTTCAGTATTTTGACTCAGTGATTTATATGTCAATGATCTCTGACAGCAGCTCCTATATGCAAGAAGTTTACTTGTTGATTGGGGAAGTCAATGAGCTCTGAAAACATCTCCCAAATGCAAGAAGTTTGTTGGTTGATGGGGGACTCACTGAGCTCTAATAAGAGCTCCTGATTGCAGTAAGTTGAATGGTCAATGAGCTCTCGTAGGAGCTCAAGATTGCAAGAGATTTGTTGGCAAATTATGAATTCAACAAGCTCTGCTAAGAGCTCCCAACTGCAACCAATTTGATGGTCAATCAGGGAATGAGAGCTCCCTACTGCAAGAAGATCTTTGGTAGATTAGGGATTCAGTGACCTCTGATATTTGGTTGGGTAGTACCAGAGATATTGCTAAGATCTTTCCTAGACTTACATGTTGTTTCCCCCAAAAGCACCTCCACCCCCTTTAAAATCAGTTTGCACCAAGTCACTGATCCCAGTCTGCAACTATGACTGACATAGCAATGATCTCTAAGTATCAGCCTATCCTTATCTGATGTCATATCTTAGGAGTAATGGGGAAGCTAAAAATACCTTTAAGCCCCTTTTTGTAGACCTATTCATTTACTAGACACTGCATTTATTTATTTTTTTAATTCAAAATTCTTAATCTATTTTAATGTTTGTTTTTATAATGAATTTCAATCATTGTTACTACTTCTCCCTTTATTTGTTTAAGTAATTTTTATTTCATTCTTTTAACATCTGGTTTTTTTTTTTGCTACTTGTTACTTTGTGTTGTAACATCCCTCTTTTTACGAATATTTTATGAATATTTGCATTGTAACACAACTTTTGTTTACAGAGTTTTCTTCTCTTGATCTTTTGCCTCAAAATGATACACCTAAGAGTGCATTATCTATGACTGCTGGTCTTTTTTTTTTTTTACTGAGTGATAATAAAGATATGCAGCGGACAATTTCACAAATTGCTTTAATAAGCAACTGAGGCCACAGAAACAGGAGAGACCTCCAAAAATTTATATCTAAAGCACTTAAACATTGTATGGGGCATATCATCCCAGGAAATAAAAATCACACCTTTTGTGATAAAAGGTAGTCAAGTAAAGTTGAATATTACCACAAGATAATTTGCACCTGAAACAAAGAGTAGTTTACAAGCATGTTTCGTTTATACATGTTTTATAGTGTATCTTGTTATGAGTATGATGCATCTCTGCTATACAGGTAGTTTCATTTAAGCCTCAGTCATACTTTACCTGCTAGAACACAATGTGTTCAGAAGATGTCTTTTATATTCCTGACCTGCCATTTCACCACCACAATCTATTATCAAAAATAAAATTTAATTCATTGCAAAATGGATTTTTGGTCAACCAAACCTTGGAAATGACCAAGGAATTAAAACAAGCAAAATGCACCAATTGCTGTTCATCTGTTACTATAATAATTATGATTCTTGGAGGTGGTAACATAACTGGGTCCTTCGGTTAATGGTTCAACCTGGAGGCAACATGTGAAAGTGTAGTATGAACATCCAGGTGAGTGTAGCCCTGAAAAGGACTGTCATTGGTAGTAGCTGATGTTTTGACCACCTGAGCTCTCACTCTGATGATGAGAGGAAGGGTCCTGATCACAGTCATTATCACTCGGGTGATGACTTCTGCCTAATTTGTCAAAATGTCAGTCACTAATACTGACAACAGTCCTTAACAGGACCACACTCACCCAGAAGATCAGACTACACCATCACAAATGGGTCCATAAAGACATGGAGGAGAGAGCTCATACCCAGGAATACATGTTGTGTCCTCTTTTCTTACAGGTAGCATAGGTACCATGAAAAAGTGTTAATATTATATCATGCACATATGGTGACACGCCAGCAGGTGAGAATTTATACAAAACTACAAATTAAATAAAAATAGTGATACAACACTATAGCCTGACCACAGCTTCAATTTAAAAGCTAATGTACAACTTAGAGGATACTACTCTTCTAAAATTACATCTCCACAATTGAAAGTAATTTTTCTGGACAGTGATGTGTGATAAGTAATTTCATTTGAAGTCAGGAGTATATGCTTCACAATAATCATAAGTGTACCTCCTGGCATTGGAATGACATCCTTAGCTGCAACGGCAGACAGCACCTTTGGAAATAGCTCCAAAGTTCTATACAAGATAAGAACAAAGGTGTTAATAATAATCCCTATATGTGGCTAAATAACATGAAGAGGAAACACACAAGAAGTCTAGCAAACTTATCAAATGTCATAAAAGCCAGAAGTCAGTCATCTAAAATATTGCATAATAATAATTTACATAACTGCAAGGCTCTTGGGAATAAAACCCTATAGCCTCCTAAGTCTCATCCCTATAACCTTGTGGTGAGGTTTGTTGTTTAATGAAGTGGTATGCTCAGAGAAATGTATATCTAAATTAATAACCTTGGGTTGTATAGAGCGAAAATTGAAATAAGCTATTTGAATTGGGCTGTTACAGTAATACAAAATGAATGCACAAAACATCCATCAAAATGCAAATGAATGCGTCATGTTTTGCTGCTTTGTTTTGTTTTGTTGTTATGCTGTTTTTTTGGTTTGTTTGGTTTTTTTTTGGTTATACTTGTTGCCTCCCATTGACTATTAGTAGACAAAAATAAGCCACTTGTAAGTGCATGGAGACCTGTGCAACTAAAAAAATTTCTTACTTACTTTCCATTACTGAAGGAACCAGTCTTAATAGCATTTATGAATAAATCAGCAAGTTCAGCAAGAATTTTTCCAGGAAAGGCATCCAGCTAGAAGGCAAATAAAAGAAAAGTATATTCTCAAGCCAGGTTACTCATTCAGCCCAAGCTCATCCTGGGCTCAGCTGTATTAAGCTATAAGGCTTCACATTGAAAGCTGAAATATCACATTCAAAGAAATATATTTCAAACCATATAATGCCCTTTTTGACATGAACATGAATCTTATAACCCTGGTTATTTTTTCATTTATAGCAAAACAATATTGTGAATGCTGAAATTGACAATTGTAGCAGTATAACAAAGGCACACCCCTGAATGTAAATATAACAGTGTTTTTCAAAACTATACTTATTCTGACAGTCATTATTGCATGAACAACTAGTGAATGAATAACCTCTGTTGAAATTCTACTCTCCTTACCTCCATTAGTAAAAATCCAACAATTTCAGTGGCCATCTGACATTGATAGGTTTATACAAAGAAAACATAAGTTAGAAAGGGCATGGATATTAAGTATAATTTTCTAAATTGCAGCACAGTCCATATGGTAACTTTTTATCCAATTCAAAAACAATGATAAGAACTGACAGGAAAGATTGTCCTGGCTATTGAATAATTAAAACTTGAGAATTATGTGTTTCACTTCCTCACTAACTCAAATAAACTACAAGCTGCTACATAGAAGTTTCCATACATGTAAAATAATAAATCTATAATTTATAAAATTGTGTATGTATCTCAGACACCAATAGCAGTTACTTGGATAGATCACATTTTGAACTCTACATATCTGCTACTGTGAAATTGGATATACTATACTGATCTACATGAAAGTTAAAAGACAATCTTAAAACAAGTAAACAAGTAGTGCTTCATTAGAATTGCAAGCAGGTGACAATTGCATCCTAAGTCACCATAAATACAAAGGAATTAAACAAAAAAGGAGGCACAGGTTATTGATTCCATACAGAATAATATCACACAATACCTTGTTACTAAGGTCACCTTCACTGAGTATTTGAATGGCATGCTTGAACACAAATGTACGTCTTTCCAAACCAATTTTAGTGTCACATGGTGAACCTTTGAATACAGCTTGAAGATAAGGAACTGGTTCACCCCTTCCCTCCAACACTCTGGCTTCTAATAAGTCTACAACCTGTGGAATCAACACAAATACCTATACAAATTGCACTCCACTAAATTCAATACCATTATATACACTGTTGCTATGGATTCATGGTCTTGTCTGACATGTGCAGACATCATTCAGCTCCATCACGGGTGAGTCGTTCCAGGGCAGCTGTCAGTAGCTTGCACATCTTGTCCTGCCTAATGCAACACTGTAAAATATAACTAAAACTACATGAATACTCTTAAGAATGCAAAGTGTCAACAACCAAAGCTGATGAGCCCTAAAAGCTTGAATAAGAGTGCAATGCTAAAAACCATTGGAAATATTTCCGCATAACCCCATACTACTGACAGGGCTGAATAAGGTCTGCCCATGTCACCAATGCGACAATGAATTCACAGAAACAGTAATTCAACTGAGTGGATTGAAATTCAAGCTGAAATGTTGAAGTATGTGGTTGCTACTGAAAATAAGACAATCTATTGTTTTCGAAACTGCTTTCGTTATTCAAGAGCTGTATGCAAATTGAAGCACGGGGCTGCGTAGAAATCTTGCCAAACCATAAACAAGCAAGTACCCCAGTTGGTAAAATTTCCGCACAGCCCCATACTACATTATGCCTTCAGTTCTTGGATAGAGAAAACAATGACAAAAACAGTACACCGCCATTGAGAAAACAGATTTGTTTTACAATAGTATGGGGCTGTGAGGAAATTTTACCACACTTTCCCATCCTAACTAAATATCAATTTAGATATCATAAACTTGATAACGTAAAATCACGTTTTACCCCGTTGACATCTCGAGCGAATCGAATGGAACAGAAAGCTCACCTTTTGATGTTTCAGCGTCGATAGCGCCTGAACCAAGGGAGTTAAATTATTTCCCTCGCAAAGACAAATAATTTTTTCATCCATTATCCAGAGACTCACGGCAGAGCTGTTTTAAAACATAAATATAGCCAATGTACTATAATCACTTTTCTTCACTTCGAAGCCGCGCCGCACTGCGCCACCATTTTTACAAAATTTGGCGCCAAAACTTTCTTTTTTTAATGCATTTTCTGATTGGTTTATTTTTTACTGTTCTTTCCCACCAATCAATAACGTTTAATTGACAACAATTATTGATGACAAAATGGCGGACTTTCCCTCGCGCGAACTATGTTTTGCTCTTTTGCTTACTTTTTTGGCGAGGAGTTTTTGCTTCAAACCGGTGATCATCGTCCATGGAATACTTGATCACGCTTCAGACATGAAAGATCTTGCTTCGTTTATAACGCAGGCCCATCCCGGCACCAACATCACGTTGATAAAATTGTTTGAGGAATTAGACAGCTTCAAACCCATGTGGATGCAGGTCTCAGCAATTTCTGAAAAAGTACGAGAAGTGATGCAGGAGGCTAAAGATGGAGTTCATATTATCGGCTTCTCTCAAGGTAATGGCTTATTCTTAAACTATTCATTTGAATCCATATCAACTCAAGTGGTGACCCTATTCAAAGATCGCACTTTATCAAGTGCAATGCTAGTTATCAAATGAATCTTCTTACAATTGTTTAGAACACTCCTTATCCGTTTAAAAGACATGTTAGGGAATCAAACGGCACTAACGTACTCAAAGGATACGCGCATAGGATACTAATTAATTCATTCAACGTGCAAAACATTTTGATCGCTTAGCATGGACTTTCATCGTAACGGAAGTTTTACACAAATGTTAAGTGATCACGCGTTGTTGATCATTTTTTTCCTGAGCAACTTTTGATTTCCATTGAAAGTATTTTTTTAATTGTAGTTTTAATAGCATAATTTTGAGGTAATTTGGATTTATTGTCGCTGTCATGATTTCGACCATGTTTATTTCCCCGTGACAATCATACGATGAATGGGCAGAAACGTCTTTTTAGGGTGGAGGTTGAGTATAAGGGCTTGAAGAAAGATTGTTTAAGAGAACAGTTCTGTAAAAGCTGTGTATTTTGAAAATATTTGGCACTTATTTGTTATAACAACAGGTGGACTGACTGTGCGTGCAATCTTGGAGACCATGGATGACCATAACGCTGAGAGTTTTATTTCCCTGTCCGGTCCCCAGATGGGACAATATGGAGGTAACAGCTAGGAAAGCATTTTGTTAGGACCTGCAAAAAAGAACAGAAACAGGAGAAAAATAATCAAATAATTATGATGTTACTTGATGTACAGCTCCCATCTTAAGATCAAAGGTTTCAGACATGAGTCAGACCCAAACTGTGGAATTTCATCCCTACTTGGCAAAATGCTAAGTTACCTGAGCCTCTTGACCCTTTTTGCATCCTATCATCAGTATGCATATTCTCCATACTGTTCTCTATACATTTCCTAAGGTGCTGAGAAGGAGAATTTGTTTAACAATTGTGAGTTTCTTTCAATGATGATCATTTCCTTGAGGGATATTGTGAGGAGAAATTAAGGTAGATGCTAGTCACTCGAAGGGGTGAACGAGTGAAAGACAGCTGGTCTTTATAAGCCTTTCTTGTAGTAATAAGAGTGACAATGGAGTTCATTTGCATACAGGTTTTACTATTCATGGCTTATTTTTTACTTTGTTTGCACAAATGTATATAAAATTTAGCTTGCCTTGTTAGATTTGGATTTAAAGATGGATGTGCCTGGCGCACAGACAATAAAGAAAAGTTGCTTCCCTAATGCCTTGTACTGATCTATTTACATCATTTTATGCAGACACTGACTATCTGAAGCCTTACATTCCAAAACTTGCTAGAAAGGATCTTTACATGTAAGTCTACATAACAATTATTCCATTATTATTAGTTGGATATGAGATGATAGATGGCGAACAAAGTCCACAAGGTCCAAGTTGTATATAATCATCCCATATCAAACAAGCCCAAGTGGAATAATTCTTTTATGAAAAATGCCCCAAAATATAGAGAAATCTTCCCAACTTTATTTTGCAAGAACAAACAGAAAGTTAAAATTTACAAAAACACTTTCACTTTAACTCGTCTTCATGCCTGCTTATGATATAATGGCATATATTCCAGAATGGCTAAGCCAATGAAAACTCTTGAATTGCATTGCAATGATCCAGTTTTTAATAAAAAGTAATATGTTTTATAGTATCAATTTGTACTTGCATGTTACAAAGTTCTACACAAAAAAAAAAGATGGTTGATAAAGTTGGTTTTTGCTTTCCATATTTCTTTCAGACTCTTTTACACCAAATATTTTCAAGATAGAATTTCTTTAGCAAACTACTGGAATGGTAAGAAAATTTGCCTTTAGCAAAATTTCAAATTGAAGAAAAACCCTCATGAATACATTTTATTTATTACCACTACATCCAGGAGCATTTTGAGGGCAGTCACAGCAGAACAGACCCATGAAAGAGAACAACAGAATCTTCTCATGGTTTTCCTATATGCAAGCTATGTTTGTTTATCTAACATGTGCATGACCTAAAATGTTAGTTTTTTTTTTTTCTAACTAGATCCATACCATGAAGACAAGAACTATGAGTATAATGTATTTTTGCCAGTAGTAAACAACCTCAATTCATCAAAGTTTTTCAATGCATCAGGTATGGCCAAAAATTGGTTTGTGTTATTTATTATGATTTGGGTCCTAGTCAGTTTCATACTTTACAAAACACTGCAAACATTTTGCAAATAAATAATGATGATTTGAAATATATAGTAACCACTTCATTTTGCATCTCCTTTTCATCTAAGGCTTGACATAATCCTTCTTTTTCAGTTTAGGACAACCATCGACCATTCCTTTCTATGCCTCTTATATCCTAACATCAATATGTATATTCTCTATACTGTTATCTATACATTTCCTTAGATGTTGTCAAGGAGAATTTTTTAACAATCAAGAGCTCCTTGAGTTTGTGATCATTTCCTTTATTCTCATGACCTTAATGTTAGGTTTTGGGGTGACACTTTTAAGAGAATTAAATGTCTGGCACTCTTGGGGTTACAGGATTAATGTTCCTCATTTATTGATTAGTCACTGTACTCAGCTGAAAAAGAGCAACTATTAGCCACTTGAATTGCTTTCTCTTGGCCCATTCCCAAAGGGAGCAACAGCTTAGTTCCCTTATTTGGCTAAAAACAAAAAGGTAACATCTCTATTAAACCCTTTTTTAGCCAATTTTCTCAACAGGGGACAAGATATCTTAGATAGTGTTTCTAAATTGTTACAGTTGGTGCACAATTCAAAGAGAATTTCCTTCGAATCAAGAACTTGATTTTGGTTGGAGGTCCAGATGATGGTGTCATTACACCATGGCAGTCAAGGTAATAACTTAAAACAACTACTTTTTCAAAGAGTCTTACAAACTCTGGATATATAATGCAGCATATTACTTAAAATCAAATACGCTTTTTAATAAAAAATTTATCAGGTCATTTTTAACTTGATCCACAATAATGGCAAAAGATATTGCTACACTTAATTTTAGTTGTTATCAGTTGCATTGGAAATGTTTTAGCATGCAGCAGATACATATATCCTGAATTTTTCTACTTTCTTTATCACTATAGCCAGTTTGGTTTTTATGACACAAGTCTAACAGTTGTGGATATGAAAAATCAACAGGTCAGTATTTAATATTCAGGGAGGGGAGGGTGACCTAAAAGCTGCTCTTGGTACTGATCCAATTTTTTTTTTAAGTTTTGGGGCCATATATGACTATGCCCCTAAACCTGAAAAATGCCATTACAATTAAACCCTTCCTAAATAGCTTTGCAGGTCTGTACCTGATTTTTCTGCTATATGAACAGCTTTTTAGTCTGCACATGATAGAAATTACTGATTATTAAGAATTATGATTACATTGATATTATGTTAAAGGAAAAAAATCATCATTTAAATCCATGCATAACTCTCCGCATCTGAATTTATAATGAATGGACTAGTCCACTGCGGAGTATAGGTGGGGGCCAAGAGCCCCCTTTTTATTAAATTGGAGATGCATCCAACCAGCATTACATAGATGCTGGTCTCAAACAAGATGTGTGGCATTTGGAAGTAATGTATGTATTGTATTACAGTGTACATGCTTCTTAATATTAAACTTATAATAAAGTTCCTATTTTAAGTTGTATTAATAGAAATCACCTTACATCCTTATGATTTCCTAGTTAATTCATTCATTCTCACCTACACAAAATTTTGAAAGAGCATAAACCAATCACAGTTCTGGGCTTTTTGATTTGTGAGTTTCACTCTCTTCCAAACTTTTGAAGGTTATTCTTTGGGCACAACAACAGCACAGGGAAGAGTTTAAATATCAATAACCAGTGAAATGAAGAAATTTGAATCAATGAATTAAGTTAACTAATTCTTTATCAGCAAACTATAATAACCAGATTCAGAAGATCATGTAAAGAATTAACTTAAAATTCTTCTCTAGGTTTACCTTGAAGACACCTTTGGCTTACGCACGCTAGATGAGAGAGGGTCAGTTCATCAATACACCTTTCCTGGGGTAAATCACACACATTGGCATGGAACAGAGAAAGTCTTTGTGGAAGCTATTGAACCATGGTTAACTTGATGTTAAAGCCTTACCAAATTAGGTTCAACATAGAGCAATTTTACATTTGGATTAATGATTACTACTGGTAGCATTAGGCTCTGCAATGGAAATGCGATAGAAATGCTTTGGATTCTTTTCAGTCAGAGTCCAAAAATTTACTTTTAAAAGTTGACATGAGGAATTGTTAGGACTTGAATCCTAAAGCTGCTCTCATTGATTTACGAGTAGTTTGCTAGAATACATTTTTAAATACTCTTAGGCATCATAGTCAAAAAATAGAGACTGAAGTGAATAATGGCAGCAGGGCAGGTTTTGCTCAACAGAGTTCTTCCTGAAAAAGGAACAGAAATATGAGACTGAAGTTCATGCAGTTACATTTTAGACTTTTAAAAGATGTTTCATATTCACTTTCACAAATAACTTAAGAATTATAAGAAATAATTGGAGAAATATTTCAAAATTGCAATTCTATTTTTTAAAAAATTCAGTACATAGGAAAAAATGCAATGACCAATCAGCTATTTTGGATCTTGTGCATTAGTTTTATGAAGTGGATATGCACAATAATTTGATTTATTTCTATGAATTATTTGGTTCTTGTAAGTGAAGATGTTTTACTGGCTTGTATTTTTTTAGATAAACAAAGATGTTGAGCAATCTTTCAAAAGTTTTAAATTTTTAAGTTAATTTAGCAAAATTAAATTTTAGACCTTGAAGTTAGACTTTGTGGCCAATTGAGTATATCTAGTTATGATGTGTTTCCATGAGGCATAGTTGCTATTTAATTTTTTTTTTGGCTCTTATTGAATTGCTGATACACCATGGCAAAGTCATATTTCAAGATACATGGCCTTTGAGGCACAGTTGAAGTTATGCGCTAAAACGGAAAATCTTTGTGTTCAATTTTTCATTAATTATGCAATTATAAAAGATTGACAATTTCCAATATTTGATTTTGTTTGATAAGTCAACTCCAACAACAGGAGTGTATTCTATTCTTTTTAATCAGTACATGAAGCATGCTACATTGATTTCATAGCCTGAATTTTTTAATTTTTAGGATTTCACTTTTGGAAATAAATAAACAGGATTGCTCACTTCATATAGTGACAATTTGCATTCATAGCTGTCATTTCATTTGCCTCAACATTTTATTCTAAATTAAATTAACATTAGTCACCCAAGGAAGCTGTGGCTTTTACTACATAAAAATGTGCCCAACACCCTTTTAGGGTTATTCATATCCCAGGCCTCAACTCCAACACCCTTCATGTGACTTTTGATTTGTGTCAGTTTTTGTTTATTTGTTTTTCTCTGGGGGGGGCTGTTGTTCACTTTCAGCCATACATTTTACTTATATGTAGGTGTGACCCTTACTCTCGGGTATTTACCTTATCCTGCATGCTCATGTCTATTATGTTCCACAAATGGTACAGCAACCCCATTTACTTCATGACAGACAGCCATACACTGGCGTTAAGAGAATTTGTCAGAAAGGCATACCAATATTTTTAATTAAATTCACCACAATCATTTTGGAAATTATTGAAAGCGTAAGATATCATTTCTAAATACTAAATAATTTTACACAACAATTACAACAGAAATTGCTTTCAACAACTAAACAATACTTTTTTTCTGAAATACATTTACAGTCACAGTAATTGACAATAAATGTATCAAATAATTTAACTAACAGTATACATTCTTGACACAAAAATAATATAATACAAAGTTGAGAGATACACAACTTACAACTCAAATGATGTAGGCAAATACTTAAACAATTTATATATTTACACAAAATAGTATGAAGCATAACTCATTTTGATATCAAAATCAAGTTTCTTCAGAAATGTCTTTCAATGGGTCCAAAATTAAGAATTCTGCCTGTCCTTTATTGAAACCTTTTGTTGTGTCTATAAAGTTTTGAAAAGCAGTTGTTGTGTTCTTCAACTTTTCTTCCACTTTTCCTTTCATCTCTTTTATTCTTTCTGTTTCTTTTTCTGCTGCCAGTTTCAGCTGTATTTGTTCATCAATACGATCTTCTAACTTTTTTATTTCTTTCTCATGGATCTCCTTTTGTAGCAAAAGTTTGCTCTCCTCTTCCTTCTTACACTTTTCCTCCATTTCCTTCACTGCTTGTTTCTCCTCTTGTTTTAATCTCTCTTTAAGATTCTTCAAAGCTTGCTAAGGTGGAAAGCCAAAGAAAAGAAAATTACTGCATTGCTCTTCAGCTCATTTTGCAAAAAAGGGGGGGGGGGAGGAAAAACAACACTTAAAAGATGGAGAGGAGAATTGAATAACATCTTTGAATTCACAATCTAAAATACCAAGTTTACTAGGGAACTTGGAAAAATGCTGGGGGAAGAGGGGTGGAGGGAGAAAAGGAGGGAGGGGGGAACTGGGTAACCTTCAAAGGACCACTGTTGCAAATTTGTACCGGTAGTAGCATCCAATCCAGGAGGGATGGAAAATTCTTTGTCACTGAATGAAAGCCACATTATCTTAATACCCTTCAGATAAACAAGTGACAGTAACTCTACCTGTTTCTCTTTCTCTGCAGCCAGAATCAACTGTTTTCTTTTGTCCTCTTCTACTTGAGCCACCTTCTTTGCCTCATCAATTGCCATAGCACGTTCTTCCTCTCTAGTCTTCTGTATAGCTTCAGCCTTTTCCAACAAAAACTCATCTCTAGCCTTTTTTAGTGCCTCTTCCAGTCTCTTTTGACCTTCATCCTTTTCCTGCTGAACTTGCTGAGCAGCCAGTTTTTTCATCAGAGCTTCAACTCTTTTTGACTCAGCTTTAACTGCCTTTTCCTATCGACAAAAAAAAGTTGGTTGAATAGTAAACCATCATTAAATGCAAGTGAGTAAATACTTCATTTCCACCCTTGGAGCTCATACAATGTAGTACCCTCATAGTAAATAACAGTCATTTATCTGAGTATTTGCCTTCCTGACCATCCATCCCTGCTCCTCTTCCTATCCACCATTCCTGCTTCTCCCTGCACATCATATCTGCTCCCTCCTGCCAATAATTCTTGCTCCCCCTTCATGTTATCCCTTTTTATCCCATACCCCCTTGCACCATTCTGCTTCCCCTCATCCCATCCCAGCTTCTCCACACAATCACACCCATTAATTAAATGCACCTCTTTGAAATTAACACCCACCTGAGCTTTCTTAGCTGCTGCCAAAGCTTTGTCCAGTTCCACTTCAGCAGCTTCTTTGGCTGACTTCAGAGCTCTTGCTTTCTCTTCTGAAGCTAAGCGCCATGCTCTTTGCTCTACTTCTGTCACATTCTGCTGCCTTTCTTTCTCGCACTCCTCAATGGTTTTTTGATAGAGTTCATTTCCAAGTACTACAATTAAACATAATTTATTTTATTAAAACTCATCCAATAAGCTCTAAGAATTGTTTCCAGAAACCTCCATCTCATGAAAACATCTCATTTTCTACAAACCATTTATGTAAACAATGTCAAACATTTTGATGGAGCATTCTTACAATTGTGGTGATGTGTATAATGAAACATGGTACAATGGTCTCTACAGAAAGTACCTGCTTATGAAACACCTAGTCAAATAGACAGCTACCACACAAAACCCATATATAAACTCTGCAGGACTGTCTTCAAATAAAAAATTCAGAAAAATTATATTTGGAGAAAAACTGAACTAGGGGGAATGAATATCTCATGTTTCCAAAATCCCCTCCTCTCCGTCACACACCTTTGACCCATCTCCCACCCTTCCTTTAGAAAATTGATGATAAACATGTTTTCATTTTTGCAGTTTTCTCCTGCCAGACCTTTATTTTCCCTATTCTCCTATGCCTCCACCCCCTGTCCTATCCATTCATTCATTCAGGCCCTCAAAAACTATAAGGTCCACTCCAGCAGTGGCCTTACACACTGGCCTAACAGCTAACATGCTGAACTCCAGGTCAATAAATGCCGGACCAAGACCTGGCCAGGTCATTGTGCTGTGTTCTTGGGCAGACAATCAATGCTCACAGTACTTCTCTCCACCCAGGTATATGAATGAGTGGCTACAAACTGTGAGGGAAGCCTAATAACATGCTGGGTGAAGAGGTAACCTGTGCTGGGCTAGCATCCCATCCAAGGGAAAATGCAAAAGTCCTAGACACTTTATTCCACAGAAAATGGAATAAGCTGCGAGTGGATGAGCCATTTGGCTATGGTGCGGACTTTATCTTTTTGCCAGTCAACAAAATTTGGCCCCCCGAAAAGGTAAGCCGCCAAATCATAGTTTTGAGGAGTAAAAACTCCCCTAATGCACGATCCACATTTTCTTTAACTTAATAATTATACGAAGGACCCTGAGAAAAGTTAACATTCGGCAAACTCCCTCTACCGTATCTTATCTACAATTTCAGCTGGTTCCGTTTACTTTGCGACAAATATTAAAATGCTGGCCCGATTCGTCTATTATATCAGCTTTTATCAGCTATTATATAAACTTACCCAAGATATCCCTGTGAGTGGTATTTTGTATGACAGAAACTTTGGTTTCTTCGTGAGGCTTGGATAATACGGAGCGGTCATGAGTAGCCACATACGCCGCCATCTTGAGTCACAAAGTCAGATACTCTTTAGTTGTCCTGGTAACGGTCGTGAAGACCTGAAAAGCAACTACAGTCTGAACGGGCAGCGGTGTCATCAGAAACTCAAAATGGCGGACGAAACTCGTGTATAGTTTTTCTCTAACTTGAGAAAGTGCATGAAATAAGTATGGTGTCGGTTCATGAAAATATTGTGGTGATACCTGGGGAAAGATTAGGAAGTATTGAACAATATTCACCAGGAAATGGAACTTATATTCGCCATGGATATGTGTATGCAAGTCTTGCTGGTTACAAACAGTCGCAAAACCAGGAGAATGGAGAGGTTTGTGAGATTTTTTGGTGCATTGTAAGCTTTAGATAACTGACTTTGATATTTGAGAAATGTAGTAAAAGCATACCGTGTAGACCCCTTTCATAATGACGGCATTTCTTTGAATGAAAATTGTATTGTCTTTGGACAAGTTGTCGATACCAGAAAGGCTAATTTATGTTGTGGTTTAATTTTATCCTTGGTTCAAATTTTATTTTCTTTTGTTTTTGGGTATTGTAATGTATGATAATGAGTTTGAAACAAAGGAAAATAAAATTTGAACGAAGGACAAAATTGAACCACAACATATGCATGATTATGAAAGAGTAGTAATAAGGTCCAACTTTTGCAGAAGGGGTCAGTATTTAGATTTTTTTTTTCATGTACTCTGCAGGAACAACTAATAAAAAATTTTTAAGTTATCAAAACTCAGGGAATGTACTATGAGGTTTCCATTTGTAAAGCAACTAGATAAGAAAGCATACATGGCACCAGACACAGAACATTGATTGACTGACTGACTGACACTTTAATAGTCTGATCAATTGATTTATTGATTAACCCTCTACCCCCTAATATCAATATTCATATTCTCCATACTCTTTTCTATACATTTCCTTTGTTACTGACAAGAAGAATTCAGTTAACAATCAAAGCTTCCTAGGTTGGTAATCATTTTCTTTATTCTCATGATCTTAACGAATGATTCAGTAGTGTGTTAGTGTAGAGAAATTAAATGATAGTTACTCTTAGGGTTTTAAAATAAAAGGTTAGAAATTTGATTGACTGACTGACTAATCAAGAAACCAACTCATAACTATCAGCTGATTTGCAATTTTGATAGACAGGTTGACTGACAGACAGTGCTGACAGACTTACTGATTTCATGTTTCCCAAATCAATCTAACATGCTTTGTAATATGGATCTAGAAACCTATCATACATATCATCAGAGAGGAGGAAAAGTATGTAGTGCCAGAAGTTGGTTCAGTTGTTACATGCAAGGTGGGAAAATTTCTGCATCATAAATTTTATTGACGACTATCAACTTTTTGGCTCAGATATGGAAATTTTTACAGAGAGTCTTTTACTTGGATCATTTTACAACAGTTTGACTGGAGAGATGCAATTTCAGTTAAAAATGAACATAAAGTCAAAACTAAATGTATTTCAAACTTGATGGATTTATGTTTTACTCTGTTTAAGAGGTGATTATTTTATAGAGCAAAATGGAACTGGTTTTAAACTGAACAATGTAAATTTGTGTGATAGCGTGAATGGTTAAAATGTTAAAGACACTTACAATCTTATTAGAAAAGTTTATTTTCTTATATGAGTGACCTTAATGAGTTGCATGGTAAAACTACATAATATTTCAGATGGGAAGAAGATTAAAGTTTGACTCAAGTATCCTTTGTATTCTTCATTTTGGCAGTTTACCAAGAAAATAAGGTTCAAATTTTATCAATTGATTGTCTCATCAAAAGGTTATGGTTATGACCTTATCACAAGCAATTGTTAGAAATAACATAACAGAAAATTTCTTTTTCGTGGAGCATGTATCTGATTAATTTACCTTTTATACCCTAATGTTGGTATGCATATTCTCCATTCTGTTCTCTAGACATTTACCAAGGTGCTGATGAGGAGAATTTGTTGAACAATCAAGAGCTTATTTAGCTATTGCTCATTTCCTGTATTCTTCCTTTTATTCCTCTTTATTCTTGTTTGATTCAGAATGATATTATGAGGAGAAACTAGGTGCTAGTTACTTGAAGGGGTCAGAGGGTTAAGAAATAACTTGGAAGCAGGAGAACCTTTCAAATAAGGCTGTTAAATTTTTACCCTTTAGGTGATGAGCACAAACCCAAGGTTTTGCAAAGTAGCAATTCTTGGTGTAGAAACAACTTCTTTAAAGGAACCTTTCAAAGGAACAATCAGAAAAGAAGATGTCCGGGCAACTGAGAAGGACAAAGTTGAAATGTATAAGTCCTTCCGCCCTGGTGACATAGTACTGGCCAGAGTACTGACTCTTCATACACAAACGTATCTCCTTTCAACAGCTGAGAATGAACTTGGAGTCATTTTTGCCAAGAGTGAGGGTGGTAGGATAGACTTAATTTTTACATTCATGAAATTGTCAATTTGATAGCAGGAAGCCACTTTCTGAATTAATCTACTTTGATTGTTTCAAGTTCCATTCAAAATTTTAATTGTGTCATTGTTGAAAAATTGTTTTTGGTCTTAATCCTTTCCCCCAACCTATTTGGTGGGTAGGTGATTTTGCCAGTTTGAGATATGGATTTTTTTCAGCATTATTAGAGTAAATAATTATATGTAATGCATTACCCTTTGAAGAAGTTAGAAGTAACAGTAACATTTCTTTGAAACAACAATGTACAAAGATATTTCCTTTAGGTGCTCTCTCCATGTGCCTTTGTTTTTGTACCAGATATCAAACTATAAAATTATTGTGCTATATGAACAAAGTTCTATACAGAAAGTACTGGCTCAGGATGTTAACAAAGTTTTCAAGTTTATTAGTAATAAGCAAATGTCAGGTTGGTCTTAATATCATAAGATTTTTATGCAAATTGAATTATTTGATTGTGTAGGTGCTGCAATGGTGCCAATCAGTTGGTGTGAGATGCAATGCCCCAAAACAAGAGCAAAGGAACACCGAAAGGTTGCCAAGGTTCAGCAAGCATCTTGATAAATAATTGAATAAACATTCAGTATCTTCCTCATCTATTGGATGGATCCTTAGGAACTGATTTTTCCATTTTTGTAGAGAGAGATAACATGGAAAATTTGTTTTCAAAAGCAAAAACCTGTTTTGAGGCTAAAAAAAAGGTCAGCAGGAAAAAGCAGCCAGGAAAACTTTTGATAGATAACAACAGAAAAAAATTGTTTAATTTTAAAAAATCCTCATTCTCCCTCAAAAAAAAAGATAGTCAGTCCCTTATGCAACCACCTGGATTCACCTGGGGTGACACATCTGAGAAGAACAGGAATTAACTCCTTAGTAATATAGTTGTGTACTACAGGCAAGCTATGCCTACAAGATATTAAAATGCTATAACAATGTGATATTAGTGCTTTACAGAGTTATATCAATAATCAATGCAACAAATTTAAGGACCATATTTTTTTAGTACTTTTTTCACAGTTTTGTCTCAAATTTGTCAAATTAAATGACAATCCCCTCTCCACCCATTCCTATTTTAGCATTTTGAATAAAAACACTAGCAGAACTTCAGCTGCAGTTAGTGTTATATAACTGTGCTTTTCTTCACCAGGGGCGTACGAATGTCACATTCCACTTCTTTCCATAATAATTGATATATATCCTTTAAACATATCAGGGTGGTTCTAAAACTAATTTTAACTAGGGTCTCCGTTTTCAGCAATCAATGGGCCTCGAGATTTTTGATAGGTGGTAAGTGTTTCTCCACTGATAAAAAAAATTAACGTTTATGTAAACTGTGTGACTAATAAGCTGTTGTAAGTCACGGAGGAAGAACCGCTAAAGTTTGAAAAGAAGCTTTTTGGCGCCAAATGGGTCACTGCGTCGCCGACCTACAGCCTTGATTTGGCGGGAAAATGTGAAGCGATGAATGAAGCGGTAAACTGCGTGGCACTTCGTAGGCAAAATGTCCGTCAATTCGAGTTTCTTTCTTTTAACACTTCATTTTGTGATAATATCGCTCCAGAAACTGCACAGCAATGCGTTTATCGACTTTGGTGAAAGGGGAATTGTGGAAGCCGTCGTATTTGCAGAATTCACATCTCAATTTAGAGAGCCGTATAATCTGCTTTATTTCAAGTCTGCATTTCTTGTGGTTCACTGTCAGTTGAGAAATCGCAGCAGCGATACTCAAAACTCGCGTAATGTGTTAGTCAATCAGTATTCCTCTCAAGGTATGACTCCAATTGTCACTATCATCACTTTAAGCTGGTCAAAATCTTACTTCTTCGACCAACTTGTCCAAGGCGAAGACTCTTACTGGACGATGAATATTTCAAAGCAAGAACTATCGGAGCATTACCATGAAGAAAGCCACGGGAGAATTCCGTGGCAGTTCAAAATAGAACTTGGGCAAGACCTCAATTTGTTTGAATCCTGGGGAACTCTTGTATTACCAGATTTTGACCCAATTCTTTCCGTCCAATTCGGAGACTATATGTCAGACCTGAACGCAATTCCAGCTGTGGAAGATGTCATTGTATGGCAGCATCCATGTACTCCGGGAGTCGCTGTTTTGGTTCCTGTGTTTGAGGTGAAAGAGTCTTTCACAGGTAATTGGAAGGGAAAATTAAATGTGACCTTTATTTTTGCTTTGAATACTCCAAAAAAAGTCTGAAACTAAGCTAAAATATGATTAAAAAGACACTGAAATGAGGAAAGAATTTTTATGTGAATGTCATAATGCAAAGTTAGAAACCCATGTTCCTGCTACTAAACGTTGACCGCCAACGTTTGAATTTCCCCTCTGCTCTACTAATTTTCTTGAAAAGAAATTATATTACATTTTCTGTAATGAGGAGTATAAATGTACTTCATACGAAAAGAAATTATATTCACATTTAAAGCACGAACAGCTGAAAAGCAGATGGCGAAAGTTCAACTTTTGTCTTTCGCATGGAAAACACGGTTCAGCGAAAAACTTCCACGTGGTCTTGAATAGCGAGAAAATTATATTTTCACTCTTTTAACTGTGCGTCTATATGTAGTGTATTCAGCTAAATCGAACGAAAAGTAGCAATCAAAATCAGCAATTAAATAATGGAATTCTACTTTACCCAATGAAAGTTTGACTAGATCTATAAATTACAGAGATCTTTCACTGTCTCTACAGGATGCTACATGGCTGTAACCCATGGAAGTTTCACATCAAACACCACACATTGGTATGATCTCCTTCACCGCTCATCTGGCAAACCAGATAACTACTCTATCTGCAAAGAAAGTTCGTTTACCAGTTGTGAAAAACTGTCAATTTTGGACTTAGCTGTGTTTAACAACCACATTTTGCTTGTAACCTCAAAAGGTGTGTTAAGGTCGGAATCGATCGATGAAGCCTCAGGACTTAACATAAGAAAGGTACGGTTGCCTTATCAAAGGCTCGTATTGACAGTATTAGAGGGTAGCTTAAGTCATAGAATGATTAGTGCTTTTTATATCAATTTTTATTCAACACTTTCAAATTTTTTGTTAAAGTGATTTAAAAATAAAAGTTGCTAAGGGGTGGGAATAACTTTCATGATACTACAAGGTAAGAAAAATTAATGATTTGGAAACGCGTTTCCAGCGAACGACGTACTTAACATTTGATTTCGCTTTTTTTCTGATCCTTAAGTAGGTCTAACGGAATAAAAAGTATCTATGTAATGAAGGGTAGATCAGGGGCTCTTTTCTGCCGCTTGACGTTACGCTATACGTCATGTTTAGACTACTATTTCTTTTCAAGATTTTGAGAGGGATGGTCTCAACTTTAATCTTTTGTAATAATCAACTATTACCAATAATTGAGTCAACTGTAAACTTTATGATACTTTCCTTAACTCTAAAGCTCAAGTTTCAAAGAGTACCCAATATACATCCGATAATCGAGCAAGCGTTCAAAGATGGGACAGTGGAACGTGACAGAATCAAGTTGCATCATACAGTTCACTGTGATAGACACGAGATATTGATCAAAGAGCACGCGGTACATTTGGTTTATACGCCGGCTAGCGGGGAATATTCTATTCTTCTAACAAGCAAACCTCCCTTTAATATATGGTCTCCTATAAAGCTTCCTGACCAAATGAAGTCTTTCACTGTGCTTGGTGTCGCTTGGGACATTCAAAGAACTACAGTGGTTTTGCTTGTGAAGGACCCTTTTAAGGTAAAGGCTTTGAGGGTCTGCAGGAGGGATATTCTGAAATTCTAAATTATAGCTTGCAATATCTGTAAATGTATTTGAATGTTTTTCAACAACAATTTATTGTTGTTGCTGGTTTTTTTTTTTTTTTTTTTTTTTTAATAATAAGTAGTGTAAGGAATGATATATTCAAAAACGTTATTTTTAACACGAAGTAATACCTGGTAAAAAGCACAAGCCCATTGAACATTTCGATTTAATTAAAAAAAAGTCACAAAGTCTGAAACGTCATTTAAAAAACCAGCTTTTAACTGTAAATCACAGGTCAAGATGACGGAAATGTGCAAAGAGGAATAATACTTGCTAATTTGTCTGAGCCCTGTAAACTATTGCAGCTGTTTAAATTAGCTAACGGTCATATGATATGTTCTTATTTCACAGCCTCAACAATCCCTGTTATTACGAACTTTGTGATCGACAGGGTTCGATTGATTTTTCCAATGTGTATATCGTTTTCAATGTGTTCACAGGTACAATGTTTGGTCGCAGTACTTCATCTACAGACATTCCGACTTATGCAGCCCATTTTTCGATTCCCAAATCATGTCAAATTTAAAAGGATTAATATGCATGTTCACACTCATGTTATTTTCGTCTATGGATCCCAGGTAAGACATCAAAGTTTAAAAAAACACGAATCGGCCGTGGGAAGTAAAGAGGCATCTACTAGTCTATAAAAATTCGTAATTTTTTGCGAGAGAGTACTCAGTATTTTCTTGGTAAATGTTATAGCTGCCATCATTGGCTTTTACGGCAGCGGAAGGCTGAGGAGAGAAAGACATGTGTACCTTTCCCCGCCCCTTCCCCCACCGTCCACTCCAAACCCAAATCAAACATGACAGGTCGAATAAACGATCGCGAGCTTGCAACGTTAACTCGCCCTAATAAGACACCTGCACTGCAGGCTAGGCAGCCTGAGCCTTTGTTTTAAATTGGAAGTATAAGATGATAGGTCGCTGTTGCAGCAGATGGAGAAAAAAATTAATCTAATAACCTTTGTCATTCTTATGTTCATCTTTCGGTAACAGGGTTATGTTATAGCTTTAATGATGGGCCTATATGTAGAGGGGTTATAGAAGAAAGGTCTAAGTTGGAATGATCTTGCTATCATACCAACAAAAAGCTTATTTCTTACCCTTTCCCTTAAATTTAAACTTATCAAGGCCATCATTAAGCTCATGTAATGTAACATAATATTGCAATTTTTTGTATAATTGTTATGCAAATAAGAATAAGAATTTTAAAAAAATGTAATATAGGGTCATTCAAATTTAACTGATTTAATGACCCATTTATGGGCCAAGGTAAATGAGAAGCTTAGAAAGCTCTCTTGCGACTCGTTTCATTGTACCTCTGTAGTGTGATCAGAAATTTATTTCATAAAAAACGATTTATGAACTTAGTTTGGGATCCTTTAGGTGTGGTTATCTCTAGACGGAGGAAACTCGTTTAATAAGATGCTGGATACACAGCTCCGAGGTGATTCTGTATCGTCAATTTTTACCAATGCCCTGGGAGATGCATTTGCATTGGTTACAAGTCTTGGTGCTGTGTACAGTGGCTGGTCAGGTATTCCGCGAGTCAGTCGCATTGAGCCACCTGCATCCTTTACCGAGTGCTCCCTTAAGCTGCCTTATTTTCAGCATGATAAGTTGGTCAACATAATTTGCGTGCAGAACGTATCAAGTGAGCTGAAATTCAGTACTTACAGTATTGATCTAGCTTCACAAATCAAAGCAGACATGATTTTCCTTCACAGGCCTCTTCTTGTTCATTTTGTATCTGAAAGAAAAGTGGAATTTTTAGCCTTTTGCGGAGATGCCTTTTTCTCAGATCAGATTGGTTGTTCTGACTCGTTTCAGCAATCTGATGTTGGACGCGTAGTGCGAACAAAAAATGGGGGCTCAGCATTGATAACTGAGGTGTACGACAGCAAACTCACGAGCGAGTTTAGTGCGCTTGTCACTGCTCTTGTTATTAAACCATTCGGTCTTGTTGACAGATCAGACTCTCCAGCACTCCATTACACTCTTCAATTAAACATTACAGGTTCACATGCTGAATTGCACCTGCAGAACTCAGGAAACGATTCGGGCTGGCAAGGGGCAGACATCGGTAAGACGGTTCTTCTGTTCAATGGGATAAGTCTGATTCTGACGGCGTGCAAAAGTCTTTCATCCGCTACTGGAAGGTTACCAATGTCATGGGATGATACTGGAATTTACACTGAATTTTTTGAAGAAGGAATGTGGTACCTCATGGATTTTCGTCCTTTTAATGGCTTTCGTCCGCTAAGCACTCCAGTTCTTCAAGTGCGCCAAACGGATCTTAATCATGCCATAGCAGAGCTGTTAAATAATGATCAGTTCTCATTTTCAAGTGATTTTGTCGGGCATGTCTTAAAATATGACCACAAGTGGGGCTTGATTACCTCTGTCAGTGATGCCTCAGTCGATATCAAGAGCCCGGGTGACTTGGAGCCGGGTAACTATACCAATAACTGGGGTGTTTACAAAGCGCAAGTCAGTAATAATTCGTACATCCCTTATATTCCAAAGCCTCAATTTCATGGTTGGTGGTTGGCAGAAGACGAGTGTCGACATTTCCTTTTCGAAGAGCCGCCCAGTAAGATAGAACTCTACCATTTGGACTCTGGCGAAAGTCTTAACTTTACCCTCCGCGTAATATTCAAAGGAGAAGTATATAAAAATCCCACGAAACCTTTAGTGAGGCTGTTTATTGGAAAACCTTCCCTGTTTTATGTGAAGTCATCTTATCGATACCAAAACATGAATCACACTCTCCAAGTCACTTTGACAAAAAGACCTTTTATCGTTGGAATATCGTCAGTCTCTGTTAGATTAGAACAAACTGTTTCTCTGATATGCAAGGAGGCATCTTATACCGTACACGGGGGCTGTCCACCGGATAAAAAGCTACGTTTCTTGTATCCTACATCATTTTCTCTTGATGCATTTTTAGATTCGGAAATAACTGATTCCAAAGGCATAGTGAGGAACATAAAAGTACCTTTCAACTACAGAACTCCTTCTTCACGAGGCAAAGCAATACCAATGTCGGAAAATACTTACAACGTGGACCCACAAAAACCACTTTACAAAACCACGTATGCTATCACTAGAAACACACTTCGATATAAACAATGTAGAGGAAAAAAAATTCGCTCTGATTGTGGATGTTCGAGGCAAATGAGAGGGTCTTCTCTTGTTGAGCATTCGGACTGCATCGATACTGTCTACCGCGTTATGTTCAGTGAAAAATTAATTCTACGCTTTGTGGTGTTAGAAGAGCATAAGGAAGAAGAACCTCTACGTTTCCCATTTTATCTTGAAGAACTGAATCAAAGGAAAGATTTCATAGTACTTTCCCCGAGTGATCTCACTTTTGTTGGAATATCACCGCCAGTGTTAGAACAGAGTCTTAACAGTTCGATACAGTTTGAAGGCTCGGGCTTGTATCATTTTCGTGCTCGAGTTGTACAAGAGAATTACACTTTCGGTATCTTGACAGATGAATTTGTGGTTTTTGTCGTCGATACTCCTTTGCCTTTTCCTGTGAATGACGTTGTAAGAGCCTGCACGGGAATGGGATTTGCAAGTTTGTTATTTATTGTTTATATGAAACACTTTCATGGGAAGAAGAAGATGAAGAATGATTAGTATCAGAGTTCCCTGCTCCTGAGCTTGAGCTGTCAGAGCAAATGGTATAAATAGAAGACTAGTAGAACGCTCTTTGTTTTTGAGAAAGCATGATTCCTAATGATGAGACCGGTTATTCATTTGTGCGTCCTTTCTCGAGATTTTCCAGTGCAAACTTTTCCAGAGACCCAAGCACGGGTGGACGTAATTTTATATACCGTTACTGAGAAGGAAACGTTACAAAAAGACAGGGTATGACGATAACTGTCCCCTCATCGCACCCAACAAGCTGCCGGGGTCTGTAAAACGATGATTTGGTTGCGCTAATGTGGCTTACTCTCAACATTGAAAAGGTTCCCAATAAGGCTGACTTAAAAATCATTATCCGCCATTAATTCCACAATTATCACTGTTTTTCTTTGCAAAGAGTCTCTGTAAAAGAAACTAACTTTCCTGAAAGATCAGCACTTCCTCTGTAAATCAAATTTTATTTTAGGTTTCAAGTGTAACACTGATTCTTTCTGACTGAACATTTCAATTGCAATTGAAATGATCTCCGATTATCGCAGAGCATGTGCAATTCTTGCATTGGCATCAATTAACACCATTTTTTCTCTCTCTCTCTCTCTCCCTCTCTCTCTCTCTCTCTTTTCACTCTCAACTATGATGCCTTACTCAGTATATCCACCGTCAAAATCTTGGAAGCACAAGAAGGATTTACTTCCATAAAAATCAGTAAAACGGGCCCAGTCTTAGCATTTGTGTTTTTCACTACTGAATATACACAGGCGTTCTTATTGTTGTCTCTGTAAGGTACAAGTAATCATACTCGGTTTGATTTAACAAGCTAACCTGACTTAACCTTGCCGCTTAATAACGTTAAGAAGTCTGAACAGACCTCCCAAACAATTAATTTCAGTTGTAAAGTGCTGAAATATGTAATATGCCCAAAAACATGGAAAATTCCTTAGGTTACTTATTTGAAACGCACTTGCAGATACTGGAAGTTTTCTGATGATATTTTTACCACCAAAGCAAGTGGATGTTTACTTTTATCGTTCAAGGTTTCTTAATTCACACATTTGTTTATTTCCCAAAGGATCCAATATTTGCATGCAATTAAAATACTTTGACTTGTCGCACTAGTTGAAATTGTAAACTGCCAATTTATTGCTCTTAAAGCATCACTCGATTTATTGTTTTACCTGGCAGAAGCTCAGATCAGAAAAGCTTGCCTGTTAAAAACCTGGTGAACACGCTTTATTAGGAAGATAATTTCTCACTTATTTTTTAAAATAACGCAGTCAATCGACTATACATCGTAAGATAACTCTCACTGATGTAAGATCTTTTTAAAACTGAGTAATGACCGCATCCAAGCAAGGTGACAGCTATAATAACCATAAATAAGTGAGAAAAATTCTTTAACCCTTTCAAAGTAAATGTGTTTGTAATCTGTTCATCTGAATGATTAATGAAAGTACAAGAACATGTACGATAATAAGAAAGTGAAGTAATCTTAGGATAATAAGCTTTGTACATTTTATGTAAAAAAACACCTTTATTCTCTTTGTGTACCGAAGCTAATTGTCTTGTGTACAAAATTCAATAGCTGAGGTATGTTAGCGGCTGCTAAACAAATAATTCCTTAGCCAATAATCATCTGAACGCAAACGTTTTGACTGACTACGTCTGATTTGTTATGATTACCTCCTGCAAGAGTGACAGTAATATAACAAGTGACTATTCATTCGGTATTTTAAGTGTCAGGGTAGCTAAAGTCTGCGGCTAACTCAGTATGGAACAAAAAACGTTTGGCCGTGTGTCTGCAAAACAATCGCTGTTGACAAAAAGGGTGGATTTGTCATACGGTATTACTAAGAAGGAAAGCGAGAAGAAATCCATATTATTAAGAGGTGGTGAGAGTGATACGAGGCAAGTTTGGAACGAGACTATAGGAAGACTTCGCAGAACCAGCGCCCCGGCAGAGTTGCCACCAATAAAAGATGCACTACCAAAGTTGACTGTGAAAGCAAGGGCACGCACACTTTCATTACGAGGAGGAGAAAAGAGCAGTGAAATGCATGCAAAGCAGTGGAACACAAGTTACACAAAAAACAACAAAATCTGCGAAAACCAATCTAATGTTCGTGCTCTTGTCAGTGCTAAAATAGATGACACACAAAAAAGACCTTTATCTGCCCTGACAAGCAGCAACAATTCTGTTACAACATGCTGTTTGGGAATAAAGGATGATAATAGTATCTTAGATTCCAGAAAACTTGTTGGCCGCAAATGTTTGACCCAAGAAGCGTTGATATGCCATGAACTAGGACTCGCAGAGATGGATGAGGACTCCGCTGATAAGAAAAAGGACATGATTGTTCGTTGGTTGAACTCAGAAGCATTGAGTAGTAGTAATTGGGAAGGACTGGAAAAGCTTCGTTCTTTCCCTCAGCTTTGATAGACAAACATCAGATCAGAAATTTAAGAGTGTGACGTTGGTGGAATTATTAAGTGTTGATGCGTTTTTCAGGGTTGCCCAATGTTTTTTAATTACCTAGTGTTAAACTATTGAAATTCACATATTATAACCCTGTCGAGTTTGTTTGTTTATGATGTAACAATAAAGAATTTGAAAAGGCTTCGATTACGTAACATTTCTTTTGAAACTTAAAGTCCGTCTTGGAGAACTCACATATAGTAGCCTTAAAACTGTTTACCTTCTTAATAACCAAAAGATGCTTTACGGAGAGCTTTTTCTTGTGATCTCTGCTCTAAGTGCGAAGTAGTGGAATTTGCCGTTATGAGCTCAATTCAGCAATAGAAGAAGCATTGACCTTTGAACTTATGTAATGAGGACCATAAATTAAATGGGGAGGTTGAATGTGCATAGTATCTTTCTTAGCGAGGTTCTTTCCGGCGCCTTATCTAGATTTGACCGAATTGAGGCATCCCCCCTCGCCGTAACCGATTGTCAAGCTGACCAACAAAACTCCTTGGTATCATCAATGTGATATCCGAGGACATCATCCGAGTGATATTCCTCAATTTCAAACCTTATGCTCACAACGATAAGTGTTCGCTTCAAATTCAATTTAAGAGAAAACGTTAAGTGGTTGTTCAAAAGGAAGGGACTTGACATGTGTTTGTGCATGAAATCGTACCAGAAAACACTGAAAAGTGAACATCCCATAAGTTTCAAAAACTATTTGAAGGATAAAAAACTCAACGGCCTCCATTTGGCGCGAAAATATGCTTGTTTGTTTACACTTTAAGGACGTGTTTACTCAATTAGGGAGTTGGACGCACGTTCGCCACCAATATTCAAGCAAACTACTACTTGAAACCTGTCATGTTCATTATCTGGTTGGCGCTTCTCATGGTCGTGAAAATAGAATTATTCTTTGATGTGATTTTTCAGTTTCAGTTTTCGCAGCCGCTAGCTTGGAAAGTGAGGCAAGTGCTATTTCTAATCGAAGTTTCTCTACTAACCAAACCTCTATTACTTTCGAAAAATAAAACTAATAACAACTTTTTTTCAAAGGACGTTCAACTGTGGGTTCTTTTGTCTTCCGGAGTTGAGTAGTGACATGGACTTTGAAAAATTCACGCACTTAACTCTCTGAAAGTTCCAATTTACTAATTTCGAATAAAGTTTAACGTTAGTTGCGGTTACACTCGCCCTCTGCCCGAGGTAACCCTGTGGGTAATTGCCTTGGGTTGGGATCGGTTTGGTTTCCGGTCAAGTTTAATCTTCCGGTTACATTGCAAATAATTACCCGAGCTCAACTTTTGACCTGGCGATGTTTGGCGGGAAATTTAATTCATCCTGGAGATCGCAAACCGCGAAACGTATGGTTTGCTTGCGGTCGTTGTTCTGCTTCTTATACGGCAATACCCGGTTGATTTAGCGATCCAAAACTTCGTGTTAAGAAGAATGCGGAGAAGGCGTCTGCGATTACGATTTTCAAAATCTCTTCAGATGCTGTATGCTCTTTCATTATGCCGACAAATTTAATTTGACCTATCACTCGTCGATAAAACGAATAATCCCTGGTGTTATAACATTCTGTAGGTGTCACGTATCTCATTTCTTTCGTTGTTATCATTATTTATTTATTACAATTTAATGGAAATCAACAAAATAAAATAATTACCTACCTATAACAAAGGAAATGCCATAAGGATGGTCTGTAAAAGAGTCCAAGACCCCATCCTCAGACAGACCACCTAACGAAATATATAGTTTAAAAATATAATTTATACAATTAATTAAAATCTGATATAAAAATTCTAAAATATATGCATATGAGTTTTTGGTAATTCGACCAGTTTAGTTGGTATTCATTAAGAAGTTCCTCAAGCCACGCTTAAAACTTGAAATGCTAGACAACGATCTAATTGAAAATGGGAGTGAATTCGACATATCATCAATAAGAGTTAAAAAGACTAAACTTAAAAGTGTTTGCACGGGCATAAGTCTTCTTTAAAGTAAGTCCATCTTTCTCTCTCAAAGGGTGCCTAGCAGTATCAGAGTAAAGTTGTAAAGCTGAAGAGATGTCAGTGTCAACATAGCCATTCAAAACTTTATAAAAAAATAACGCATTGAAAAGAAATCGTCTATGGTCCAAGGACAGAAATTAAGCCTAGAGTTGCGAGTATCATTGTCATCTTCACTTTCTAAAATAGACTTCGTAGCTCGACGTTGCACTCAATTTATTTTGTTCCTTAATTTTGCCACTGAAATTTTTTAAAATAAAGCGTGGATATCGATAGTCAACGCTGAAAAATATCTATTCCGCACAAAAAACATAAAATCCCCCCAAAAAATTAATTTCCCATTTTATTTTCCCATTCCTCATTCTCCATTCTCCATTCCCCATTCCCGCTTTCAGTAACATCCTTATGAATATTATTATTACTAACAAGGACACGAATTATAAAAATTCGAGAGAGTGATTTTTATTTAAATAATATGTCGGCTGGAATGGTGTAGTTTTAATGTTTTTATTTTATTT